CTTGATAACGATGTCGGAGTTTCTTATATGCTAAAAACAAAAACAAAATTATACCTTTCTAGAAAGACTATTATGGTTAAATGGCATATTTTTGTGATCGTGGAATTAATTATAGGGCATACCTTACCGCGAGTTGTAATAATTATATTAATATTAAAATGCATATATTTTAATAGGTAATTTTTTAAGCTCTAATATAATTTGTTGCTTGTGATCTAATTTCAAATGAGTGAAAAGTATGACAATCAAAAGTGTGCTAATTATCATCGCTGGTGCAAATTGCACCATTTTTAATTATAAAGTTATAAAATAATAATAGTCTAAAACCAATTAAAATATTCTAGCTAATGTGAGAAATCCATGTAAAATTACATTTATTGGGGGTAAAGCATATTTTGCTATCTAAGTCGCGACCTTTGACAATCGGCAAAACTTCCAAGGTCGCCGTCAATATCCTTCCAAACCAAATGCCCCCCCCCCCCCCATAAAAAAAAAAAAAAAAATTTTAATTACCGATTTTTTTAATAAAATGTAGTTACTTTCATTTTTACGCGCCGTCATTTTGCAACTCTCAGCCTTTCCAATTCGAAGGAACGTCTGCTCACTTCAGCACTTTTCGCTGGCGTTGGAACCCGGTGAAACAGCAGTCAGTTTTAACGCGAGCACTGTCTGTTTGCGTTAGCTTTGCGTGTTTCACGCAACGATGCGCACGCGCAACGTGAGCACACCACCCTAACGCAAACGCACAGCGCTTGCGTTTGCTTCTATGCGCAATACTAAAACTCTCTAATAAGGTACAATCCCATACCGGCTGCAGCACCACGTTGGGACAGTGAAGAGTGTTGTCTGCATTCGGAAATTACGTTTCGCGAGCGATGATCGCGAGACGCGTTCCGCCTTGCCCGCTGAGCAGGAGAATCGGGGGACCCTCACATAGAGAGCGCTTCCCGTTTCCGCCGCGGGAGGGCGAGCGTCGAGCTGGAGACGCGAATAGGGCTCCCTATTGTTTGAAGACCGGTGGTGTGATGTACAGGTAATTTAGGATAATATATTTATTTAACTGTTAGATTACATTCTGTTGAGAAGCGTCTTGTTCGGTCTGCAACCGCGCCCATGTCTCTTCTTTCCCAGGCGTCACGTTCTTCTCTGTGGCTCGCTTTCCGCCTCCGGCGTCAATTTATTGTAATCTAACAGTTAAATAAATATATCGTGCATTATTCTAAATTACTGGTACGTCACAGGTGGCTTTGCTGCATTTTCATAAGAGTTAAGCCTTTTTTTTTTAAACTTTTTTCTCAAATAAAATCAATCTTTGCAAATTAAAAAAAAATAAAAAATGCACCATCTGTGGGCAACGTTGCACAAAGTCGTAGGGCGATAGGTTAATAAACCGAATTTTGCGGGCGATTTAAAGAGCCTGGCTGCTATTTTGGGGCATTCGGTAGGCACCTACGAAGGCAGCCGTGGCATTTAACTACTAAAGTGAAATGTTTTGCAGTATTTGGGAAATCAAATGCACGTATTATTTACGCGAAAAAGGTCGTTTTTTAACATCATCAATAGTTTTTCGAACCCACAATAATAAAAAAAAAAATGATGCGCAAAAAAAAAAAAAAAAGAAGGGGAAATTTAGGTCACACATGGCAGTAAAAACAGCTCAGAAAACGCGGACTATGCCGAAGGAGAACAAACTCGGCAGGACAATGCTGTACTCGCAACTGAAGAATTTTAATGAAGCAAACAAAACGTCGTTTCCTTCATTAAAATTCTTCACTTGCGAGTACAGCATGCATTGTCCTGTCGTGTTTGTTCTTCTTCGCAGTCCGTGTTTTATAAACTGTTTTCCCCATCGTGTGTGTCGTACACCGAATGGCCCAGTTCACCACTTTATGGAAGGAAATATAGGACATTACAGGGTGAACTCGGTTGTAACTTGCAACCCAACGCGAGCGTGTGAACCAGCCTTCCTCCTAATCTGAACTGCATGCACGCGGAGCGCCCATCCCATGGTGTGGACAAAGCCCTCGTCCCAAGACGAATGGCATGTTCGTCGAGGAGCCGCTAGGGCATAAGAGAGAGAAAAAGTATTAGGCCGCGGCAGGCTCTCCCTTGGCATAGCCTGCGTCGTCCTTGACCGTCAGTCCGGCCTCATTGAAGACAGTTCTCGGCGTCTAATTAATGGTCGCCAGGAAGCGCTTCAGCAATCCGTCCTTCGACGGCCGTTCGTTTGCTTGCCTAATCCCACCGAGCAAACAAGCGGCCGACAACGGCATTCTAAACAATCTCCAACCACTGATCTCTAGTACAATTCACTGGATCGCGCACTCCCTCTTGGTCGTTGCAGCGCGAGTGCTGCCACCGGAAATTCGGAATCGACCATGAATCGGCCCTCTTGGTGCTGTGTAAAAATCTGCCGGGTGAAGCGTCGCAGGCGGCTGCGTGCTGGAAGACGTGTTTTTTGATCGTTCTCCGTCGTTCGCAGAAGGTTAAAAGAAGAAGAAAAAACTGTGTAAACGGTTGTAGCTGCCTTTGAGGTGCTTTTGAGAACCCGTGAATTTTTTTACGAAAGCGCAGCACCGCGAGAAAAAGGCACAACTCGTCGGAACGCAAGTCTCGCGATCAGGCGGCCCGATCAAAGGACGTGCCTTGGCACGCCGAAGTGCCGCATGTGCTGCACCTCTGTGCCTTCGCACGAATTGGATGCCGATCAAGAATCCCTTCAACTCGTAACAAACCAGCACCCCGTGGAACCAAGACCCTGAGGTCAACTTCCTTCTGTTAAAGTGTGGTTCAAGCCACATCGCCGCTTTTGAACAAGGGAACCACGGGCGTCGAAAGTGTTCGGGATATGGGGGAGGGGGCGCAGAAAGATTCCCGTTCCTTCTAGTAAATTGATTAATTGCTAGAAATAAACGCAAAAAATAAATACCCCTTCCGCTCTTCGTCGCGACTGAATTAATCTCGTTTCTGGCATGCGGGTGCCGCAACTGACACTATTTACAGTTGTCAAAGCAAAGCAACACGCTGCTGTAGAGGCTGATACACTTTCACGCACGTTGCACCCGTGGAACTGTCCCGAAGGGTTAGCACATCCACACTGCGTCGATTCTTGATCGGTATTCAAGCGTGCAAAGGCACACAAAAACGCGCAGCACTTCGGCCTGCCAAGGCGTACACCAATACACGGCTCTGGCGTACACCCTTTGATCACGCCACCTGACCGCGACACTTGCGTTCGACGGGTCGTGCCTTTTTTACCTGCGGTGCTGCGCGTTCGTAAAAAATTTCCACGGGTTCTCCAAAGGCAGCCACAACCGTTTACATACAATTAAAAAAAAAAAAATCTTCAGCGAATAACGGCAAACAAGCAGAAAAAAAAAAAGTCTTCCAATAGCTCCGCGCTTTACCCTCTTCACCCGACAGATTTAAAGGCTCAAGATGGCGGATTCAGAACTTCCGGTTGTTCAGTCTTCTCTGTCTTCTCTGTGGAAACTCTGTCGAATCCAAAAACATAACCGTCGAGCGGTTTTACAGCTCTCCTTTCCGACTTCTCCTACGATGACAAGGAGCGTTTCTAGTTAACTGCGAAAAGTTTCTGTGGAAGCGACGAAAATGTCTCGCGGCAAGTGGCTTCGTTCACTAATAATCCAGCAAAAAAAAAACAAAAAAAAAAACGTTACAGCATACTTTGTGAGTTGGGAGTTTTGAGCAAAGTTTGCCACAATTATATCCTGTCAGCTGCGTCGGAATTAAAATATTTCTCAAGCTTATGGTATGAGAACTCCTAGGGAGTTTTGGGGAATCGTTTTTGCACATCCAATACGGTATCATGGGCCCTCCGGTACGAACTGCGCATATGCCCCTACAGAAGGCTGGCGCATGCGCAGTTCGTACCGGAGGACCCATCGTATGCCGTATCGTAGTGCAAAAACGGTTCCCTAAAACTCCCTATACTGTCTGAGGCGCGTCTCTTCCTTGTAGAACGGCCCTGCCACATTGGTAGGACGGCTCTGCCACATTTAGAATTGGGCTAGGTGGCGCGAGCTACCGCCCGTTACAAAAGCTATAGCCATTAACATCCATCCATCCATCCATGGTCACACAAAAACCGTCTGCAGACATGTTCCAAGCATATATATATATATACATACAAACATGCTTGGAACATGCCTGAGGCGTGTCCGCGGATAATCCATGTCGTCTGCAGCGTGCCTTTTGTACGATCTTCGATCGGTATGGCCGCGGCACTATGTGCATGGAGCACAAGTTCGTCTGCTTCTTTGGGTTGAGGTGACGTCAGAACGACGCCGAGGTCTTATTGGCTTTGATTGAAGGATAGTGGGTAGGCCTGAAGGCAGCTCGCTTTTTGTTCTATGCCCCCTATCCTTCAATCAAAGCCAATCAGAACTCGGGGTCGTTCTGACGTCACCGGAACCCTTGCAAAAGAAGCAGACGACTTGCTCTCCGCCAAAGCGCCAAAGTGCCATATGTGAGAGAGCTACGAAAGCGAAAAACTTTCGCACAGCTGCACTTGATTTGGAGCCACGAGTCTGGTGGACCGAGGATGTGCACCCTGCGAATTTTCGTGCTTCAGTTGGCACACGTTCATTCCAAACCTCGGAGGTCATTGGGAGCGCGTGCAGATGCCGCCCAACAATGCCACTGTGCCTTTTTTCTAATGCCCACGATGAGTTAAAGGTCATCGTACGTTCACAAGAGCCCATAAAAGGGGCGACAAAGTTCATAAAAATCAATCACCGCCAAAGCGTATATGCACTATCGACAGAGTGGTCGATATTGGGAAAGTAATTTCTCGAGTCACAGCTGACATCTTCGGCAGACCGCGAAAGCAGATCTGCGACAAAGGCGGCCGGGAAACCGCTAAGAATAAACCATACAAAAGGAAAGGCTTTTAGATTCGCTCGCGTGATTCGAAAGATGAGAATTTGAAGAGGGTTAGACGAAGTTCAGCCCCGTCTAAGGTCACTTTTGACTTTCAGGAGCGGCCTCATCCCCGCATCTTGTACGAGTAGGTAAGTCACGGGATGTGCTAGCGAGACGTCAACGTAGCGTAACATTACAGCGATCGCAGTACTTTTTTATATAGATGGGCAGTGAGCACACTAACAGTTCGCGAGGACATGCTTCCTTTTGGTGCGTGCTGCAGTTCTGCACGACGCTGGCGCTTGATGCATAGCGCATGTGTGTGTACAGGATTTTTGGTGTGCAAGCATGGCTTCCACAAATTTGAGGGTGAATCTCCTAGCCGACCCTCCTATGCAAGTAGCAGAAGACCCCATGAAGCGTTATGCAAGGGAAACCGCTGAATCGTATATATAGGCTCCACCAGTCTGAGGTGAAGGACCTTTAGAAAGAGAGAGCTCTAGTCGACGCTATCTTGGGTCCAGATTGGCTCCATAGCTTTTAACGTATACCGTTTGGTTATCCTTCCAGCGGATCAAATGTTTTAAACGTGCAGTAACGTCGAGGCACGACACACGGGTGTCAAATGTATACGAACCGAATCCTAAAGACTCTGCTGGCGACCGTCCGTTTGCATACCCAATTTATTTCGGCGTTACACGTTGCATTGTAACTAAATTCGGATGTCTAACATACATCAATATGTAATCTGTTAGGCTTCCCATAGATTGCGCTGACCTATAGGAGGACAGCGCATTGTGGTGCAATAATCGTGCCTTTCATGCGCCATCTTTATCGCTCTGGAAGGCGTTCTGAGCATGCGCAGTAGCACTCTGAGGAATGTCAGACGCATGCCTGTGCAGCCCTCGGAATGTTTCGCCTGTCTGATCTCGCGGCATCACATACACTATTCCACAGTAGATTCTCAGAACACGCTCCGTATGGCCCAGTAAAGGCATTTTGCTTTTTTCTGGACCCAAGATAGCTACCGGGAAGACGCACACTATCAAGCACAAGTCCTGACGTCATTGCCAAGGATACGCGGAGAAACTTAAAACGGGGAAGGTCAAAAGATGTCCCGAAGTCTGTTGTCTGGCGCGTGCAGAAGGCGATGCACTCCGAAGAATCAGATCACTCCCTCAGATTGGTAGTGAGTGCACAAATGCGTACAAGTTTCATCACGCTGATATCTAACAAAAAAAAAATGGCGGATTGACGCCGTGTGAACATGCCCTGTGTACTGTGGAGAGAAAAAGAAATGGTACCAGTGATCGGCGCACTTTTCGTGTTCCAGCGGGCGACTGCGACATCGAGACGATACGGGAGAAGGTGGCTGCGACAGACGAGAGGCTCCGGCGAACGGACAACTCCGGACCCCGGGGTGGATTCAGCTTCAGCAAGCAGACTTGCGAGTAAGTCGTTCCAGCATGCATATCTAGAGTGTCCCTGGTCGTTGCGATTCCGGCGTTCGCTTCGCGCATCAAAGCTGTTGGGCCACGCGCAACGCGAACGCCGCATGGTTCAGTTCACGGTGGAAAAAATAAACAGGTGTCTGAACAAGGCCAGCCAAGGTGGCAAAGGTTTGCTCGAGAATCGAGCACCTTCCGTAAGGGGCATCGTCGTCCTGACAAATTAGAGCGTGCTGGGAAAGTTACGGGGATAAAGGAAAGCAACATGACCAGCAAAAAGGACGGGGACAGAAAAAAAACGTATTTCCATGGAAAGATGTTACGTCCTGTCCTGTTCCCGTCCCTTTAGGAGTCTCGCACCGGCCACTTGATGAGATGTGCCCTAACACGTTGCGCCCTCTTACGGCATTTTCCAAAATGCGAGCGAACCTTCGCCACACTTGCTCCTTGGCGTGGCGGCGCCGTTCAGACACATCGTCTTCCAGCATTGTTCAAGTCTTCACGAGCGTCAGAACAGTTCAGACGGGCTAGGCGGCACCAGCTGCCACCCATTTCGAAGGGTTCAGCGCGTTCAGCCAATATGGTTCAGCCAGTTCAGCCTCACCACACCCAGTTTAGCGGGAGTCGTGGATGCCTTGCGCAATGCCCGGGTACGCGGCAAACGCGCGTGCAACAACAAAGGCTCGGTTGACAGGCGGTCCGCCGCAGAGCACCAACTTTGCGGACTATTTTGAGGTCTCCCATCTGGGGAGGCACCCTTGCCTCGAGATTAGCTTTCGGTGAAGTAAGAACGGAACCTCGTCGGCCTTATGTTCCGCATGCTTGGCTAATTGGTGACGTCTCAGCCAGCAAGAAAGTGACACCTTGCAAGTTTTAAGTTTAAAATAATGAATTCAGTCCAACCCTACATCAGCAAGACGGTGGCGAAGACCGAATGGTAGAACGTCATAGTGACATAATCCTGTTCTGGCTGGCATCCCAAAGCTGAGTTCTTCAAAAAATGTAAATCTTTCGAAAAAAAAAATTTATGAAAAGAAAGTTTTGCGTGAGTAAACCGACGCTTGCAACGAATAGGCAATAGTTTGTTAGACGAGGCGCACAAAGAAATCGCTCTAGTAACACTTTTAAGACTGGCGCTTTTAAGAGTTCCCAAATGCGTTCTGACATACAAAGTTTCTATCGACCAAAGCGCCTTTTGCGATGACGCTGCTGGCATTGCAGCTTACCCTCACTCACACGCCTCAGCTCCCGCAAAGCTGGTTTCTGCGCGTACGTAGAGCCCACGCTTCGTGTGCCAACGGGTCTTCGTTTGTAAAGAAGTAGGGTAATTAAGTGACAACTCTAAAGAAACGTCACACTTGAAGTGGTGACGTCAGCAGTTTTGTCACAAACCTCATGCGCCAAGTCGATGACGTCATGCAATAACTGGTGACGTCAGCAGTGTGGATCCCCATTTCTCAATGTGTTTCTCCGTCCACAGGGAGTTGGAGATCCTGTTTAATGCCATCGAGAGCCGCCTCAGTCGCTGCACAGAATCCGAAAAGAACCGCTACGGTCTGATCTTGGACAGCGGACGCCGGATGGCTGAGCTCAAGTGTCGTGACGTCATGGACAGTGGTACGCCGATGCGCAAGCTGTCTTCCAGCCTATTTCTTGCCCATTTTTCGGAGACCTCATCTGGTCTGTATAGACGTTCTCTCGTCTTACCGAGCCACTGAAACGGACGTTGACGAGCTTCCACAAAGGCCAATGCTGGGGAGAAGGACACATTAGAATCTCAAATGGCAATAACCTGCAGCCTGCTATGTAACGCGACGATGAAGTGAAGTGAAACCAAATAAAAGGTTAACAAAACTGAAGATCGGTTTAATGGCGACGCCCATGCACAGCTGCTTGAAAGCGTCGAAAGCCTCCCCCGTCTACATAGACCCTAAAGAGTTAAACTTACCGCCGAATTCAGAAACCTCACTCAAACTACACTCAAACTGAAGGGCCCCTCCACTTCCTTGAGGAAGGCGCGAGGGCCGGCGCTGGCCAATCGCGACGGCGGATCCGTCCTCGCGAATGGCCAGCGCCGGCCCTCGCGCCTCGCTCGAGAAAGTGGAGGGGCCCTTCAGTTTGAGTGTAGTTTGAGTGAGGTTTCTGAATTCGGCGGTTAGTCTCTGGTGGCCTGTTGTAGGGATCAAAAACACTCCTTTTAACGGATCAAAACTACGACCTAAAGGGATCAATTTAAAGGGACTAAAAGAAAAAGGAGGGACCAAGCGGTGGTCTTGCCGTTTTGGGGGATCACTCTCAGGGACATCCACTTAGTCCCCCAAAGGACGAACTACTACTCCCTTTTTTTAGGAGTGTTAGCGGGGAAATTGGCGTCACATGGCCGATACCTTAAGACTTCAAAACAGTTTCACCGCTAAATTTATATAGGTCACACGACGCGATGCCGCGTTATGTCAATTTCCCCGGGAAATACAGAAGGAAGGACAGACACAGTTCTGGCAGCTGATACTCAAAAGCGAGTGTTGTCTCCTTCCCAATTTGACAGATCTCCATTCGACTTTTTCAGAATGTTCTTTTCCCGAAAGAACAAACGAATATGTTTTTCTCGAAATACAGCACACCAGAACATGAAACTTTGAGTCGGTCCCAACCCTCCGTGTGTCAGGGGTTTTATTTAACCAGCCGGCCTGCATGTATACTCTCACTTCAGCTGCCTCGAAGGAGTACATCTCCTGCCTGCGAAACTACAACCACACGGCCGACCACTGCATGGAGCGGCTGAGCGCCCTCAAGGACGAGTACAAGGAGTATTCGGCCGGGCTGACCAACAGCAACGACGTCTGCTGGTGAGTACTGCCGCAGAGACACCGCGCAGTGTTTTACCAGTTGGACGGCCGGGGAACCCCGACGTCGCTTTTAATTGTAGATTCGCACTCAATATTTCGTACAAGAGCGGCTTCCGACCATAACTTCTACAGCGCAGGCGTTGACGTCAAGCCGCCGGAGTGGCGCTGCATGCAGTCGCTTTAGGAACCTTATTTAGCCCAGGGTGGTTTCCGCGCACGCGCACTGGCCTCCTCACGTGGTATGGGCAGACGTTTCTTCTGGGCGCCGCCATCTTGCATGCCGGTGGGCGAGGGCTAACTTTTATCGTTCGACTGTTATGCGCATGCGCCGAAATTGAGCTGATGCCGCCTGGCGGAGGGGTGTAAAGCGATATTCAATCGAGTGAGAAATTCGGCGGACGTGGAGCGCCATCACGCGACTTCACGCTTTTGTGATGTGGTGCAGTGACGTGAGCTCTGTAGTGGGAAGGACTTGGGGTGTGCCTTTAATCTTGTTGAAGAGATACTGAACCGAAACTTAAAACATACCTCTCACGTTCAGAAATAAGTTAAACATGATCAAGTGTATCTGCTAATGACAATAGCACGTTGGTATTTCAAACGGATGGCCGTATTTTTCGTATACTAAGGAGCGCTTCAAAATCGGCCATTTTGAGGTAAAAAAAGCGCAACTGGACACGGACGAAGAACAAGAACAGGCGGGACTTAGTGCTGACTATTAACTGATAGTAACACCTTTTCCAAAAGGGCGCAGCCATCTTGAAAGTCGTCACTTCTGGTATGCGTCAAAACATCGTTTTGATCTCTCCACGCCGCTGAAAGGTGTTCACATACACACACAAAAAAGTGTGATTGTCATACATTCTTGTTTTTCCTCACCTAAATTTTCTCGCGTATTCCAGGTTAAAATGTCTCATTATTTTTTCGTCCGGAATACCAGATATAGAACCCACGTGATTGAGAACGAAAGGAAGCGGAGGGGCGGGTGCAGGAATTTCCTGACGGGTGGGGGTCAGGTGCTGGTCAGCGTACCATACGTTTAGGAACCCCCCTCCCTCTCCCTCGTTTTACGCCCCAATTTTTGCGCATGCAGAAATCAAGAGGGGAGCCAGGACATCCGGACCCCCCCCCCCCCCCCCCCCCCCTCTCTAAATCCGCCCCTGCATTTAGTGACGGCAACACAAACCAAAGTACAAAAAAAAAAAAAAGAAGAACTCGTGATTATTCCGGCATCTTTGAAACCTGATAAAGGCGTTGTGCTACAGGTGTCAGGAGTTTTACATATTTTATCACGACGAGGTGAAATATCGCAATTTCCTATCTGAGAGGGATACCACGTTCGTTTTTCCTGAAGATGTAACTGAACGCGAGAAAACACACCGACCAGTGCTTACGTCGATATAGGCCCGTACCTCTCAAGATTTTGAGCAGCGCTCCAGGCGAGCAAAATATATATTTGGCTCGCGTTTGCATCAGTACGCTTCCCCACTACACTTTTTAGTACTCCGTTCCATTATAAGTGCCAGCGTAGCAGAGGCTACAAGAGCGAGTTCCGAGCTTTCAGTTTCCCTGCCAAGCACGTGCGCTCGTGCAGTGCGAGCATCGTTCGGGGCAACGTGCTTTTGCAAGTAGCTTTGGCTTCGCTATCACATAAAGTGAAACGTAAGTGCTCGCGGAAGCATGAAAGAAAGCAATTCAAATATTAACGCTGAATGGAATGTTTAATGGGACGCTGCGGCCATAAGCTGCATAATTTTTTTTTTTTAATTTTAATTTTAATTATTTTATAAGTTTTGTTATCGCGCATTTACAGATGCCGACAGATGCTTGTGTTCGAACGTGGCACGTGCAAAATCGAATGTTACAAAGAAACCTGGATGGTGTAGCCTAAGGTGTAGCCATCATAACATGCTCGCGTCTTGCGAACGCGCTTGCGCCCCTAGCTGCCCCAGAGCAACGGGTCTTAGCGCGTGTCGCTCGTGGGGCAGCTTTGCCAGGTATATTCCCCCGCACTGACACCAGTCGTGACGTCTTTGTCTGACCCTTGTGAAAATAGCAAGGCCACGCGTGCATAGCTTTGGTTCTGAATGAAGGATAGCGGGTAGACCTCAAAGCAAGCTGCCTTGAGGTCTACCCACTATCCTTCAATCAAAGCCAATCAGACCTCGGCGTTCTGACGTCACCACAGCCCCTGCTAAAGGAGCAGACGAACTTGCGCTCGGGCATTGTCATCCCATAAATTCTCCGACAAGCTTGATGAACTTAATTTTTTTCCACTATCTTCGCCAAACAGATCAATGTGTTACTAGCCGCGCTACTGCAATAAATAAACGCGTTGCTGGTTGACATTTTCGGGGATTAGCTAACCTTGGTCAGGAGTTTGTGAGCGTTTACGCGGGAGTTTGGAATTCCGGGTGCCGACGACTCCGCTTGCTCGCAGTGCCTACCATTCGTACCACAAGTGCCTGGGCGACAAGCTGTCCTCGGGCTGCGGTGAAGAGGCGAGGCAGTACACGGAACTGTACGCGGACAAGCTCACCAACAAGCTCCTGTACAACTTCTGCAAGAACTACGAAACCTCGGTCTGCGTGGACACAGACTCCGGAAGTCAACTGACCATGAGCGTGTTCACGCTCCTCGTCGCCACCTTTGTTGTCCAGACCGCAAGTCCTACATGGTAGAAGACAATGACCGGAGCTGTGAAGTGCCTTCCAAATAGAAAACCATCGCTGCATCGACTCAATGTATAGAAGAAAGGAAGACAATTAGAAAAGAAAAATGAGTTGACGTACAAAGAGGGTGGTTCACACACCTGCGTTCACTGGTTGCAACCGACCACTTTGTTCAGCCTTGTGATCGGAGAGAACACTGACACGCTGGTGCCAGGTAGCCGCAGAACTGGATTTAACTAGAGTGGTGGTCTTTCAGTATTTGCCAGATCAGATGTGTATACTGGATGAGAAATGGTCGTTTACAACATTGCCAAAGGCCTTTCCGCAGTCAAATAATGATGCGAAAAAAACACGAGGAAATATAGGCAAACTACCTGATAGTGTGTACTCTCTCGTTGTGAGCGATCGCAAGACTCGGTGTACCAACCAGCCTTAAAGGAGCAAGCTAAGTAGACAGTTCCTTGCTCTCCGTCATTTCATCACCATTGATGAAATACATCATGACACCTTAAAGTAAAATCATTTAAAGCTTGACATTAATACGCAGTTCACTGTTAATATGAATCGGACAATTCATCTCAAGTGTGCTCAAAGTTCTATATTACTCTAATGCCAAAATGATAAAATGTGAGATTACCCAAAGAGACTGACTGGTGCCGTGCTGCATGATGGTTCGCACACAGCAGACAGTGCAATTATAAACCCGCATTCGAAATACAGGACGAAGTTTCTATTTCAAGCGAAGGATATTGAAGTTTAGTTTATTACACAAGATCTAAACGGCGGATTGTAAAGCCTTCGTGGAATGCAAATGAATATCTTATTCAACTTCAATCCCAGCCTTTGTTCTATAGTAGTATTGCTTTTGTTTTACGGTATCTGTCCGAAAATGGCCTCGTCATGATCGGTTGTCAGTATCGTTGGCCACTCATTTCCCGCACATTGCAACACTTTACTGTTGCGAGGGAGGTATTGAGTTTCGACAGACATTAGTCCAAAGGAGCTGGATGTTTACAAACGTTTTGACCAGACGACGTTTGTCAATGTGCTCCTTGGCACTCGTTTTTAATTTGTTCATTTGTATCATATAGGAGATTTTCTTTATGTTTACATCTCCTTGCTCACCAACGGTAGTATTTCTGCCCAAGCATATAGTTGTTCTGTGAATAATTTGTTGAATGATTTCATTGTACAGACGATGTTTGTCGAATAAACCTTTTGACTTCGGTAACAACTAAGTCACTGCCAACACTACGAAAATGGTGCCTGCTGTCTGTTTTGATGCATTGCTGAGATTTCTCAGTCAACCAACCATTCTAACCAAGCTTAAAAGGACCGGCTTGACGAATGCTGTTGCCCAGAGAGTACTTTGTCGTTCCCCATGCAAAGATGACGTATTTTTGCAGATTTCGGGTAGAAAACTCAACGCAGGTGGCACCCTTACGAAGTGCTCACATCACCTTTCTTTTTGTTCTTATTTTGTTACGTTGTACGTATAAATCACCGAAACTTTCGTGTGTAGAATGTCACGTGCCAGTGTGGCCGGCCTTACCATCAAGCGCCCAGCCGTAACGCCCCTTCACTCCCCCCCCCCTTTTTTTTTAAGGCGAAAGTTTTCTATGTTTTATTACGAGAAAAGGTGTCGGCGTTGTGCCCGAAAAATGGTCACACCAATACGTCACCAAGCACGCGCTGCTCAAGGTCAAAGCGGACGCGCCTCAGAAATAAAACACAAAGGAAAGCACAGCAACTCAGATGCTTCGTCACAGAAGCCGGCGGGATTCTCCGCGCCTGCGCAGTGGGGGAGCGTGACGTCACCACCGGAGCGCGCCGTGTGCAAAACGAAGACGCGGCGCGCTCCTTGTAGGAATGCGCCGCGTGTCGCATTCCTACACGGTGTTTTTTTTTTTTTTTTTTTTTTTTATACGCGCATATCAACTTCACTTCATCTCAGAAGTTCCGTGGAGCATAGTGGAAACTGCGGGGTGCGCGCAGGCTAAGTGTGGCGCAACGCAATAAAGTTCCGTCGTTTGCTGCCCGTTTTCGTTTCAAACCTCTCAAAATAAAAAATAAAATAAAAAAGTGCACATTTCTAAACTGTTGTAACCTTGCCTAACTGTGAAACACATTTCTTGGTTTATCTAAATTCGGTGATGTAACTCAATGTACTGTCAGGTTATCCGTTGGGTTTTTGGGAGTTCGTAGGTGATCGTAAGTTTAAGGCGTAGACTGGGGTTGATTTAAAATTAACAAGACGCTCATTAACTGGGATTGCAATCGGTTACACAAGGTTACATTACGTCGGAAGGAAGAGCGGTCGTCCCGTCCGTATCGTACGGCGTCCCGGAGTCGTCTCCGTTGCGAAGGGGCTTCTCCTCGGTGAGACGTAACCCAACGCCTTGCTCCTCTCGCCTCGGGACTCTCGCCCGGGTCACGTAAACCGGGGGGCCCGATTCTGGGGGCTCCACGGAGGTGCAATGGGAAAGCCCAGGCTGGACGAATTTTTAGAGCGCAGCTCTTAGGCGCCCGTTTCCGGCTTGAGCGGCGTCGCCGTCGCCGTCGGCGTAACCAAGGTCATCCCAAGGGCACGTGACCCCCAAGGTCACGTGACCCCCGGTCATGTGACCCCCCAAGGTCAGGTGACCTCTCCCAAGGTCACGTGACCTCCCGAGGTCACGTGGCCCCCGGGAGCTCACGTGACTCCCCCGAGGTCACGTGACCCCCCTCTCCGAGGTCACTTGACCCCCGAAGTCACGTGACTCCCCTGAAGTCACGTGACCCCCCCTCTCCGAGGTCACTTGACCCCCGAAGTCACGTGACTCCCCTGAAGTCACGAGACCCCCAAGGGCACGTGACCCCCCGCCGAGGTCACGTGACCCCCGATGACGTCATCGTCACTGATGACGTCACCGGCATCCGCATTGTCATCGTCATCATCACTGATGACATTATCAGTGACGTCTCTGATGACGTCACCGGCATCCGCATCGTCATCATCCCTGATGACGTCACCGACATCCGCATCGTCATCATCACTGAGGACGTCATCAGTGACGTCACTGATGTCGTCACCGGCATCCGCATCATCACTGATGACGTCACCAACATCCGCATCGTCATCATCACTGGTGACGTCATCAGTGACGTCACTAATGACGTCATCGGTATCCGCATCGTCATCGTCACCGACGACATCATCGGCATTGTCATTGTCACCCCCCAAGGTCACGTGACCCCCCCTCCGGTCAGTTGACCCCCCCCCCCCAGTACCCTTCCCTCCTCCTCCTCAAGAGCTGCGCTCTAATTCGGTGTTACAGGGAGTTGTAAACGGCTCTCACTTCTTGGTCGACTGTCTGGGTCTCTGTCTGGCGGGCTCGGTGGCTCTCCGCGCGGAAAACGCGTGACGCTGACAGTACAAAGGGTGTCCCTCTGCACATTGAGTGACGACGAAGAAGTTATCTTCCATCGATTCTCGCTTATAACTATAAGGTTCCGTGATTTCGGATAAATCCGAAAAACTCAACAAAGCACCCGCCGGTAAGATGTTGGTCAGTTCGGATTTATCCGATAAATTCCGAATTTCGATGTGCCAATCCCCCCCCCCTTCCCCCCCCCCTCCCCCCCCCCCCACACACACACACAAACACACACACTTTTTTTTACAATTAATGGTTTGATCAGCGCGTAGAGTCAATGGTCCTGTGAAAATGCCACTAAACGAATTGTTTCGAATTTCGGACAGGACAACAGGTCATTGTACTTTCGGGTCACGACAAAAGCCACTATTTATGTTTCCAGTTTGGGTTATACTATTTGTGCTTCAGGGGAAGGAGAGGTTAAATTTTTTTTGAACAGTAAAAGCAATGGTGGGGGAGAGGGACAGTTGAAACTTGTCTATTACACCCTTACCACTCTACCTCGCGTGGCCGCGCGGTAGGGAGATGGAATAGTATGGAATGAATACAAGCTTCCCAGCGACTACCTCCAGGTGTTTATTGATTTTAGGGTATCGACATTTATCGAAGCAACACTTGTGTGTAACTTTTCTCGTAGGACAAATCAGTATTGCCAGTAGTAATGACACCAACGCCAAATACAACTGAAGAAAATAATAATTAATACAAACACGAGTTTTTTTTTGTTTTTTTTTTATCGAGCATACGTTTACACCCGGATAGTATTTTTTTTTTTTTTTTTAAGAATAAACACTGCGAAATTGAACTCCGAATTTCGGAGAATTGGGAATCAAACAAACATAAACTCCGATAAACTCCAAATTTTCGGCAAAAAATACACGCTTCCATCGATTTTCGTTTATAACCCGTCACAGTTCTGGAAGATTTTAAAACTTACTAAGAAAAATACCATGTATCCCTTTTGAATTGAAGGGACCACATCATGCGCAGTGACGAATGTTGCTCTGTGCTAAACGACGTTTTTTCAAGGTCCTTTCAAAATCCTTGTGTACACGCAGTGCCACAATTACGTAACTGCGAGTTCTTTCCAATGGACCCTATTGTTACTGATTCTGTGGGAATTATGAATTTAATCTGCAAATTGAAGTTTTCCACTTGTTGTGGCGTTGATGGAATTAACTCAAAGTTTCTAAAAAAACAAAAAAAAAAAACAAAAAAAAAAAAACCAAAACAACACTGGTCTATTCATTTTTTTATCGCACATATTCATATGATCGGAAGGTGGTTGCTCTCCACAAGTCCGACAATACACAATACCCCACGCTTTACCGAGCATCCTCTGGAAAAAAATTTAAAATGTCATCTCATCAAACCTCCGTGTCTTTTCTCGAGTCTAATTAATATTTCAGCCCCTTTCAGCATGGTCTTCGCAGAAACTAATTCTAATCACCGAAGAAGTTAATAATTTTCCTTTTTTACTGTATTAACTGAAATAACCAATCATCCCTTAGCCTTCACCATCCAATCCGAATCCAACTAGCCAGTCTGTCGCGCATGCGCGTAACAGTCGAACCTGAGTCGAACTTTTCACAAGAAGGTAGAAAAAGACGACCCTGGTCGAACGCGAACCTCGACCGGTTCGCTACACTCCTAGTCGTGAGTAGGGATGTCGTGAACCGGTCGAGGTTCGTGTTCGACCAGGTTCGACTTTCTCAAACTTGAAGGTTTGTCGAACCACTGGAACCCCGAAAGTTCGACCTAAAAATCCGGTTCGACAAAAGTTCACGACATCCCTGACTCGTGAGTGCGACGTCGGCGGTTTTCTCGCGACTGCGATTTTCAATAGTGAACGACATTGCGCTCGGTTTGGAAAACCCAGTAAGGTGGGCAATGATCACCGGCAAGTTGATGCTTGCGACGCGCGAACATTTCTCGGCGGAGGTACGGTGTGCGAAGGTCAGTACACGACAAGGAGGGTACACGAGACCTCTCTTGCCCAAGCAACGCAGGCGGACACGACCGGTCGACCGCTCGCGTCGCATTCTCATGTTTAAACAAATCTAACATGTTACTCTAGACAAAAAAAAATCTTTTTTTCTTTTAAGTTACAGCATTTCGAGTGTGAAATAAAAATTGTGACTATCTTGGTGGCGTTGCAAGCGCGAGATGCTTGGACTTTCGCGTTGCGGCGGAGACGCTATTCTAAAACTCTCTTGCGTAGCGTGCGCTAACGCAAGCGCTAAATTTAGCGCTGGCGTGCGCTAACATTGCGTACGTTATTCTAAAACTCCATATTGTCTTGATAGGTGGTCATCGTGACGAAAGGTACGTCGAGGACTATCGCCGCCCCGAGGAGCCGGAGGAGACTAGAGCACTATATAGCTCCTACGGAGCAGAGTAGCGCAATCCTTTGAACTCCGTGTTTTGCCGACAACATGGCCGACAGAGCGGATCGGCGCGAGTCACGTGGTACTCAGGGTTCCAGGAGGCGGCCAGCCCTATGGGAGAATACATGGAGATCGACTCAACACGGCTGATTAGAAAATGAACGCCGAGTTCACACTTTTCAAAACTAGTCTGTCGTGAATTTAGTAAAGCACTAAACATTTTATCAAAGTTTTAATAATATCGGATGCGTGTGCAAATTTTGAGAAGGCTATTTCCAAGTCAATGGCGTTTGAAGCAGACGATTTTTGCTCGCAGCGGAGATGGGCTTTTCGGGTTGGCCGGAGCGGGTCACGTGAATGGTGTGACGTCGCCGTGTCGTCTGCTGCATGATGCCGCTCAGGCAATTTTTTAAAAAAAGTCACGTCCTTGCGGGGCACAAAACTTAGCGAAAATTATTCTAAAATGTTTCATTATTATGTCAAAAACGACTGCCATTCCGTACATCCCCACAATACTGAAGAAACAACGATTTTCTCACGTTCTCCATGCATTTCTGACCGCAGTTGGAACCTCCGGGCGTTCGCCACTAGTCGCCGAGAGGCGGCGTTCTAGATTGCGCTACTAGACTAGATACGCGCGACGGGAACGCCACCCGGCGGAAGGAAAGGAAACTAGGCACGCAAGCGCTTGGAACGATTACAAAGAGAGGGCGGTGAGAGCCCTCTCTTTTTTTTCTTGACGCACACGAAAAGTACACGGAACCCTAGCGGTAAAAAGCTTCGCTGTAAAATAAGAAATCGCTAGTGCCCTCATTGATGCCTTTTCTCTCAAGTCCCCGAAGCGCGAGTACAGTTCAATCTGTATCCAGAAGCGTCACCTAATGCTAATCAATTTCGGAAAAGGTAACCATGCATTAATCTTGAACAGCTCGCTTGCACCTTTGCGTTCATTGCATTATATATCAGCATAACCACGCATTTGTTTAAAATTTATTGACCTCCGAAACACAGGTCTCCGTCCAACTAAACACCGTATAACCACTAATATTTCTATGGACTCGATTCTGCCAACATGCCAATGCAACACCACAAACATCGTTAGTCAGTGTGTTCAAAGTTTCCCGCGTCCGCTCTAAAAAAAATTGGGTTGTGTGTGTGTTTATACAGCCTAGAACTTGGTCTGCCTCACAGGGGCGACGAGTCTCCCAGCTGTAGATGAGAAATTTAGCCAGTGCGGTACAGCCGCTAGCCTGGGGTCTTTAACGTGCACCACGCAGTAGTGATACACGACCGCACGCCGGTACGATGCTCATCCAGATCGAAACGGGCAGGGGTGGGGCTCGAACCCAGGATCCCTAGGTTCTGCAGCGCGAGCAGCGCGTCCGCTCTGCAAGCTCTTGGGAGTGCGGATAAGAATCCAACGTGATCCAACACAATCCGCACAGCAAACATCGTCAGTGTGTTCAAAGTTTCCCGCGTCCGCTCTGCACGCACTTGGGAGTGCGGATACGAATCCAACGTGATCCAACACAATCCGCACAGCGGATTACAATCAACCACTATCTGCGAATCGGCAGCCTATCTACTACCTCTACTACCTTTCTACTGTTTGTTTACCTCTGCACACAGTTTGAAAAGCGACCTGAGGCCTTGCGGGTCTCCATGTGATTAAAAACCCAAGGTAAGCCATTTCCACTTAGAATCGCTTAGCTAAGTATGAGTCTCGCCGATGCGCTGCGAAAAGCCGCTCGTACAGCGGCCGACGGAGACAGCGGCAAGACGGACACGGAGCTGTTTGCCGAACTCTACGCCAGCCGAAGCAAGCATTCGGAAGCAAACGCGATCCCACGGTTCCACTACAAACTGCCGTCGGACGACAACGTACTCTCCCAAAAACTCCGCGAGGAGTCTCGGGCCCGTTTCCTGGAAAGACGCAGCGTTGAGCTCCTCGATCACGACGAACTCAAGACCCTCCTGAGCGAGCTGGAAAACAGCCCTTCTCCACCTCTTCACGAGGAGTCCATGATCAACTATGGCGATTTCAAGAAAGTCGAAAGCCGTTGCGGCGAGAAGTACCGCTCTTTCTTCTCAGCCAAGGTGTTCTCGAAGCTCTTGCAGAACGACCCTTACGGGCGGATCTCCGTGCTGGACTTGTTCAACTACGTGATGAAAAAGGTCTGGCTCCGGCAGACCCGCATCGGACTGTCCCTCTACGACGTCTCGGGTCAGGGCTACCTCCGCGAGCACGACCTCGAGACCTACATCAAGGAACTCATCCCCCAGCTGCCACAGATCGACGGCATCGAGCGGTCCTTCCACTCGTTCTACGTCTGCACCGCGTTGCGCAAGTTCTGTTTCTTCCTAGACCCGCTTCGAACGGGAAGAATCAAGATACAGGACATCCTGTGCTGCCCTTTCCTCGATGACTTCACGGAGCTGCGCGACGACAAGCTCACCAAGACGGATCTGGAGAACAACTGGTTCTCCGCGCCGTCTGCTCTCAAGGTCTACGGAGACTATCTCAACCTAGACCGCACCAGGACCGGGATGCTGAGCAAGTCCGAACTGGCACGCTACGGCAAGGGCTCCTTAACGGGGGCCTTTGTTGACAGGGTCTTCCAGGAGTGCCAGACGTACGACGGGGACATAGACTACAAGACTTACCTGGAGCTCGTGCTTGCTCTGGAGAACCGTAAGGAACCGCAGGCCCTGCAGTTCTTCTTCCGGATCCTGGACGTGAAAGGATGTGGCTACCTGGACGTCTTTTCGCTCAATTACTTCTTCCGCGACATCCAGGAGCAGATGAGGCTTCATGACCAGGAACCGGTGGGATTCGAGGACGTGAAGGATGAGATCTTTGACATGGTGAAGCCCGAGGATCCAACCAGGATCACACTGCGTGATTTGATTCGTTGTGGGAAGGGGGGCACGGTGGTGAGCATCCTGATAGACTTCAACGAGTTTTGGGCTTACGACAACCGAGAGACGCTGGCGGCAGAGGTGTAACTGCGCAGTGTGTGAAAAGTCTTTGGTGCATGATGAACTGGTGACTTTTCTTTGTACATACATGGCAACTTCTTGGGAAGCCTTCTTTTGTATTTTCATCAAAGACATTTGGGGTGCCTCTATAACCCTAGCATCAAATTAAATAAAAAAAAAAACTTGACTGCAAGTGTTGCCTTCATGTTTGCTAGCACTGTTGCGGGGAACTGCGTAAAATGTTCGTCAATCATTCATAACCACCACAACGAACAGATGGGGACATGAAGAAGACGAGTCCTCCTTTATTATGCTCGTTCGCCTTAATATTTTAATTCAGCAGTCTATCTTGTGCTCCGAGAAACTGAGAAAGAGAAGGAGACGAGAGTGTGCGGAGACGTCAGAATGTCAAATTTTGATCGGAATGATTGGGGAATAGACATACCATAAAATACCGTGCAAGCGCCCACTCAAAATTTGTAGATTATTGCAAAAAAAATAGGGGATATGTGCATCTGAGGTCATCAGTTTTACATATGTACCGCGCATATTTTTTCAGATGTTTCAAATGTTGGGGTTGGGCACTTAGCGTGGAATGGGCGGATGCACGGTATTCTACAGTAAAGCCAGCTGCCTTTGTCTTCACTGCACTCGTTGAACAGATTCGAACGCGAGAGTCAGACGCTGGCGTTCCATGTTCCAACGAGTTTGACACGCCGGCATTCCGCGTTCGACGAGTGCAGTGTAGACAGAGGAAGGTAGTTTTAGGTCTACCCATTAATCATTCCAAAAAGAACTTGGCGTTCTGATGTCACCGCACACTCTGATCTCCTCCTCTCCCTCAGTTTCTTGGCGCATATCTTCAGGAGCGATTAGCTTCCACAATGCATATTGAAACAACTTCTTCGTGCAGTCATCATGGATGTGCATATTTCCTCTTTCGAAGTGCCCGCTACACTTCGTTCACCCCCAAGCTGATGCGATTGGTGGGAGCTACACGCTCGCCAAACCAACCAGCCATCTGCTTTACATCACCTGACCACTTTCTCTGCGAGGGGGTGATCGTGTGGCAGAGGATCTACGTACGACTGGTCCAGCGAGCTCGTAGCCTCCACCACGTTGTCAGCTTAGAGGTGAACGGAGCATAGCCTGGTGGGCTAGCAGATGTTCTACAACAGGATTACAATGTTTTTATTTTTGGCGACAGGTCAAAAAGCAAGTAGATGCGTCACCCCAAGAGCCAGGTTTCTGCCTTCGATAACGCTTCGTCACATGCACGGCCAAACCCAGGTGGAAGGCAACGGTCGCACGTTAGGCGGAGCATCTACCGAGATAACCCATCGCCGACCGTAGTCCTGTGCACATTCTGTGTGCTAATGAAGTTAATTGCCCTTATCATGTTACGCTCAGCGTCTCCAGACAGAACCAAAACCGTTTATGGCTCATTAAAAGCACTACCTCGAGTTTCAACGAACCCAAGAAGCGTAAAGCTTTTCCCCCTTCTGCATGCATTTCCGAGTGCTTGTCCTTAGCAGCAGCTTTCCTGCGCCGCAATTTCCCAAAATGAGCGGGGCTGAACGCGCTTGCAGATGATCTTCTACATCCACCCTCCGCTGTTGGACGTTCCGCTGGATCTGCTGCGGGACATTTGCTGCAAGAGGATGGCGCTCCTGATCAAGATCGACGCGTCCGAAGGCGACGTCGAGGCCATCCGACGGGTCCTCGAGCAGGACGACACCTGTCACGAGTGCCTCCACGAGGGCACCACGGAGGACCTCGTGTCGCACTTTGTCGTCAGGTTTGGCCACGTGGAGGACCTATGCGGCACATTCGTAATTTCTCCCACGTTTGTGAAGCGGGGTTTTTGCGCGATAGAAAAAGGATAGATGAAGCTCGGAGCGCCCTTTGCTGCTCGACTACTTTTTTTTTTCAACCAATGTACTCGCACGTATCCGACAGATTCTGTGTGTTTGAGGAAGGGGACTGGTGGCCTAGTGTGTCGAGGCATTGCGGCTCGGAGCACGTGGAGCGAAAGCCCACGCTCTTTGGAATTCCTGCGTTCAGACCCCAGCCCTGCCCGTTCGGGATGAGCATTGTGCAGGTGTGCATCACTACTCCAAGGTGCACGTTAAAGATCCTGGGCTAGCGATCATGTTGCTCTGGCCAAATGTTTCGCGTGCAACAGTGTCGCCGCACCTCAAAGACAGACCGTCCCTACGTCCGAGGGTAAACGTCTGATTCGCTTTCTTGCCGTTGAGGAAGCTTCCTCTTTGCAACCAGCAGGGGCATTTCTTGGCAATAGATAACTCCCTCCATAGCACTCACTAAAGGTGGAACAAACAGAAGATACCCTGTAATGGGTACACAGCCCTAGAAGTAACCAAATAGGCAAAAGGAAAAACTCCTGTAGCCAGTACTGGTCATTTAGCACTGGTCTTATTACTGGTCACTTAGCACTGGACGTATTCCCTCTAGGAAGCAGAGTATCATTCATTTTCCCATCAACCATTAATTTCAAGGTCCCTTTAAGGGACCATATTTAGGCACTGAAAGTTAACTTAGGTAAAGGCATAGGCTGCAGTGTAGAGCTTTGTTGACAGCTACTACAGGCAGGCTTCAAGACCCAGTGGAGATTAACAATTTAGAAGGAATGCATCCTCTTTAGTCGTTAAAGGGGCGTGAATGTGATTATTGCGGGTCTAGGAGTAGCTACGACCTCCTTGGTGACTGACCTCTCCTCATGAAAGACATGCCACACGTAGCTCCTCTCAAAAAAGATTATAAGGCAGCATCTCGCGCAATGTGGATCTCACTTTCACGCTTGTACCCTTTAGAAAACCATCTTAACATGTATCATCGCTGCATATATCTGGAGACGAGGCACAAGTCGCCCAATGCTCATTTGCCTGTAAATGAGCTTGTGATACAAGCATTGACTTTGGATGCTGGGTGCACCCCTTCTCGAAGTTCTCTGAGGTTCCACCAACTTGCTGCGCCTCAGTGTCACCGAAAGTCGTCTTAGCAAAGTGCTATTTTAGTGGGGAGTCTGCAGCGAGTAGGAATTGTGTAAGCGGACGATTTCCTCGCAGGTCCGTCCTAGTGACGCAGCGGTCGGCGCTCGAACACGTTGTGCGTGCAGAGGCCATGCTCTTCCGCTACCGTTTTGAAAAACTTTCCTGGGACGAGAAATGGGGCATCCTTGGGCACATCCGCGAAGAGGTGCAATTGACGCTGGGATGCAAGCTCGCCCAGGACTATCGGAACGTTCTCGAAACGTTGACCAAGGTCCTCGATGCAATGTTCGGAAAATGGGACGACATCAGCCACGACAGGGAGTTCCAAGTTCAAGGTAACTGCGAGCGCATTGGGAACCGTGCCGTAGTTTCGATAGAACGTTCAAGCTGCCACGTTTGAAATCAACATTTTTTTGTTTGTTTCGGGACTCACTCTTACGAGCGGTTGATCCAGCACCCTCGATAAATATCGCAGCACTGCAGGTCGTAATTTTTGGGGAATACATACCGTGCTACCTATGTGATGGGCGTGCATTCTAAATGTATGTAATCTTTACCAAGTCTAAAGTCTCGATCGGGAGGGAAGAAAATATTGGTTTTCCTCCTGCATTGTTTGTTCGATATTTTGATACCGTCTAGATTTGGACAAACATGGGTGCCAGAACTTTCCACGGTGAATCTCTCCACGTGTCTTGCACATTATCCGCGAGCTCAGACGGGATGGTTTCCCTCTGTTTTTATTTTCAGTTCCCTTCGAGCACGCCCTGTCGTTGGTAAGCACCCGCAGCGTGACGCTCAACAGAGGAATCGCCACGGTCATGACGCCTTTTCTGGGCCAACTCTTGACGTGCCTGTTTGAGGAAACGCTCCGCCGGGGAATCGAGCACTTCGGACGTTCGGCCAACTTCCGCCAGCTGTTTCAGGACAAGCGGATGGTTGAGCTCGCAAACGTCTTGCAGGTAAGACCCCGCAGCCTCTTCTTCCGTGGCACCGTCGCTTAAGGCCAAACGACGTGCGAGTGACAGATTGGAACATTCTGGGCCAATAACCGAGTCGCGCTCGCTTAATTCAAGAACAGTAATTCTCAGAGACGGCCACCGCTAGGCTTCAAGAAGATGCACGCGTGTTATTTCAGCTGAACTTCTTATACTGCTGGGTATGTTGTGTCATGCTCAGCTGCATGTGGCATCACCCAATCTTAAAGAACCCCTGAAAAGAAATGTTGTCTTTTGAACAGTAGTTGAAACGTGCAAGCCAAAAAATTAACTTTACGCAAAAAAAAAAAATTACAGCAATATTAACGGCACGAGACACTTTTTAGTTGGCGGACAGCTCCTTTCCACTTGTTTTCTCTCTTGGCATTTCGAGCGCGTGGAGGAGAGGTAAATCGGCTTCGCCTTCACGTTGAGGTGGAAAGACCAAATGACCATCTCGTTGATGAGCGAACGACCATTCTGTGACGTCACGGACTTTGCGCAGAGAATTTCAAATAAATCTCTCGCCGTCAATATTCTAAAAAAAAATATTTTGCATAAATTTTTTTTTTTTTTGACACGTATGTCCCACTAAGGATGTTTAGAAAAAACATTTTTTTTCTTTTCAGTTGCCCTTAAGTACATGTTGCACCTTATTTATGAGTTTCCTTATCTCGCATCAGCTGCTGCCTGAAAAGGCCATATTCACGTCCTTGTTTGAAACGTCAAACAGGGGCTGTTTTAGAAAGATTGCAAGTGCCCCTGCTTTGTATTCACATCGGGTGATTGGAATGCTTTAGCATTCGGATCTGTTACCGGCGATAGCACATCTCTTCTAGTAATCCGAAAAAAATTTTGCTCTTCTCCTCTCACAGCCAGTTTTAACCGCAATATGCATTGCCATCGGCACAAAATCATTTTTCTCTTTTAATGCGAAAGCATTAACTGTCTCATGGAAAGAGCTGACATTTTGAAGCGCAAAAACGGCACCTAGTTTCCTTCTGTTCCATTGGCTGGTGCGCGTCGACAGGGCTCCCATTGGCCGCTGTGCTCGTCAGTTTCTACAACCGCTCACCCCATGGCGCTGCGTGTCCATCAGCGTGTCGTTGCCCCCCTGGGCATGGAGCGTCCAAGGTCACCTTGCCCATGGGAGTACACGCACTGACCGGCGACGAAAAGTACACAGCAGACAAAAAAGGGATCGGACGAGCGACTTGCATGCTTTCGCACTCACAACTCGTAAAAAGTGCTTAGGTGTACCTCAATCTTTTGGTTTCGTGTTTGTTGTCTGCCAGTTACCTTTAGTTCATTTTGTTTCAAGACTGTACCTCACTGTGTTTTCTTAACCCCTACTGCTTGGACAGCCCTGGCCTATTTCTAGTATTCTTTGAAGTCAGAAGTCAAATTTGTTTTATGTATATTTAGACAGCAAGAAGTCGACCTTTCTCGGCTGCAGACGAGAATTACGGCCAGTGCCGGTACTATGCTCATCCAGATCGAAGCAGACAGGGGTGGGCATTGACCATTGAATAAGCGAAACCTCAGGAGTGGGGGACGCGGGAAAGGAGGCGGCGTTGGCCATCGCAGCTGAAACGCGGTGCAGCTGTTCCTTTCGCAATTTTGAGTCTGCGAAAACTTTGGCTCCAAGAATGGCTTTGACTTTCCTGCAGGACCTCGTGAGCAAGAAGCACTCGCATCAGGTGGGACGGGGACTGCTGCTTTGGTCCCAGGTGGCTGCAGAATCTTTCTGGTTCCCGCCCTGCATGGCCAAGATGTATTCAATGCTCCTCAGGGAAAACAGGCTTCCCCACGAGGATAGGGTAAGCCCTCGCATAACGGATGATCCACATTAGTTTCACGCAACGTTGCTTCCAGATTTGTCCGTGTCAGACGCACTATGAATATGCGTTTGCCGGTTATTCCAACCGGTTATTCCAACCGAGATGCGAGTTACGTTCGGCTAACTTTTTAAAAACTAAACGTGTCCATACTTTTAAATAAGAAGCGTTCCGGCAGCTGCCGGCTTTTTTTTCGGGGCTTTTGTGGTCCTTTGGCGGCATCTAAGGGGCCACGGAGCTGTTTGTTCCCCCTGGCTAACCGGGGCTCAGAATGAACACTTTCATAAAACATAAAACAAGAATCCATGCCTGTCTACATACGCTGTATGTTTACATTTATTTTTCCCCTTAACTGACTGGAGCCCCTCTTTAGAAACGCAACCGCCGAGGAAGGGATTATTTCTTGGTGACGAGTAATCCATTCAATCGAGCTCGCTAAAAGCTAAACGAGGGCAAAAGAGAAACCAGCGCAGCCAATAGCTGTCCGAAAACAGAAGGCGCCATGTATGTACTACCGCTGTATCCTCTCATCGAGACGGGGAAAAGAAGGCTCATTTGGTACGTGGAAATCCAAGGGCACACGTTGACGTTCGAAGTTGAAATAACATGTCTAGCACTTTCATAGATCTAGGTGGAAAACAGCTGGGGAGTCGAAAAGCCAGCCCGTGTAATCTCATATTCTAGGCTCGCCCACGACATCATCGCAACGTGCCAACGATCATTCTTACCAGTTCTTGCTAAGAAAAACAACGAAATTGATGAAGCGAATTGCGGCACAAAAAATTGGTGGTGCATTCGGAGCAAAACCACCGCAATGGCGGCAGTTACAAACAAGTCGGCGTTTGTTTATACCAGGTGTAAGTACAGCACGTGTGCAGAAACCAGATTTGTGCCGAACACGCGCCTTGCCCACGGCAGCGCCATTGCCGCGGCGCGACGTCGGAGCTACGTGTCGGCGTACACCTAAACCCTGGATCACGCAGAGTTCCCAGTCTTTGGGTCTCGAGACCGACTCGTGTCCTCACCACTCGTCCGCAACTGAACCGAGCTCGTATATAACGCGTCCAATTTCTCTTTAATTCCTCTCGTGTCCTTTCCAAGCGTACCCGCTAAGCGTCCTCTCCCGCCCAGTTTCGCCTGACGCTGTTCCTCAAGGAGCTGGGGCTTCCAGTGTCCGAGAGCCTGCTCTTGTGGGGCCACTTCTACAGCCAGCGGCCGGGGCGGGGGGCCACCTGCGGCCACGGCTGGCAGACGCACAACCGCCAGCTGCGCTACAGCGTGTGCCACATGTATGGCCTTGAGGGGGCCCGCAAAGACTACACCGCCCACGGCTGCCGCCAGCTGCAGGACACGGACCACTGCCCCTTCGTGGCCGGGGCGGGCCCCGGGGACTTCGGGACGGACGGATCCCTGTCGGTACGTCCATCTTTTGTTTTTCGACTGCCCAGGTCGCAAGTGGCGTCATCGCCCGACCTGTGGCGACTTTGCCGACTAGGGCGAGTTAACTCGTCGCTTTGTCTTCCCGGTGCCAATGTGCTTTATGTGTAGCGGCCTCGCCTCAACGTTCCAGAATTGCCATAGGTCAGAACACTGTGAGTCGATGGAAACTTAATGGCAGTTATGCGGTTACACCGAGAAATCTACCTTTCAGAAAAAACCGGTGCCCTACCCTCCCCCTGGTTGGAGACTTGGTTCAAGGATTTCTTGGGAGGAAACTCAAACAAAAAAAAAAGGCGCCTATAGGAATGGGAGGGAGTCTTTGTACCAACTTGGAGGCGAAAGATAAGCCACAAGGGTCACAAAAGCGACCATTCGGGAGCTCAATCTAGGTCACCGTAGCTCAACGGAGTCGACGGGATCTAGCATCCGCCCGAAGGAACGTTTGCGTTTGCTCGTGGCACACCCACGCAGCTTCGTATCAAAAAATTCTCGAACCGGGAATTGGGTACATCCATTGAGCGAGTAAACCCCGGGCTCACATGGCACGGGACGATGGCGGAGACTGCAAGAAGACGCATGCGGGGTGCGACGACGCGGGTGGCACTGACGCAAGAATGCCGGTTTGCCCCGTTCTCCTCCTAGGATTGCGTGGTGGTCCTCAAAACTGCTGTGGTGGCAAGCGCTTGTTCGAGCCACTAACCTAGGACAAAATTTGGTTCTCGTCATACGAGCGAAATGGGAGAAAGCGCCAGTGTTGCATTTACAGATGTCATGCAATGCGGTGTACCTTTGTAATTGGATGGAAACTAACAAGGTGCAAGCTATTCCCAGTAGTGGCTGTCCACAACATGGCATGCCTTATTATTTAAGCTTTAAAAATGTACAGCTAGGCTGTCCCCCCAAAAAATTTACAAGGTTTGTTACACCGCAAAAAGAAACTCTGCATCTCTGGCGCCCATTTTCCGCCAAAATGTAGATGCCTAAGTTTCAGAACTAACCATTATATTTTTTTATTTAAAAGTTGATTTTCAAAAATGTTTGATGGGAAAATGGCGGTTGACAGAACTCTCAAATACATGGAGCTGAATAGTACAATTTCCCGAATCCACTCCTCTACTCCCCCTAACTAATGACCGTCTGACCTCTGGCTAGGATACACTTAGCATTTCCTCTTTCGCAGGCCTTTTCTCTCTCTCTCTCCATTTACCGAAAATGGGCAAAATTTCCGATTGAAATTCTCAGAAAATCACACAATTTTTGAATGAGATGACGAATAGTTAAGAAATTGGCATCGCGGATCATTAGCGCTACATTTGGGAGAAAAATTATCATTTGGAGTTGCATAGTTATTATTTGCGGTGAAAAGAACTGTACATATTTTTTTTTTTGGGGGGGGGGGGGGGGGGGGACATGCTGTAGCGTTACGAGTCAGTAAAATGGATAGTGGGGTGGACTAGACCAGCGTAGATACCTGCTTCTTGCACATGGTCCATTGTCTTGCTCACTTGATCTCGAAGGCCTCTGGCATACGTCATTGGTAGGTTCAAATTGAAATCTCTACTCGACAACAATCGCTATAAAAGGAACATTGGCGGAGTATTTGACCATCTGGTTTTGCAGAACACCTTTTATAGCAATACAACTGCAAACTTGCACGGTGCCAAGCAAAGTTACTGCAGTATTCAGCAAAACAAAACCTATCATGAATACTTTTAACACACTTCTGTAAAAAAAAACTTTGTTTTTACGAGCATTGCATCACTGCAATTTCCCAAATCTAATTATCATCAACCGAGCAGCTTGTATACGGTGTTGTACAGGTATTAAACTTCACGGGTGAAGAACGACACCTTTCTCCATGCCTACCGTGAAATACCGTGAGGGTGCCCTCCCGCGAGAGATCAGCCATCCCGGTTTTTTGGCTAAATATCCGTACATAACATAAAAATTCCGAAACATCGCCCACCCCCGATCACGTGGTTGATGCGATTCCCATCGGACATCACGCAATGTTTGACGGGAATCGCATCAACCGCACGATCTGCGGTACCGGTGTGCGTGACAAGCGAGTTCACAGCGGGTTCCCGCGTTTTTGTCAGCGTTCCCGTGACATGCAAGGTCGGAACGAGTTCCGGCGTTCTTTGTCCGCGATCTGCGTGATATCGGTTTCCGTGGCATGCAAGTTTTGCAGCCGGTTTCCGCACATGCTCCATGAAACACGAATCTGCTGCATAAGCAGTCTGCGATATTCTTTCCTACGATGCGGGAGTTCGTAGCGAATGAAGTCCTGCGTCTTTATTGCGTTGTGAAACACCAATTTGCCGTGTCCACGATCTGCGGCATCAATTGCCGTGTCAAGTGATATGTAGCGGGTGCCGTGCCAGTGTTTATCACTAATTTTTTTTATAAAGTTTTTCTGCCTCATTGTACCTGCCTCTGTACAATGCTGGTGTTTTCCACCCACTGGGACCACCGATGTGCACGTCTTTCCGAAGGAGCCGGAACGAACGCAGCTTTTCCTCTAGACCGGAGTGCACGTTTCACCCGCAGGCTACGGACATGGAGGACCTCGGCCGGCTGTGCCAAGACGGGAGAGCGTCTGCGGCGTGCAGGCTGCACCTGGTGCGCTCTGCACGGCCACTGTGCCCCGAAGGCATTGACCTCATGGACCTGGACGACGCCCAAGGCTCGTCGGTGCACTTCCAGAAGCCGTCTCAGTACTACCACACCTTCAAGAGTTTGGTGGACCAACTCGGAGGACAGTCTGATGCCGACGTGGACTGAGTGCGTGATTGGAGGGACGAGTGCTCGTCGAAGAGAGGCTGGCAATCGAACCTAGCCCGGTTCGGGAGATGTGCGCGTTGCCGAAAGTTCGGTGGATCTGAGGCGAAGCGCCTGTCTGTTCGGCGGGTTCGAATCTCAGCCGAGGTGCCCACAATCCGACAGAAGTGCGTTGCGGAGAAGGTGCCGTCCGATTGAGATTTCGTGTGCGCATCAAAAGCTCCCCCCACTCTTGGGTGTTTGAAATTAATCCGCGACTCTCCGCCGGGCGTGCCGGATGCCCTTCATAGGTTTGGTACGTAAAAACCCCAAATATGCTTACCGAAAGTTTGGCATTTCGAAACACTGCCGCAGCTGTTTGCCTAAAGTGGGTGGATTGATTTTGCCGACCTTCGACACAAAGTTGCTACTAGTGCGTGGGGTTCTCACGCTGTGATCTCAGGGATGCGAACCTAGGCATGTTTTTCCAGTTTGAGCGTAACTTAACCATGGTTGCGTCGTGCATCGATGCACTATAAACTGGACCCACTCCCACCCTTTCCCCCCCAACATCTGCAATAACCTTAATCACAAAAACCCGAGACAAAGGAACAAATGGAGAACATGTGTGGGCTTTGCAACTACTTCGTTCGAAAATTGTCAAGGGGGAAGGCTCCTTCGCTCTCACTCAAAGTAGCTAGAGGTTCCTTAAGATCATAAAGATTGGGATCCACTGCCGACCACAGGAGAGAAATCGGATAACATGGCTTGCATCGACGTCGCGTCAGCCGCCATTGCTCCGTACCATGTTCCTGTGTACGTACCTTTCGCAGCAAACATTTGGCATCATCGATCCTGTTCCTTTCTAAACGGCTTGCCAAGAAGAACAAATTCGATTTTGCGAGATGTATGCAGAAGGTATGGGCTCAGGAGCATGGTACGGAGCAATGGCGGCTGCTATGGTGCCATATGTCACGTGCAACGCATGTATATGGTTGAAACTCGATTTTATGAGTACAGAATTACCCCACAGATTTTCATAGGGCTCCATGCATTTATGAACTCGAAATAATGAACTAAATTTGACCGTCAACACAATCTAACAAATCCATAAAAAAAAAAAAAAAAGGGTAATTTTGGGTGTATTTTGTTTAAAATGCCTGAAAGTTTGTTGCTGGCATGCCGGCGTAAAGGGTGCGCGACCCTATATGCCGTTTCACATTAACTTGGCCAACTGTGGAGGCTACGGCCCCCGCGACTCAATAGGAGAGTCTGAGCGAGGCACGTGACAACACGTCACCGAAGCATGTATGTCATTGTGTCCCGGCTGTCGTCTGCTGGCCAAGAGTTGTCTGGTGCGAAACCAACCAACTTCGGATGAACGCCCACCGCTGCAACATTGCCGTCTGCTAAGGTAATGATCTCTTCGGGAACAGTTTATGAGACAACCGTACGCTCAATAAGTCACCAACGTTTGAGCCGGAAGTTTCGTCATTTGAAACAAGGCGTTGCGTGATTTCATGCTTCCAGTTTGTCTGGTGCCAGTTGTGGTTCGTTCAGCTGCATCGAGAGCCCTTCTAGGTGTGGTAGCCGTGCTGTATTCATGGTGAAAATGGTTCACTGCTCCGCGGTACGTTCTTCTAATGCAAGCCATCAAGGGCATAAGATGTCTCTGTTCCTGTGGGACAAAGGAACGTAACCAGCGATCGGCCGTTGCTGTTAAGCGAGCGACGGAACGAGGTGACCTGTGGTAGCCAAGCGTTGGTGCTCGTTTACACGCAGCCCATTTTGTTACAGGTCAGCACAACGTGTTCTCTCTTTCTTCACAAAGGGGCCGTGCGAAAGAAGGATTTCTAACAGTCTCTTGACACCCAGAGAAAGGTCTCGATTTATTCGGAAAAAGGTGAGCACTGCTTGTCGTACAAGGCATCCGCGAGAATGCGGCATGCGACCCAAGCGAATGTCGGATTGCCTGTGATCCCGTAGAGGCAATCACTTCATTGCACAACATTTCGTTGACAGACTGTTTCATCGATAGTTTGTTACATCGACAGCTCAGATTAGCTTCTTCTGTAACGAGCTGCTGCACACTGTTGCCGCGAAGTGGCATGAATGGGTGGCTAGCTATAATATAAATAAACCAAAGGACGGGTCAGCTTGCTATAATATAAATAAACAAAGCAAGCAAGCAGCACCTACATTTTGACGGATAATAAGGCAGTCGTGCGACCCTGCGTAGCCCATATCAAGATCGGTGCTCGTTTATGCAAGCTTTCTTCACGACATCATTAAAAAAACGTGCGGGAGGAAAGCCATGGTATACGGGGGACAACTTGTAAGTACAAAAAAACGTGGTGGTTTAAAAGCAAGGATTCTCGCGCATCTAAAAAAAACTTTGTACAGAAGTGGCGTTTCGATTTCTCCAAGAAAGTATGCCAAAGCTCTGATCCGATCGGGCATTTCAACTACCCAAGTCCCACGGCATACATTCACATCTATTTCAGTCAGTGATGTGATCTAATGTAACCATCAAAAATAAACAAAACCCAATGAAGTGCACTGGCTCAAGAGGAAAACAAAAAAACAAAAAAAAATTGTAGAGCCCATGCACTTCATGTGAAGATGGAGGACCAGTCACCTTCACATGAACCTCAAGTATGATTCCTAAAGGACGACTTCTAGGACGATGCCTAGAGGACGTCTAGGATGACCTCAAGGACGACTTCTAGAAAGACGCCTAGAGGACAACATCTCGGATGACCTCAAAGACGACTACAAGGATGATTTCTAGGACAACCTCGTGGACGATTTCTAGGATGACCTCGAGGATAACGCCTAGAGGATGATGCCTAGGACTACCTCAAGGATGACTTTTAGGACAACGGACAACCTCGAGGAGGACGTATCGGACCTGAAGGACAATGTCTCGGACCTCAAGGACGACCTCGAAGATGATGCCTAGAGATGATAACAAGGGATCAGGACCGCACTATCTAATAAAGCCAAGGAAGGCTGACTCATGCTGCTTGCCCCCTCTTTTTATTTTTATTTATTCCTACTTGCCAGTACCAATGGGGAGTTTTCTGTTGACATGTGAGGACGCATTTTTCCCCAGACCCTAGCCCATAACAGCTTCGCTGTAATTGCTAACCTAGCCCGTGTTTTTATACAATGCAGAAAACGCGGTGAGAGTGCAACTTGCTGCCGGCTGCGTCTCCCCTGCGCTTCCGTGGCTGTTCTCGATGCTTCCGAGTACCGATTCCTACTTAACATGCACATAGAAGTAACTTCAGACGCTCAGAAATTTGTAACCTACCCAGCAGCAGAGGGAGGCAGCTCTAATTGATCGGGTTCAACACCCGCGCAAACTTCGATAGCAGCCATGGTGCTGCGTCGGCTGCTAGCTACAAACCGGAAGTGAAAATGCCCATAGTGCTTTGCGGCTGCTGCCAAACGCCAATCACCTACTTACCTGTGCACCAGTGGTGGGTGCTAATGCCAGGACAATGTTTTAAACAGAAGCGGTCGATTACACGACTGGATAGGAGCGCCGAAGGATAGGGACAAAGCGAAGGAGGTAACGACAACACGGAGCGCTTCAGTTGGGCTAGTTGGTTTATGACTGGATGGAAGCACCGAAGGACAGGGATGAAGTGAAGGAGGTAATGACAACAGGGAGCACTTCAGTTGGGCTAGGTTTTTTACGACAGGATAGAAGCGCCGAAGGACAAAGACTAAGTGAAGGAGGCAACGACAACACAGAGTCATTACCTCCTTCACTTTGTCCCTGTCCTTCGGCGCTTTTACTGAGTCGTGGACCAACTAACCCAACTGAACATTTTGTCGATTACACGGCTGCAATCGCCAACGGCCACGATTCTAAAAGGAGAAAAAAAAAAAATTGGCAGTGAATACGGATGTGGAGTCACTACTTTGGTTTAAATACTTCAAACTCATAAATTTGTTAATGTTTATTCCTTATTTTTAATATATTCTCGATAGAGATGGAATATGCGAGTTTAATTGACGTTGGAAGAGAATCCTAGAAATACTTGTCGCGTACGGCGCTGTTGCTGTGGTGGTAACCAGTTACTTGAGTAATAACGAGGCCTTTGTGGGCTCGACTCCACCACTTTGTGTTCTCACGTGACTTGCTCCGATGCTCTGGAAGCACACATGCAAAGGGAAAAGAACTTTTTTTTAAAACAGCCTAGATAAAAAAGAATGTCATAAAACAAATTCACAACAAAAAAAATAGAAAGTTTAGAGCTATATATACGGCGCGAAACAAATTTGTAGTTGGCGCTATGGTCCCGTGGTACTTGCACTCTTTTGGGAGCTTCCTATGGGTTCTAAAAGTTACTCATTAATCTTCCGTTTGAAGTGCAAAGATTAAAGAGTAACTTTTATATCCCAAAGAAAGCTCCTGAAAGAGCGCAAGCACCACGTGATAAAGCTGTCTGCCAATGGGAAATCGGCAGTGGCGCGCCAGAGTGTTTCCTTTCGGCGGATACGGTATGGAAAAACATGTTAAACCAACGGCGACGCGATTTGCAGCGGCGCGCAGGTGCATTACGTGACCAGTGGCGGCGCCTGCGGGTGCCAACTACAAATTTTTTTCGCTGTGTAAATATAGCTCTAAAAGCTTTTTCGGCAAAATTTGTTTTATGGCATTTTTTTTTATCTAGGCCGTTTAAAATAAATGTTTTTTTTCCTTTGCCTGTGTCCTTTAATCGGTTGCGGGTGCCACAGTCAAAAAACAATCTCTGCACTCGGGACGTCAATTGTACCAGACGACGCCAGTCGTTTCGTTTCTGTCGCACGCAACAGATGGCACTGATGGAGTTCACCAGTTGTTCGGTTTGGTCACCTTCCGCCCTCTCATTAGGCCCAACAACGAGTGCGACGAGAACGGCGTCGCTAGAGTATGCTTCGCCAAAACAAAAACAGCAGAGAGGTTTTCAGTTGGAGCACCTCCAGCACGAGCATCCTACTTGACACTTCAGTGTCCCATAATCTCCGAGTGCGCAACAGACGCACGACAGAATACAACAAGTGCACATCGAATGCTAGGCCTCGGAAAGAGACGTTGCCACCGTGCACTTATCTTATTAGTGAATTCTGTGTCGCCGTAAAACGGGGCACCGAAAACGAAGAATTCAACCTCAAAGAAGACGCGGAAATCATTCGTGCTTGGATTGAAAAAAACACTCTTTTCGCGTCTCTCGTAGGGTATGCAAACTTCAACGCAAGCCCTCGCCGGCTCTCGCAGGGCCACGGATCGTGGTGTTAGAAAAAAACATTAGTTTGTTTCCTCGAGTGTTTCGAGGTTTCCTTCACGCACCAGCGATGCAGGTCGTCTTTGCAAACTAAATTCGTACGCGTATAAATCATTTTTTGGCACGTGAGCACTGCGGAGGTGCAGTATCACAATAGGTCTCTGGATGCCGCCGTTAAAACCATGCAGAGAGCAAGTCGTCTGCTTTTCGCGCGGGAGTTGCGGAGACGTCAGAACGACGTCGAGCTCTGGTTGACTTTGATAGAAAGGATAGTGTGTAGACTTCAAAGTTAGACGCTTTAAGGTCTACCCACTTTTTTTTTCAAATTGGCCAATAAGAAATCGGCGTTCCGACATCGTTGTAACCCCTGTGCAAAAAGCAGACAAACTTCAGCTCCGCATACGTCAATTGTACTCAATGCCCGAAAAATGCCATTTTCAGTTTAACTGAGTAATTTGCAGCTCCTCCCAGCGTTAGGTTAACCAGTAAAAAGATAAATAAGGAGCGTACGTTGCCGAGTTTTCAGCACGTTTCTGGTACAAAATCCGTTTGGAGAAAAGGAGGAAGTTTGGGGACTTTTTTGACGCCCACGAGCATTGTGACCCCAAGCGGTTTTCAGCCAACAAAAACACAAAAGTATTGTCACACATTTATTCCTTTGTTTTGTACACCTACGCTATCACAACACAACAGGTGTCCAATTTGTGAGAAACCAGAACTACAAAATTGAGCTGCTCCTTGCGACATTTTGAGAATTCTTTTTCTTAATCTAAATGCCTGGCCAACACGTTTGTCGGCAAAGTTAAAAACAAAAAACGAGAGACCGCTTGCCCAGTCGAGAACAAGAGACTGTCGTTCACCGGCTTCTAAAAAAAGGTTTGACTGGGAGAGAGCGGTCTCCTTCGCGTGTCGTTTGAATTGTCTGACTAACGCGTCAGACCGATTCGTAATTAACGCGCGCAAGAAAAAATTGTAGATTTACATTGTGATATTTTTACAGTGCAGTGAAAATCTCGTGAGTCCTCTTGAGCAGTCTGACAACAATGTGGGGAAAAAAAAGAAAACAGCTGCATAAACTTTTCAGCATTACTATGTAACATGCTCCTAATTGCACATAAAAAATAAAAAAAACAACAGCTACTATATATAAAAAAAAAGCTTGTTCAAAGCATCTAAAACACGCACGTAGCAGTATGCACTCGTATAAACACGTGGAAATACAAAAATGAATGCACAGATTAGCTGCACCGATTGCCACGAGGTAAGAAAAAAACAAAACAATAAACATCCAGGCATGGAATTGTTTCCGTTCACTTTCGCTATTGCTATGGGCCACGGTGGAAGTTCACATATATGCGTTATGTACAGTACTTGCAACCCCAGACTCTCTGTACACGAGCAATAGGCGAGAGAAATCCGTAAAAAAAAAGAAAAGGAAAATGGTGGAGCCGCTGTTATCCATGAAGAAACGGAAACGAAACGGGTCTCTGTCTGCCGACTTTCTCGACCAGTGTTGCCACGCTCGGTTCTTTGGCACGTTTTCCTGAACGTCTCCCGTAAACGCAGGGACTCGTCTTTGTGGAAGAAAATCAAACACGCCCCCTCGGCGTTTCCGCCAAGAGGGCGAAACATCGTAGTGACTGAACGCACGAACGACGACGTACTACGTGGGAAGATTATTTTGCTGCGTGGAGGGCACTGAGCGTTGTTGCCTGAGTATGTCGCTACTGAAACCCACCTCTAAGCCCTGGCCAGAGGGCAGCCCTATAAACACTGCGTCAAACCGCGTAAAATTAGCATCCGAGGGGCTCCGGTAAAAGCTGCCATTCCGAGTCGCTCGTGAGATGCGTGGCATGATTTGTCTTTCGAGTGGCATGTGCCAAGACGGCAGGACTAAAACTGGCGTCTGTGCTAACGTCTTGCTGTTCTCGACGGCAGGGTTCTCTCGGAACGAGACTACCGAGAGCGTCGTGTAAATGCGTTCCGCAGCCGCTACGTCGGTTCCGTGGCGCCGAGATCCGAACCGCGCGGCCGCGATACGTTTTCGGCAAAGAGTATAAAACGAAATGCTGCAAACGCTCGGCGAACGAAGCGTGAAACGAGACGTCCCGGCGACTTTGCAGAGTGTGCCGGCACCTCTCAACGAAATAGCTGCCGCGTCGCGAGACGATTAAGTAGAGGAACGAGACACGAACGAGCAAAAATTGACAGGTGGCATTGTAAACCTTGGAAAGCTCGTAAAAAAGGACCCTTCTTCTCGGTAGCGTAACGTATGGCGCTCGAAACGATACGGTGGCATCCGTGACTAGCACTTCTAAGCTACCTCGTCGTCTTTTTTTTATTATTTTTTTCTCGTCGTCCTGTTGCGGGGGTTGGGACCGAACAACGAGAAACTGGCCGCAGATTCCTCTTGGCGTTGGCGTTTCCCTCGTTTCGGCCGCTCCGCCGTTTGTCTGCCACGCTTCGCAGACGACCCCGTCGAACGCTAGACTTCTCAGCGTCTTTGACGGTACTCAAAACCAACAAGACGACGGCATCTATTTGGCGCCACTACCTGGAAGCGCACGGTAAAAAAAGGACGACAACATTTGACAGAAAACACAGAAAGCGAACGAAAGGCCGGCACCCCGTCACGTCCCGTGACCGCGGGGTGCACGGCCTCGCACGAAATTCGGGACGTTTGGCATCTTGTTTTCCCGGCGCCACCCGGGGGTGGCGCGGGGGGCGGACCCTTGGTGGCGGTCCTAGGCCAGGGGGTGGTCCCCCCGGAGGGGGCCCTGGCCATCCAGGTAGTCCACCTGCAGGTCCCCCTGGAGCAGGCCCTTCTTCTCCTCCCCGTTCACCGCCCCGTCCGCGTACAACGAGTCGTACACCGGGTTGCTGAAGTTGGTCGCCTGCGACACCAGAGAAGACCCTTCCGGATTTCTCCTCAAACTTTTGGAGAATCACGACTATTCCGGAAAACAGCATAAACAAGCCCCAACCTCGCACCTCCCCGGAAATCAATCAATACGTCGCCCGGTGACGCACCCCGGGCGACGTACTGATCTGCTTCCATCCCTTGGGAGGTGCGTCCTCGCCTCCGCCATTACAGACGAGCCCGGAACGCGCCTCAATCGAAGAGCGGCAATCGCGTTCCTTGCCCGATTCCCGCCGGGGTCGGCTGTACGAGCCCACCTTGTCGGGGTCGAGGCCAAAGGAGGCATTGAGTGCCTCGGCGGCGTCGTCCTCGCAGTCTCCCCGCAGGTAGATGGGGTTGCTGATCTCCACGTTGCCGGTCCCCCCGCTGCTCTCCTGCATCCGCACGTGGTGGAAAGGGCGCGACCTGCGACGCAAGCGTGGCCGTCCCTCGAGTCAGTGGTCGTTCCGCGACCGCGAGCTACTCCTCCAGAAAGCACGTTTGACGACCCTCGCGAGCCAGGGACGAAATGAAGCAAGCGAGGCACGCACGTGCCATTGCGCGCCTCGCTCCGACACTCCGAGAGACTCGCCCGGCCGCTAGCTTTGCCGTTTGCCGAGTTAAGCCGAAACAAGACGTGGCGAGAGGATCGTCGGGCGGCGCCACCCCTGCGTACGAAATCGTTTCTGGCGATTGCCGTCGCTTTCCAAGTTTCGGGTCACAGTAGCGGACTGTCTCCCTTACTTTACCATCGCGACCAACCTTGTAGGCCGAGAGTACATGACATTAACCGGTAGCACACCTAAAGTACCAAACTTGACGCGGCTCGCGCGGGCCGCCGGCTCGATGAACGCTACTTGAGGACAACATTCACATTCGTCAATGTCGTCCAAGTAGCTTCTCATAAAACTACTGTTGGATTCCCCGTTTTTTGTGTTGCGTGCACTCTTTCACCCAGCATCTTTCTTTAGAAAGAAGCTATTTGTAGCCTTCAGCATCTAATGGTGTCACTGCCATAACAGAGTGGCGCCGTTTCACGAACTCCTAGATTTTTCCACCCTCCTTGGTGTCTGTTCTCGTCCTGAAACCGGGACGAGAACGGCGCAGAGGAGCTTGAGCAACGCTCGAGCGTCTGGCCAGCCTCAAGCATGCCCGCGTAGCCATGATGGAAAGCAACTTTCTTCCCAAGGAGACGCCATCCCGTGGCTCACCTCTTCCTCTTTCGGTAGATCAGGACTGCCAGGACGAGGAGCACCGCCACCGAAACGATCACCACCACGGGGATCAAGATGGCACCCAGCACTGCACGGACAGGCGCCAGACGGGGCGTCAAATTCACCGACGTCGAACGCCGCGTTGCAACAACTCGAAGCGAAAGGCTGAAATACAACACATTCTCTAGGGGAAAAATAAAAAAAACAATGTCGCCGTTGATCCTGAAATTCCCGTCGCGCCAAAGTAATTTTAATTGCGCGTAAATAAAAGATAGATAACGATACGTTCCGTCGAGGCAGCGACGCGTTCTCCGTATTTGTCCATGCGCGTCCACGAATCTCCTTCACAGATTTTCTGAGCAAAACTAGTCTTTGAGGTGACTTCAGCGAAATGCCCCTTTTAAAGAAAAGTTAAACCTTCCCGCAAGGATTTGAAAGCGTAGGATTCCGTGTTTTCTGAGTTTATTTCTCAAGAAATTTGGAGGGTGTCTTTCGGTGTTTATTTTTTGCCCAATATTCGGAGTTTATTTTTGTTAGATTTTCAAATTTTCAAGATTGAAAATAAAAGTATATATTAACCGGCAGGTATAACCCTGGCCAAGGTCTATAAGAATGCTCGTGCACTGCATGACATTGGCACCCTTGCCATTAGTGATACTAATTGCCCCACGACAAAATTGAAAAGAGACATTGAAAACACTGAACCCCTTGACGTAGTCATTGGAAAAATTTGTTTTCTTTTCAAACTATCCCACCGCTTCTCCCTGTGCTGCGCGGGGTGGAGTGGTGAGATAGAAGCCTCAGCTGTACTTCCTCTAAGAGTTCATAGCTGTTATCTAATCACAATGCTACCTTCCTCCAAGAAGTTCAATCTGGAAACCAAACAGTGGTTTGTGTCGTGACCCAGAATTATAATGCCCTGCTGTCTCGAAGGAACCCTGATGGGATAAACGGTCAAACTTCTTTGGTCAGTACTACAAGATTTCGAAGGAACCTGGGGAGGCCTCTCCTGTTGACCAATGAATGTGTGCTGTAACCAAAGTTATTCGTAGAAAACTGCATTTTTTTTTTTGTTTCCATTTGGCCATAGTGACTTCCGAATTCTGAGTTTTTCGGACGAATCCGAATTGAAGACAACTTGATACCGGCGAGTGTTCTTCTGATTTTATAGGATTTATCCGAAAACATGGAACCCTACTTATGCGGTAGAACCTCTTCGGTCACTCTCTCGGTCGACGCGTTTTTCTCGGCAGCTACTTTGATGAATGCCGGTCCTGTTACGACTCCCACGGCGACGCGCGGATCGATTTCTCGGTTGTTGTGCCAAGCAACCGCCGCTTAACCAAGCGAACGTAACGGGCGGCCGATCCGGCCGCACGAGCACGGTGCCTCCGACAGGTCTGTTCGGTGTCCCGCTGTCAAAAGCGGTTCCCGGGCGGCAACAACAGACGTCGCAGAAGCCGTCGCGCCGTCGGATCTCACATCCCTGACGGACGGGCCTCTGCCGCGTCCTTCGCCGGTGCCGCCACACTGCCCGAATTGTGGTTGGCGACCACTACGATGTTGTCAAATAGAGGGACCGCTTTCGAGGACGGGGCAAGCATTCCGGACGGGGGCGCGTTTTGAGCATTGCGGCAGAAGCGGCGCGTCCGTGCCCGGGGCCAAGGGAGGCTACGCACGGTTGGGCAGGCTGTGGTCGCTGTGGGCGCCGCTCTGGCCCAGGCTGGTCTGGCAGCGAAGCCCCGTGAAGCCTCGGGCGCACAGGCACGAGGGCAGCTCGTCGTCCTGGGGCGAGGGCAGGCAGGTGCCGTGGTTGAAACAGAAGCCCCTGCAGGTCGTGCTCTGCTCGCACTGAACCCCCGCCCAGCCCTCAGAGCACCTGTGAAAGGGGGGGGGGGGGGGGGGGTGAGGTGAGCTACTTTACAGGGTGGGCGTACTCTGCTCCAAACTGCAGTGACTAATTGCGCCCTATAGCCGAGCCGAAAACAGCAGAACCCGGTCGTCCCGGCGGAAGTTTCCCACCTTCCGCTTCTGGGTGGTTCAACATCGGTTTGTGCAATGATGGTTTGGGTTGTATTTTTGGTACGAAAAATATGTGTAAGCCATGTCCTTGGGAGAAATATTTCATAATGTATGAACCATGACTGCCTTTATAAAAAGGCGACCAGGTCAGCTCTGCCCTTTCTACGGGGGCGGGTGCACTTAAAAATACCGCGTGACGATAGCTGAGGACTGGAAAATCTGCCAGGTGCCACCAATCGTTGAAATTAAAAGCCTCGGCTAGGTGGCACAAGCCGCCGCCGGATCGAAAGGGTTTGGTTGGATCCATCCATCCGACATCGCCTAGAAGAAGGGCCTGCGTGTTAGGTCGCTGTTTTATTGGGTCCCCGAGCTGCCCCGAGTGGCAAAGGTGCCAAAGCTCGATGAGAGTATGACGCAAAGCAGCAGACACGGGTGTCTCGGCGTCGTGCTAACGTCAGACTCGTTGCAAGACATCCAAAAGATGCGCCGGTGATGACAGTCTTCCCGTTCGTCGTGGGGAAAACAGCGAGACGTGTGCTCGTAAGAACGAAGCCAAGAGACTTTGCCGTCAAGACTCCATGGTGCACAAACGCGATGCCTATGCCCAACAACTTCGCCGTGACGCGTCGGTTATCGCCGTGACTGGACCGCGAATTAACGTGCGTCTGCTAATTTTCGTGGCGTAACACCTCGGTACAGATTCATACGCACTCGAAACACGCGGTTTACTAGGCGACACGTCAAAGCACTTGACAAGACTCCGCGAAAGCACGCTCGCTCCGCGACTGGCAGGCCCGAGATTGAATCGGAGAAAACCGCCGCGGATTGTCTTTTTCGAGCGTCGGGTGACCTCGAAGAAGGGCGCGCCGACGTGGTCATTTCGAGCGCCCACCTGCAGAGGGGCCGTCCCCCGGAGGCGTGGCAGCGTCCCCCGTGGCGGCAGGGGAAGTGGAGGCAGACGTCGGCCTGGCGTCCCTCGCAGCGCTCTCCCGTGAAGCCGGCCGGGCAGACGCAGCGCTGCGCCAGGCCGCCCTCCCGCTCGGTGGTCACGCAGGTGGCACCGTGCAGGCAGCCACAGGAGCCACCGCCCGGCGGGAGGCAGTCGCCGCCGGGCATGCCGGGGGGGCAGGCGCAGGGCAGCTTCTTGCGCCCCAGGCAGGTGCCTGTGGGGGAGACCCAGCCACCGCTCGTTTCTCGCTGCCCGGAGTCGTTCGGTGGCGTGACGGAAAGTCGGAAGAAGCTTCCATCGCGCCGTTGTAGCTTCCCGTAATAGACCTTTTCCGAAATCCAGTGCCATCTGGTGGTTTGTAAAGCAGTCTAAGTTCTGCCATATCAATGGCGGAAAGGAACTTGTATCGGCACCGTTGCTTTCGCAAGTCAACGGCACACGAGGAATTGTTCAGTGCGAGTTCTTTCTCGATCACTTTCAGTTCGATGCTGACCAAGAACATGCATTCAGAACAAAGCTCCAACCCACTCAGATGCCTCGAGAAAATTCTATACACCAAAGTGCTTTAAAGCCGATTGTGTGCCGCCCACAGAATGACTGAGTCCGAGTTATTAGAAATAAACGCTTACGTAGCTCTTGCGTTCTATTCCTACGTCGCGTCGTACAGACCCCCCGAATGTACAGGCCTTGCATCATCCGCTTGGAAGCATCTTCAACGTCTTCATTTATCAGTCACAAGAAGGCCGCCATTGGTATGGCACAGATGCCGTTCCAGAGATGATGATAGTGATCAAAGTGGCCAGACTGAATTTCGGAAAGGGTCTATCGGCTTAGGGAATGCGGAGTGAGCCCCGCTTGGTCACTGCCCCGCAGCTCATCCAGATCGTGACAGACGCAATCCAAATGGGAGTCGCAAACGAGCCACGCGTTTCTGTCAGCCACCACGTAACCCCCAACGATGTAGTGTCTGTAGCCTCAGTTCCAATACTATGCTCCTAATAAAACGCAAAAAAAAAATCAATTTTTAAAAAAATTATTTTTGAGTCCGAGTTTTTTGGGTTATATTTCAAAACGTATAGGTATAATTAACTATGAAGAGTGTCAATTTGTTCGAATTTATGGAGCGTTTTTCTTGTTCACATTTGAGTCATTAAAGTATGCAATGTATCATTGGAGCCTGATGTAAGAGCTCACTCGAGCTCGTCAATTTTTTATAGCCCTCATCGCTTACATAATCCTCCACACGCGCAGCATCTCTATATCCATCCTAGTCCTGTCTGGTCTTTTGGACGTATCCGAATTGAAAGAATATTCTCTCGACGTTGCAGTTCATGCGTGCATTTGCGAAGCGCAACAATATCACTTCGGTTCGACAGGAACAAAATATCTGCGATTTCTTTCGAAACAATGTTTTGAGAGTAGTCGTAGATTGTCTTCATTCTCTTGTTCTCTTTTGTTCCACCAGTTGAAATGGAAATAAAAGAAAGGCGAGGGATGCTTCGCAATAGACATAAAAGCAACATATTGGACCTCGATTCACGTCAATGCAGCTCACCAAACACGACAGAATCTACGTTCGTTTCCGAGGTCTAGAGTCAGCACACCTGTTCCTACAAACTCTTTGCTTCCCGGAAAATATTTTTGGAGCAAAGTAATTTGAAAAACTGTAGAATTAAATTTCTGAATTCAGGGAAAAATCGGGTTTAACCCGATCTTTAATAAAAATGTTTGGGATGTAAATATAGGACGACATCAAGTTTTACCTGAAAATGAAAGACACTACATATGAGGTGGTTCCGTCTCGCTAATACGCAAGGAAGAAATCTTTTCCACGTGTGTGCACTCCTCCATTTTGAGACATTGTACTTTTAAGTTATTGGGGGCCACGAGTGCCGGCCCCACAAAAGGACGGGGGATGGTTTAGGCCCGTTGGAGATCGTCGGCGTGCGACGGAAACCCTAGATGTCAACCTTGCCGCCACGGGCACCTCGTTCGAAGTTGGAACCCGCCGAATCGGTGTTTGTGGGACGGCACGCCAGGTCAGGGCTGCCGAGGCGGCGCGGTGCGAGAGGAGGCACGACAGAAGCACTCACCCCCGTTCCGGCAGTAGGACTCGCACATTGGTGAGAGGGTGTCGCACCGGTCTCCGATGTAGCCCGCCGCGCAGATGCAGTGCCGAGCTCCGGCCGAGTTTGTGCGGCACACCCCGTGCACGCAGTATTCGTCGCCGCCCTGGCTGCGGCAGGGGTCTTCCTGGGTGCACCTGCCAAGGTAATTCCCGGGTCGTCTCAAGGTTGCACGCAATAAGGCTCGTACTGGCTAAAGCTGTGGGTCGTCGTGACAGGACGGTAAAGTGGGAAGGTTTGCCGGCTCGTAGAGCAATCGCTCACCTAGGAAACCCGGTCACCTTGGGCTCGTGCGTGCTCAAGACTGTTTTCAGTCTAAAAATACGAACCGTCGTAATTTAAGTCGACGAAAGCGAGACATTACGGCCGCAAAAACTTGGTCGACGAGCCGAATAATTAGTTTTGTTCTATCAAAACGACCACGGAGGCTGCGCCGCATGAAACTAAATTAAGGCGTTGACATACTTTGGGATTGTTCGAAACTATAGACGCAGCCCACGGACAATGTCGGCGAACTAATGGACACCGCCACCCGAATCGACGACCAAAACCGACGGGATGTTTGGCCGGACGTTCCGGGAGCTGCAAGGGTGGCCCACCTGAGGATGCAGTGCTTGCACCGGACGTCCGCAAACCCGTTGGCGCACGAGCCGTCCCGCATGCACAGCTCGCACACGTTGAGTGAGGTCTCGCACCGCTGGCCGGTCCACTGGGGCGGGCATCTGCAAGACGAAGCATTTTGTTGTTTCGTCCGTCTTCATGCTTATTAACGTAGGACGTGTTTCATCCAGTTTGATTGTGCAAAAAAAGAAAACCCAATACGTTCGTCCAATATTTTACGTCATTATGCAACTTTGAAAGGCTCAAGCAAAAAGAATGGTGTTTTTCAGCCTGCATAAATAAAACTCTGCATCGCGAAAACCTAGAACTTCGTGAGATTGTGACGCTAGCAGTTGGGTAGAATGCAAAAATAATGAAAATGTGACGTTACCTGGATGAAGAGATGATTGAGAAATGTGAAAGTTCTCTGCGAGTCGACGTCTGCCTAAGTCTAATACAGCGATGTAAGCGGCATCTGACCTTTTGTAGCAGGTTCCGTGGCAGACAAAATATTCGTTTGGAGCAGATGCCCACGTCTGACATCGCTCGGAAATGAAAAAGTGATTGCATCGCTAAGCGCGTTCATTTTTGATAATGATTGAGGGTTCCTCTTTGATGCTAAAGCATATTACTTATTACATTTTGTAGTAGGAATAGATAGAGCAAAAAAGGAACACGGAGCCTTCTTTATAGAAGTAAGGCTCTGGTCAGATAAGGTTTTATTTACACAGAGGATTAAAAAAAACGGTTGAAAAACAAATCGTAGCGTAACACTTCGTTTGAAATAAGGCCTCTCTCCCCATTTTACACTCGGCAGTTTATTTAGCCTGGAAATATAATTTTTGTAAAATACCAGAAAAAAAACCAAAAAAAACAGTAACACGTCTATCAATGAAAATTGTGGTGGCTTAGCTCAGCTATGCCAGGATGTACGTAGCGTGAGCTTATGAGCACAAAATGAGAGGCGCTATCAAGCGGCTCCAGTGCAGCGTCAGACTTGTCTACTGTGCAACGGAGGCGCACAGCTGGGCACGCGGTGGCGCCAGTGCGTCTGCTGCTGCTATGACGTCACTCCTCTGGGATGTGCAGACCGGCGAGGCGCGTGCGGCGGCGGCGTCTCCGGCGCGCCAGCTGTGTGACATCACTGCTCCTCGCGCATGCGCAGCACGGCTCTTTGAGAGCCACGCGAAACTGCTCAACCTCAGCCAGTGTAGCTAACGCTACAAAATGTGTCCCCCAAATTTTATGAGCCTACAGACACCTACACCTAACCTGCGGGCCAGACCAAGTTTGCAGAGGCCCTCCAACCGGCCCACAACCTGCTTCTAACAAACCAACTGCTAAAAAAAAAAAAAAATCTTTTAGCTTTTTAATTTTGGTGAAGGAAGACCAGTGAAGCTGTACTATTGTGGGACGATCTCAGGGACGACTTCTTGGACAACCTCAAGAATGACTTCTTGGATGACCTCAAGGATGACGCTTAGAAGACCACGTTTAGGACGACGTCTAGAACGACGCCTAGGACGACCTCAGGGACAACATCTAGGACGACGCCTAGGACGACCTCAGGGACAACCTCAAAGACACTGTCCTGGACAACCTCAAGGATGACTTCTAGGCCGACCTCAAGGAGAACTTCGAGGATGCTTAGGATGACCTCAAGAATGACTTCTAGGACGAGCTCGAGGACAACCTCTCAGACGACCTCAACGACAACGTCTAGAACGACTTAAAGGACGACGCCTAGAGAAATTCAGCCTTTCCACTCTGGTGAAAAACTGAGTAGAAAGGCTGGAAAGGTTGCCGCCGTCGTTCATAGATGGCGGTAGCTGTCCAGCGTTTTGTGTCAAGATTTATTTGTTTTTGGACACGAAACTGGGGAAAGGGGGTGCGCAAATTACGCGAATATTTTGCATGCACGTCCCAAATAACACATCTGCAGGCAAAGGCAGTAATGTATACACGTTTGCAAGTCTGGTCTCAGGGCGCCACCATCTTGCCCAGTGGGGTGCGCTTGGGCGCAGCCACAATCCAATTATGACGTCTTAGCAAGGCTATGCAATTGAATTAGGACGCGTCCAAGCGCACCCCAGCGAGCAAGATGGCAGCGCCCTGAAGCCGGACTGTAGTATTCGTCGGATTTTTTCCCTAGGTAAAATTGTAATTTCTTCATTGTAAAAATTTTTTTTTCGATTCTCACAATTTGTAAAGTGGGTGTCTGACCTATATTTCGGCTCAACCTATATTCCGGCTTTCACGGTATCTTTTTCAGTCTTCCGGGCAAATGGAATGGTCCTCGGAGGCCACGTCTGGTTAAATGCAGTTCCGAGGCTACTTTGTAGACGGCGTCGGTGCACGTTCTTCTAAGGCAAAACTGCACGAGGCACTAGGTAGCTACTGAACGGCACGAACCGGCCCCGAGAGAGTGTCAGAAATACGCACATGCAGGACATCTCCTGGCTGGTGACGAGAATGCAGAGCCCCTTGTTCTTGCAGAACTGGGAGCACAGGAAGTGCTCGCACCGCTTCCCGCCAAAACCTAGGGGGCACCTGGTGAGGAAGAGGCAACAAGAAAAACACTTCGCACAGACGGTCGAGGAAATCTGGGGGCTCGGGGAATCGCCGAAGGTCTTTGGGAGCCTACGAAACCAGCTTGACAAATCTAAAGGGCGTCTCGCTCTTTTTCCTTGGTAACAACGACGCCGAACCCGGACCGTTTAGCGAGCGACGAGCCGTCCGAAGCGCACATTCGTTGGCGGAAATAATGGAATCCCTAAAACACAGTTTTGATGGCCACGGAGACGGAGCGGTTCGGTCCGACGCCGGCTTCTGTCGTACCGCTTTCTACCGTGGAATCTCGTTAATTCAAACTCGCAAATAGTTTAAACTAACATGCAGGTCCTGTCCTATCTGTTTCCAGGAAGGAAACTCCCGGTAATTCAAACTTTGCATTATTCAAACAAAGTTCTGGTCCCCCTCAAGATCAAATTAACGAGATTCCATTGTAGACCTAGAACCTCGGACTCTTTTCTCGAGGGAAGCGAAGAGGCTTCCTAAGCGCTCGTGTATGCGAAGAGAATGCGAGTTCGTGCCGGATGCGAGCTCTGCTTGCTAAGCCGAGCCGTTACTACGGTGCGGTATTTCTTCTGAAGTGGAGCGGTACGTCGTGGCTGTGCCCTTTCGGGGACCTAATTTGCATCGCTCCACAATTCGGAAGCGGCCTGTCGCGAGCAGCGAGCCCACTCCCACGGATGCCGAGGACTCCGTGCCGTTTCCGAGCTCGAGCGAAGCCATCGCTGCCGTGGATTTGCTACACCGCCACAACGGTGTCATTGAGGGTGGCAGACTTGCACTCATCAAATGTTTAGATCGCACGGAGCGGGCCGTTACCAGGTACGAGATGAGTTCAAAGACCGGGCTACATTTACGCAGTTCACCCCAATAAATTATCTTTTCGAGAAAGTATTCCGATGAACGGTCAAGTGCAGGCTGGTAAGAGCTGAAACTCCGTCGGCTGCATTGCTCTTACGTATGTGTTTTTGCTTAATTTTGTGCTATATCAACTGTATTACGATCCTCGCGCTGTTCGATATAAGCGGGCTTGACTGCAGTAATCTATTTTACAATTTAAAACATGGTGATGAGACTTTTAGGCAACAGATGAAATCATTGAAGCAACATTCTTGTGGTAATGCGTTGCTGTTTGCTACTCCGACTCTGCAAGCAAACTTGCTCCCAGGGTAACAACTCCTAGGAACAAACTCGACACTCTAAAGGTAGCCATGAGAGCACATTCTCGGGAGTAGTGCACGAGTATGTTCTCTTCTCAGCATGCTCGGGTAGTTTCAGCTAGCAACACACCCTGGGGACACGCCGGTTTTCTCCGAGGCGAGTTCCACGCTGTACGCTCAAAATTGCTCACCTGCACAAGGGCTGGTGGTTGTTTCCCAGGACACACGTGCCGCCACTCAGGCAGTCCAGATCACACTTGGCTGAGAAACAAAACAGAAGCTGAAGATTCCAACACCGCCGGAACACCATGAGGAAGGATGCGTGCGAGTGCCCCCCGGCGAAAATCACTCCACCTCCAGCTGGATTATGTAACTGGAAATGAGGCAATCCAGCTGGACCCAGCTGGACCCAGCTGGAATCCAGCTGGACCCAACAGAAATCCAGCTGGACTGCCTCATTTCCAGTTCCATAATCCCGCTGGAAGTGGACTGATCTTCGCCTGGGTCGCAACTTCGAGACGCGCAGTAAGAGTAGTTTCACATTAGAAACAATCTCTGCTCCCAAATACGGGTGTCTGAGAAAAGTCCCGGGCAAGCCGGTGGCCTAGAACCTGAGGGAGCTGCTCCAACCATAAGATGCAGTTTCAGTTAAAAAAATAGACAAGGTTCTCAAGTCAGTCTTGAAGTTTGGGACCTGCAACATTTAAATGCGCAATTCTAAAACACCACTACAAACTGGGCGAGCAACAGAAAATTAAAGTCGATAATGACGAAGGTTGGAAACAACGATATTCTGGAAAGACAAAGGTCGGTTTTTGTTGACAAACCAGTCGCCAACCGATTTTTCGGGCTCGGATGGGACCCCGAATTTGTCAGAATAATCAAGTGGTCTGAAAAATCGATTTCTACCAAAATATCAAGTTTCTATGCATATTCCGCTGCATATTGGCCACTTTCCACTTGCTCGATGTTAAGTTTAAGTTCGCGCGCAACTTCCGCTTTATATTGTTCACTTTTCACTTGTTTGTTTATCTGTTTGATCACAGTGCTGCGCTTTGTCGGCGCCTTCGTTGGCACAAACAGCGAAGTTGAAGTTGGCGCCATTTGGGGCACTATTTGGAGACAATGTTTAGTCCACCAAGCTTGCTTCAATACTAAGCTTATCGGCAAAAAACCTTCGCACACAGAGACCAGAAGAACGGCAAACGGCCGCTCTTTTTGCGGTCGCACCCGAAAAACACGGACAATGAGGACACCTGGAAGAACCATCAGAATGGGCAGACGGCGGCCACGTTGGCCATAGCGGAACCGGAAAACCCGACTATAGCCTCAACCCAGCTTGCTGTGTAGCCCGGGCATCGAGGCTACAGCGCAAAATCAAAACAACCAAAGTGGCGGCGACTAAGCTCGCAGCGCTATCGCGGCGGCTGTTTTGTGACTTTAAACTGAGGAAATCACGCAAATTATGTCAGAAATGTCTAGCTATAAGCTTTATGACGTCCAAAATTTCAGTCAATTAATATATTAACTCTATGGGGTCAGCGACGGTTAGGCGATAATAATTGAACGTGTCCAAAAAATCGGTCGGCGACCGTAGGGCCAGGTGTTAACCGAGCTTTTACAGAGTTTTAATCTTTATTACTGACTTTTACTCTTTATTACCAGGTTCAAACTTTGCATTTGATAGCAAAGTGAATGCAATATTCGCACCTCAATAAAAAAGAAAGCATTTACAGTAAAACCTCGTTAATTCAACCCCCGCCAATTCAGAAATTCGGATAATTTGAACTGCTGATCCGGTCCCGTCAAACGTATGTATTAGTCAATGGCAGCAAACTCTCATTAATTCGGAGGGAACGCGGCGCATTATGGTTAATTCGGACGAATTCGGCAGGTGGCGCTAGCTACCGTTCGTTCCAAAGGGTATGACCGCTATCCATCCGAGGTGCACATGTGGTTTTTCCAGTTTTCCCATGGTTCTTCGCTCTTCCGGTTCTCCGTGTTTCGCACCAGTTTTGCTCTGGATTACCGTGCTTCAGCGCGTTACTCTCCTGGCATGGAAGCGGCAGAAGCATAGCTGCAACGGAAAAAGGCTAGCACAAGTGAACGACGACCGGAATGGCAAAATCGCGACACGCGGGGCTATTGCTCCCGAGCGTGCCGATAATGAGAGTGACAGTCACGTTTTATGCCTCAACGCGGGGATCCTAAAGCCCGCCATTTTAACAGCTATATTTTCCCTCAATTTTTCGCCGGCCCCCCCTTGCATTGAAAAATGCAACGTGACTAGCACTCTCGCTATAGCGCCGGGTGTCGCGATTTCGCCGCTCCCATTATTGGTCAGTTGTGCTATTCTTTTTCCATTGCAGCTGTACTAGGCTGAGAATTTAGCGACGAAAAGGAAAATACTGAGGGCCTTGAAGGACGGCGTCTCTCGACAAGGGACGGAAAGTTACGACGTCAAGAGAAGCAGTTTGGCCATGTACGTGAAAATTGTGGCCGATATCCTGCAGGCTTTCGAGAGCGAGAAGTTCAATGCGAAAAGAAAGCGGCCTTGGAAGGTGGTGCACCCGAAACTAGAAGAGGCCTTGCTGTGCTATATTGTCCACGCACGGGAGCTCCGGCAGTGCGAGTGCGGTGGAGCACTCGACCATGCTAAGGAAAGTTGCCGTCTCCGCCCAAGTGTCGTCCAAAAGCAGGCGGTAGTACCGGATTTCTTCTCAAAATAAAGGTTTGTCACAGGGAAATGTTTTCGCGCAGTTTTCTTTGTCCTTTCGATATTTTGACTTTCGGATAATTCGGACATTTTTGCCGGTCCCATGAGATCCGAATTAACGAGGTTTTACTGCAATTCCTCGAGCCGACGGCGCAGCCAAGGCCACGCGCTCGCCAAAGCATTCCTTGCCGGCAACCGTGCTTCCGGCCGTCCCTTGCGCGGACGTGGGAGTCGGGCAATAAAACGGTTCCGGCGAATGCGTCTGCTCGAGGACGGACAGAGCGCGATGACCGCGGCACCGAGGGTCCCTCACCGTCGGCAGAGGTCGGAGTGGGCGCCACGATGGTGCAGGCCGTGGTGCCGTCCACGGTCCGGGTCTCCACCATCCCATCGGGGCAGAGACAGGCAAAGTCCGTTGGACCGCGTTGGATGCACAGTGCACCGAACCCGCAGGAACTCTCGTTGCATGGACTGACCACTGCGGGAGAGGACGCGAGCACTGTCTTCTAGACCGGCTTACTTAAAACCAGCTGGTTTTATCTGTCAGCAGGCTCGTCGCTGCATGTTGACGCTGCCACACTGATTGAGCGACGACTGCGAGCTTCCGCCACGCCCTTCATGCGAACCGCCGAGCTCGTCGTTCACAAATGGCGCTAGGCCGCCGAGATCGCGACCACCAAGGTGAACCCCGGTCCCGACGTCGCGGGCATCCGGTGTTTTTAAATAGGTATCGCCTAGACACTGCCAAGCCGTTAACCCTGTCAAGGGAAGATGCGGGATGAAAAACAGCAACACTTTGCAAAAAAATATGATCTTGGGTTTTATGGCGTTTTATTATTTTTTTTAATCTTTATATATATTTGAAGTATAAAACTAATTAGTGGGAGTTATGATCACGAAAATAGTGAAATAAGCATTCGAAGACCTCCGGGCAACCCAGAATGGTATGAATTTGAGCCATTTTCTCCGTGCGGTTCTTGGAGTTGCGACGTCGCCCGCCGTCGCATTTACACTGACAAGTAGGCCTGGCCGTCTCCTCTCGATTGCAGTCTTCTGTCGCTTCAATTTATCACAAAAATTTATTAAAAAAATATTATTTTTTTGCACTGCGAAAGGCTGTAGCTACACATCTATGGTAACATTCAAACACATTTTTCTTTTTATGTAATTTTGAGGCATCTTCACAGTTTCTGCACAAGAATGTTCATAATCTTGTCCTATTTCAACCAAATATGGCATACATTTACTATTGAATATATAAAATGTAACTATCTAGGTTTTGTTAGAATGTATTTTTTTAATATTTATGACAAATTTAAGAAACTTTAGGTAGCCCCTTGAAATGGCACTTTTGCTATTTTTAATTATTTTAAAATGAAAGAAGTGTCGCAAACATTATTTTTGTTGTTCATTGTACTCAGTGGTTTAAAATGAGCGAATAAGTTTACTATGCTTTCTTAAGTGTGTTGCCACGCCTCACGTATGCACAAGATTATTGCAGAGAAAACCTAAAAAACAAGCTATATCAAATCTAACAACAGATTTATAAAAAGAAGATTAAGCACCATAAACTGTAAAAATTTAATTTTAATACTGCAGATAATAACAAATTTTCCCCCTGGCTCATGTCCCCTTAGCTAAGTCCTGCACTAACCGTAACAAAACAAAAGTGCAATGAGGTCTGAAATTGTTTGAAGGACAGTGGCTCGTCGTATTCGCCTTTTTGTTACACATTCTGTCTTATTTTGTGGCAGAACGTACGACACAATGCGTGAAATGTCGCGTACAACCGGCCAGGCCATGTGCCGCGAGAAGCGAAAAGGAGACCCTCACTGGTGGGGCTCTGCTTGTTCTGCTGGACGACGAGCACGTCGGTGGCCCTGTGCAGGCCCCTGACCAGGTGGGCCACCCCGCCCCGGCCAAACTTGTTCACCCGCAGGATGGCGTTGCTGGGGAACGTGCTCACGTACAGGTTGTCCTCGAACACGTCCACCCGGTAGGGGCTCTCCTCTGCAATGCGAGACGATCAGACGCCACGGCCCGGGGTACGGGGGGAGGGGAGGGGGGGGTCAGCTGGCACCTACCGTGGGGGAAGTCCCGGACGACATGCCTCCTGCGGCCGTCGAGGTCGGCGGTCTCTACCAGGGCGGCCTTGCGGTCCGCCCAGTAGATGCGGCCCGCCGCGTGGTCCACCGCCACCCCTGTGGGCCAGACCACCCGGGCGTCCACCAGGGTCCGGGGGTCGGAGCCGTCCAGGCGGGCCCGTCCCACCCGGGGATGGGAGCCGGTCTCCGTCCAGAACAGGTACCTGGGCACGGGCGCTCGCCACGTTAGCCCAGCCGACGGGCCGGCGGGGACTTTGGGCTGTGTTTTCGCCCTTTTCGAGTCTACTCAATGGAAAAATACTCGCAATGCGAGCTAGTTTTAACGTAGGACGTGTTTTATCGGCCGTTTTTCGTGGAGATCTGTAACGTTCCGGGCATAACGTTTAGCTGCAACGAACAACCGACGCACAAAGGTTTACGCCCATTGGGGGCCCCGTAAAAAGACTTCAGTCCCGCGGATGGATTTGAACTTGCCACTTTAAGATTGTGAGCAAAGTGCTTTATCCACTGATCTAGCGAGGGAAGGCATTTGCTCTCAACGCGGAGAGAGACCCTTTCGCACAACGTTCGAAGGCCGTGGGCCCAGGCATGCCTCGCGGCCTTGAAAGTGTGTGGACATGTTGCGCTGCGCCATCTCGAGGCGTTTGTTGGAAATGGCAGCGAATCTTGGGCACACCTGCTTCGTAGCGAGGCGGTGCCGTTCGGACGCCCCTCTTTTTCACAACAGAAGAAGAAAGAGGTGAGCTTATCGAGAACATAAGAAATGGCAGAAGCAGCAGTAAGTGCCTTCACCAAGGACCCCGTGGACGAACGCCGATAAGTGGAAGGCCTATCACACATTCTGTGCTTACCAGTCTTTGTAAGCACAATCAAACTTGCATACATTTTTTTTTTTTTAAATTAGAATCTGTTTTATTTTGTAGAGTTTTACCATCCCGTAAGCTTTTAATTATCGAGGGTCGACCATACGTGGTCTCCGGACTTCTGTGCTCCTTTATTGCATCTATGCCGATACCACGAAGGGTTCCTAACTATCTACAGAAAGTGATGAGCACTTCTTGAGGTCGAAAACTACAGGAGGATGCTTAAGCTTCGCCTTTAAGAGTGGAACGCAATAGCTACACATATAAACCTCCGATCATTCCCAAGCCATGCAAGTATGTCTGCATGGCCTTGTCAGTAGCGTGTCTGACTTAAAACCGAAGGGTTGTGGGTTCGAACCCCGTCTCCGCCTAAAATTCTTAAAATATTTTTTTAAGGCAAATGAATTCCTTTATGAAGTGAAATCCATTGAGACATGCGGCAACCTTAGATTCGCATTACATGTCATGCTTTGACCACTTTCATTCCGCGCGTGACGTCATGTTTCATGTGAGCATTGTGGGTTGCTTGGACTTCCTGCGTGAGGTCATGTGGCTGTGACGTCGTGACCCTAACGACCAATCGGGATTTTCGCGTCACGCCACCGACACCGGCTCTTCTGCGACACGAGTTCCCTAAAGCTGTCGCTTTAAAAGTTGAAGAGTGCTTAGACTCAAGGATTTCAGCAGCTTCACTTTGACACAAACGTGTTGCATTTATGTACACCCAGTACACCAACTGGTGTGTCAGGAAGCCAAAGAGCTCGAACGGTTGTTTCAAAGATGTAATTTTGTGCTCTCGCGCTTGCAGCCTTTACTGCAATCTCAACGTAAGGGTGAACAGAGTATAAAGGCTGCTTGTGCCAGCACTTTGAGGCCAGATTGAGCACGTGCCCGCAGGACCTGCAATCTGCAGCGTACAATCCACGAAAAGGTTTTCACGAGGGACCGATCGTGGGCTCGCTGAAGGATATCACTTTAAAGAAATGAAACGTTTCAATTCATGCACTATGTTTACAGTAGTGTGCATAAAGCGGATGATCACTAAGCGTGGGTTTCGGGTTTCGGTCGTTCCAAGCTCGTTCAGTAAAACCAGCACACTTCAAACAAGGAGCCAGATTGGCGCGTGCCTCGAGGCAAAGATGGCATCGTGACAATTGCGACAGCAGCTGTTTGTACAGTTTGCTATTTTCGTAAGCGCAAGTGTCCCCAATTTCTAAAAAAACATAAGTTAAAAACTATACATGACCAAATATTAAAAAGTTAATATTTACTAAAAAGCAATTTTTAGAGCGCAGCTCTTAGGGGCCCGTTTCCGGCTTGAGCGGCGTCGCCGTCGGCGTAACCGCGCGGTGCATCATGGGAAATGTCCCATAATGCACCGCGCGAGCTCCCCACCGGGGTCACGTGACCTCGTGGGGGGGCACGTGACCCCCCGAAGTCACGTGACTCCCCTGAGGTCACGTGACCCCCTCCTCGAGGTCAAGTGACCCCCCGAGGTCACGTGACCCCCGCCGATGTCGCGTGACCCCCCGATGACGTCATCGTCACTGATGACGTCACCGGCATCCACATCGTCATCGTCACCATCACTGATGACGTCATCATCACTGATAACGTCACCGGCATCCACATCGTCATCGTCATCATCACTGATGACGTCACCGGCATCCACATCGTCATCATCACTGATGACGTCACCGGCATCCACATCGTCATCGTCATCATCACTGATGACGTCACCGGCATCCACATCGTCATCGTCATCATCACTGATGACGTTACCGGCATCCGCATCGTCATCGTCATCATCACTGATGACGTTACCGACATCCCCATCGTCATCATCACTGATGACGTCATCAGTGACGTCACTGATGTCGTCACTGGCATCCGCATCGTCATCGTCATCATCACTGATGACGTCATCAGCGACGTCACTGATGACGTCACCGACATTCGCACCGTCATCATCACTGGTGAAGTCATCAGTGACGTCACTAATGACGTCATCGGTACCCGCATCGTCATCGTCACTGATGACGTCATCAGTGACGTCAGTGATGACATCATCGGCATTGGGGGTCACGTGACCCCCAAGGTCATGTGACCCCCTCCTGGTTAGTTTAACCCCCCCAGTGCCCTTCCCTCCTCCTCCTCAAGAGCTGCGCTCTAATTCGGTGTTACAGGGAGTTGTAAGCGGCTTTCACTTTTTTTAAGTTACTCTTAAGATTGGCAAATACAAAACAAATTAAAATTCATATCCTGTGCAAACTCCCCAGGATATGGCGCGAGTAGGTACACAAACTGGAATATGCTGACCAGGATGTCGTAGAACATACTAGGGATGTCGCCAAGAGGTACACACTGGAAAGTTTTGGGGGTATCCTGGGGGGATATTGTGTTTTCTGCGATCAAACTCGGCACACCAGTTGGTGCGACAGATATGTTAAGCCAATACACCACACAGCTGCTGTACTGGGTGAACGCAACCCAGCACACCAGCCGGTAATAGACATCAACCCAGTGCGCCAGTGTGCAGACCGATTCGATACAACCCAGCACACAAGCTACGCCATAAAGTCGCACCAGTACACCAACCGGAGCGTCAGGTCGACGTCTGCTGCACGAAAGGAGGCCGGCGCCACTGACCTCGAGTGGGGGTCGACGGCCAGGTCGTTTGGCTGGTCCAAGTGCTGGGAGATCAGCGTCCGCCTCAGCTTGCCGTCCAGGGACGCCACGGAGAGAGTGTGCATCCCTGCGTCGACCCAGTACACCAGCTGGCCGACCCAGTCCACGGCCAGGCCTCGGGGCTCCGTCAGGTTGCCCATCTGCGGCAGAAAGGGAAACGCAACCTCCGTGTTACTCCGACACCCTCCCCGAGACCACTCCGCAAAAACGGAAACTTTTGCATAGCTTCCCGCATTTCGACGCGGTCCGTTTCGAAATGCTATGGCATTTCCATTTCCAAGTAGTCTGCAGGCACGATCCTCAACACCCAACCGTCTCGTTCTGAACGAATGCCGTGCTGGCGCGCATTTGCGTAATTGTGACTGCGTGGTGCATGTCAAAAGGCCCCAGGTCACTGGCTGTACTGCGCTGGCTAAATTTCTAATTTCCAGCGCAAATTAGGGGTTTGTTCTATTTAAAGCTGGTCCACACTACAACCGAGTCCGACAGAACAGGGTGCTGCTTAGTACCGCCACTGCTGCTGTGCAGCACGGTCCTAAGTTGTTGCATGAGGCTTAAAAACCGGTTTTGTCGGACTTGGTCGTCGGTTGCAACAGTGTGAACCAGCCTTTACCCGCATCAGACTGCACCAATGCAGAAAAGTGCAGGGTGGCGTACTCCCGATCGTGTTTTGAGATGGGCCGCGCTTGTAAATTGAACATGGCGGCGTGCATCACATTCGATTTTACATGCAGCGGGAGGTACGCATAAATCGAATCCGTTGATTGATTTGGTGTTTATGGCACAAGAGCTAGGCTATAAAGTGCCAGAAACATAAATCAAACGCGTCTCGACGCCCTGTCCGCCCCGTTGCCCACCAGCAGCCCGGCGTCGTCCGCCGTCCCCCTCCGCCGTCTGCTGGGGCTGGCCTCTTCGTCGTCTGCTTCCTTCCTCCTTGGCGGGGGAGCCACGGTGCGCCGGTATATGGCACCGGCGTGCAGGCTGGCCCAGAACACCACCGTCTGGGAGTGGTTGAAGAAGAGGTCGACCGCGTGGATGCGGTTGGACGGGTCCAGGCTCCCCAGCAGGTCCTGGGCGTCCTGGTGGGCTGCCTTGTACGGGTCCAGGTGCCGCAGTTCGTTCTCGCTCGCAACCAGCAGGAACGCCTTGACCCCTGCAGCCGGGCATGCCATGCAAGAATGAAGTCAAAACTCGGTCCGAGGATTCCTTCCAGACGACCGCAAAACTCCCCGTTTCGCTTCGGCCAACTGGCGTTCAGAACAAACGCTTCCCGTTCAGGTGTCCCTTTTTGACTACGTGTTGGATTTCGCCCAAAGGTGCACTGCCTATGAGGTCCCCTTCCGTTTTTCTCCTCGGTCAACCTTTTTTTCCCGGTCGGAGGAACTCTTCTAATAGCGCGAAGGTTCTCAATATTTACAGGTTTGGGGAGCGCCCGTCTCTCAATTGACGACCGAGGAGCCCGCCCTGGAGTCGTCATCAACGCGATAAAGCGACGTAGTAGCCTACATATCTCATAAACAATAAGTTTGCGGTAGGAAGTCCTTAGCTTGTTTCTCCTCGACGGAAAGCTTAGATTATTAAAAGATAGCTCAAACTGAGGAATCGCTTTAATTTGAGGCAGGGACGGAAATTTGGGAGCTCGGTGAACCCTCTTTGAGAACCCGAGTGAGACAAACGAGGATATCTCTAGATGAACTGCTCGGAGCCACTTGCCGAAGGCCCTCTAAGATGGGAATACTGCCGGAAGAGCGATCAATCTTAGTTCTTCCATGCCACATGCCCTCTAACGCAGCACGAGGGTGTACACAAAATGACCGGAAAATGTTGTTTGAGACGTACGTAGTAAAGGTTAGAATTCAGTCCCCTAGTTTCCATTAAAGCACTGCCTACGTGACGAGACATGCTTGTCCAATTGTTTTTTTTTCCACCCCAGAAGACTGTTCCGGGACCCTTCGACGAGACTACTCTTTATGGCTTCCGGCAAGTTATCTTGCACTTGATCTATGTCGGCAAATGGCTCTCCTTTTATAATTGTCATTACCTTCGAGAATAAAAAAACACAAGCTAAGAGAGCGAGATTGGGTGAGTGAGGAAGGTGAGGGATCGGCGCAGCATTGTTTTCCGCTAGAAACTGCCTGAGAAACAACCGCTGCTCCAGGATTCCAGCCGTTTCCATTGCACATTCTCACGCACAAAATCATTGAAGACGGGCTCCCTTTGTGAATCTGTTCAATTCACCAGACATGAATGCCTTGACTGATTTTTATCTTCTATAACTCACTCAATGGTCCTTCGATGATCTTCACTGATTGCCTGAAAACCTCTCTCGATGTTTGCAACGCTTTTGCTGATCAGAAATTGACTGGATCAGGGTCGGTCTTCGACCGACATGTCGCTTTTCTTTGAACGGGAAAGCCGTTTGTAGAGTTGTGTTTTGCCTAAAACGTCGTCCTTAAAGGGCTGCCAAAGGGGGTCGGCAGGCGATTTTGTTTATGCGCACTCTCCGTGTCCTGTGGTTGGCAATAAAAAAATTGCAGTTTCCTGTACGTCTAGACAAAGAACTGTCCAACAAATAATCCAGTCCACCTAGAGCCAAGGCACTTGTCAGAGTAAAGCAGAAAACCATACACTAGCGATATCTGGCGACGCGCTTTGCAACTCAAAGTGTATGCGCGCAAAGTTAAAATTGCGTCAATTTTTGGGTAACCGCTTGCACACGGGCACCGAGCCAAGCCAAGTGCAACGTGTACGAGCGGCTTCGCATCTTCCAATCCGAGCCGAGAAAGCGCCGCCCGCGCCTGCGCACGGGGACTCGAGCGAGGTGTGCGCGGGCGACGCATGCCCACCTTGTGCCACGCAGGAGTCGTTCCGTCGGTGGTCCTTGACGAAGCCCGGAGCGCAGCTGCAGCCGAAGGTGCCGTTCTTCTTCAGGTTGCACACCTGGGAGCAGGCGCCGAAGCGGCAGGGCCCCATGTCTGCAAAAAGCGCACCGACGTCTAGAAATGTTCCGCGGCATGCCCCCGGAGCTTGCGACGTACCACGGTCGGATTAACCTACGACGGTCGTCGCCGTGCACGTACGGCGCCAATTATGCATTTGCTAGTTCCTGCCTCGATGGAAAAACGTGTCCACCCGCCGGGGAGGTGCCGCCATTTGTTACGTCTTTGGGGAGCGATAAATGTTGCGTTTACGGCACGTTCCGCTTGCGGGGCAAAATCTTCTAGGTGTAAAAGTCGTTCGCAATTCCCGGCACGACAGACTGGCGATGCGTAATAAACGGGCCCTCGATGAAAGCCCTGTTCATTATAAATAGGCTTCCCCATTTTAGGGGTTCAGTTTTCTTCGAATTCGGGGGTGCTTTTTTAGGGTTTCTTTCCCAGGGAGTGGGCATTTTCCTGTTTCGGACAATAAAATCGGTATAAATCGGGGCTCGTGTATAAGAACATGGGACACAAATGTAGGATTCCTGAGGACAGAAAAGCACTCTTGCGGATAAATTCGGTGCAGGCCGTGTTCCTGGTGATAACAAAAAGAAGCCATAGTTAAAAATTACTTCTCGAGGTTCTTTCTTTTTTTCCTTTGAGGACATCCGCGATTCGGGGTTTCTTCAGTTTTCCCCGATTTTGATAAAACTGGCTTGAGGGTTCGCTACCAGGGTTTAACGGTAAATACCAAAAAGAATCGGCCCTTATTACAAAGAACCTTTGCCGCTTCACGCGGAGTACGCACCACAGTCGTCTTCATCGGAACCGTCTCCACAGTTGTCGAACTCGTTGCAGACGAGTTTACGAGAGATGCACCTCTGGTTCTTGCACTTGAACTGGTCCGCCTTGCACTGGTGGCCTAAGCGAGCGAGAAAGCGCGAAAAACGATGGTTAAGAGCTCCCGAGGTCCCACCACGACGGCCGACGGAAAAAAAGGGGATCTCACAGAGCGGGGACTCCTCGTCCGACTTGTCGCCGCAGTCGTCCCGCCCGTCGCACACTTGCGACGCCAGGATGCACAGGCTGTTCTGGCACTTGAACTTTCCGGGAGGGCACGCATACTTCTCTGGGCACACACGAAGAGAAACAAGAGCATGCGGAGCGTCAACAAGAAGTCCCTTCGCGGCCCCCTCGTGCGAGGGCAGGGGAGACCAAACAGGGGCTGGACCCCCACTTACGACAGAGTTGGCGGTCCTCGTCGGAGCCGTCGCCGCAGTCGTCCTCGCCGTCGCACTGGAAGGTGGCCGTCACGCACTGGCCGTTGTGGCATTTGAACTCGCCCTGCTTGCACGTGATGTCTGAAACGCCGTTTGAACGCGCACTCGAGCAAGCTCGAGAATGGCCGCGACGAATGTTTGCTGCCCTTCGCTCGAATCCAGTCGGCAACGACTTCGCATCGTGCTGAATATCCCTGTTCCACGCTCGTATTCGAATTTGGAGCTCGCTCTCCACCTTTGTGTCTTCCCGCCAATTGTGTAAGCGCCGGAAATTTTTGTGGGTACTGTTTGCGTCAACCATTCTTTGGATGATTTTAGTGGCTCTAAACACACACTGGGAGTTTTCTTAGGATTCTTAGTAAAGGTTCCCCGACGTCTCGCCACAAAAGAACGGACAAGTTTCCCAGCTTTGTAAAAGAATTGCAGAATGTGCTGCAACACATACAGTTGATTAGCGTCGACGCAAATACGACTCGAGTAAGGACTCGCACACACTCTTCCGACCACCCAAGTGCCATCTCTATCGTAGTTAATTTGACACCACTGTCGCACCCACCTCGTACCATCCGACATAAATCTGTAACCCGCAGGACCTAAGGGGGGTACACTCTCAAATTTTCAAAACAATGATCTAGAGAACTGGAATACACATTGAAATTTTTGTGGCAACAATTCTAGAAAGGAAGGAAAGTTTAGATGGGAGCGAAAATTGCACTCACGGCAGCCCTCTTCGTCGGAGCCGTCCGCACAGTCCACATCGCCGTCGCAGCGCCACTCGTTGTGGATACAGTGTCCCACCACCTTGCAGAAGAACTCGTTCGACCGACATGTGGCGCCTGAAAGAGACAGGGACGCTTGCCTAATTCCCGGCAATTTGCTACGTCGAGCGATTGCGCGGGTCGTGATCCGCCCGAACGTCCCAAAGAATAACGACCGTTCGGAAGCCGTTACCAAACAATGGCCGGCGGCGGGAAGCGGAGCGGCGGTCGGCGAGAGGATGCGGTACTCACTGCAGTTGGTCTCGTCGCTACGATCTTCGCAGTTGTACTCTCCGTTGCAGAGCAGGGACGCCCTGATGCAGCGTTTGTTGGCACACTGGAACTCTCCCGTCAGACACGAGCGGTTCTCTGCAGAGACGGGCACACGCTTAGGGAAGCACGTACCACTGGAAGCAATGCCCCGTTCACCTGTCTAGCATCTCTAACGTACCGGCGTCAAACGTAACGTTCGTGCTGCTTGTCGGCTGCGTTTGACGCTTACCTTCGCAGTTTGTGAGGGCTGTTATCAAAATGCCGGTGCTGTCTTTAATACGTTAGCACCTCAAACGTAACCGCTGAAGCACGAACAACTGGCACCTCCTACACAACTCCTGGAAGGACGATCGATCAGCACCTCGGTAGTCTGAGCATGAGCGAATCTCAAATGTGGCCGGTGAAATGCAACAAAAGCTAGAAAGCAGCCAGGACGCACCACACTGCTGCTCGTCGGAGCCGTCCCCGCAGTCGTCGTCGAAGTCGCAGCGCCAGTGTCCCGGCAGGCAGCGGCCGTTGGTGCAGCGGAAGTAGGACGGGTGGCAGCTGAGGGCCTCCTCGTCGCACGAGGGCCCTTCGTCCTCCTTGCCCGAGCAGTCGTAGTCCCCGTCGCAGCGCCAGGCCAGCGGGATGCAGCGCCCGGAGGCGCACCGGAACGAGTTGGGTGGGCACTCCCGCTCCGCTGAAACCCGTTTGGGCTCGGCTTGGAAACCACTCGACATGGCCGTGGGAGACGGGGTGTGCTTTAAAGCACCGTGCGGCGGGCAGCTAAAGGACGCAACACAAACTACGATGGCGTGCGCAGGCAACGGCTACTAAACAACGCCCTGAGAACAGAAGGTGAAGAGTAACATCGAGAATTTGATCGATGGGTGTAGTGAAGACGAAATCACCTAGTCCACTTGCTGAGTACAGAATTCGCTAATTCTTGTGTAATTTGACCCGAGTTCGACGAATTCTATTTCAGCAGAGTGCCGGGGACCTCCGACGAATGGCTACTCCATCTACACGCAGCTCCGTCATGCAGATATATGTCGCTCGGCTGCCAGGAAGAAATGAAGAGGTGACGGTCACCATACGGTTTATGGATATTCAAAGACCTTTTGCTGTTCTGAAACATATATATGTTTTATAGAAGCTAGATGTACGCTACTATGACATACTCATGCTGTTGCGGCTATTTATCCGCATTGTTCGTGGTACGTAATTTTCACGGCGTCCCCGGCAATTGTGCGACTCCGTCGTGCCGACGACCGTAACCGACGACGGTACGGGTGCTCTCGACGACTCACCGCAATTGGGGGGCTCGTCGGACCCGTCGAAGCAGTCGTTGTCTCCGTCGCACGTCCACACGTCCGGGATGCAGCGGGAGTTGTTGCACTTGAACTGGTTCGCGGGGCACGTTTTGGGGGCTGCGCGCACCATGCCAGAGCGACATGTCCACTTCGAGATCCCCGGAAATCGCCTTGTCTCGCGGTCACCATCGCATACACACATCAAGACTCAAAGGCACGTTCGACTTTCACAAAATCAACATTTTTCTATAAGGCTCGTCCGCTCGCCTACCTATACCTACGAGAGAATCTTCCAAGGCTGTTCCTTTCGTTAAACTTTCAGGCAGTTAAAGATTCAACTATGTGCAACGCCCAAGATGCAATGGCACCCACACAAGTAACGAATGCGGTAAATTACTTTTACGCGACGCTAACTTTCTTAAAAGATCACCGTATGTCTACGAAAAGAGTAACGTGAAAGGCTACAGCATTGCCCATTCTTGTGCGTAGTAACGGCCGCTTTTATGCATGTCCAGCGCTAAATCACTCCATCGCATGGAACATGGCTTCATGGTCGCCGAAACATGTAGGAAAGGGAGCAGACCGCACAGACGAGTCTCTGCCTAGGGCTAAATCGAGACAGGCACCGTTATGAGCAGCGCTTTACATCAGATGGTGCACGCAAACTGATTTCTACAGCGAGTAATGGGGATGTGTTTAGAGATGCACCCCTACAAACTCTCTCCATTACCCCTCAACCTCGGCACTGCAAGGCTCGTAGGCAAGCCAAAAATCTCTCGGCTGAGGTGTGAACCACTCCGATCGAATGTAATCCCACAATTCAATAACGTCGAGGAGTTTTCTGTTTGATGCAACGCCGCCGCTGCAAATGCAGCTAGGAAGTCCCCATAACAATGATTGCCGTAAAACCACATTAGGAGAGAGTGTACGAGAGCTGACACATCCCCAAAAACCACAGTCGTGTGCCCAGTACACCGGCAATGAGAGGAGCTCGCGCTTACGGCAGTTGAGTTCGTCCTCTCCACCGACGCTGCAGTCGACGTGTCCGTCGCAGCGTCCCGTCGCGGGGATGCAGTACGCCTGGGTCGTCCCGTTTCCGGGACATTTGAACTGACTCTGCAGGCATGTGTACTTGTCTGCAAACAAAGCCCTCTTTTCAGAATGTGACACAGAATCTTGCTAGATAACATGCAGTTTCTAACCCCCCCCCCCCCTTTTTCCAACTGGGCGCGGCGATACACCACTACGATGTCAAACCACGGGGGAGACATTCAGCAGTGGGAGGGTGCTAAACCACGATAGAGAGAGAGCTAGCCACGGGTAAAACAAAGAGACAGTCGGCCACAGGTCAAACAGAAAGCCTGAGCAATGAAAAGTGTCGGCAAGATAACCACACTCGTTAATAAAGTGTCTCTTTCTCTCGTTCGCTCTCTCGTGGCCTCGCTCGTTAGGGGAAGGAAGGTGCGTGGAGGCACATGAGGCAGTCGCTTCGAGGACCACCCACCGCAGTCTAGCTCGTCGTCGGCCCCCGCGCAGTGGGGCTTGCCGTCGCACAGCTGGCTGGGCTGGATGCACTGCTCGTCCTTGCACTGGAACTGCCCCGGGCTGCAGCGGAACGGGGGGCAGGACTCTGGCTCGTCCGAGCGGTCCCCGCAGTCGTCCTGGGTGTCACAGCGCCACCAGGCTGGGATGCACTTGTAAGTCCGGGCGCACACAAACTGGGCGCTGGTGCAGTTGCTGCGGCACGAGGCACCGTCCGGCTCCAGCACGTAGTTCTCGGGGCAGGCGCACGCGGACGCTCCGCCCGCCCGCAGCAGGCACAGGGTGGAGCAGCCCCCGTTGGCCTCGCACGGGTTGCCCGCCACTGGGCAGTCGCGTCCGGAAGGGTCAGAGGGGAAACATGGGGTCCTCGGACGCCCCGACAAAACAGCTCCGCTTTTTTCAGCGAGAAGCTAGAGTTTGGGGATTAGAGCTCTGTGCAAGCTAACCTAAAAGCCCGACCGGGACGCGAATAGTTTTTGGGCCCGGGCCGAGAACGACACGGCTGCGCTATTTTCCGAGCGGGTCGAGCACACCGATACTTTCTCGGGGCTTTTTTGGAATTAAGACGCGAGGCACGCTTCGACTTCTCTCCGGGCCGAGACCTGCCTCGTGTCCCACGGTTGAGATGCCCCCGCCGGGCGTAGCTCCGTCGAGTGGGCATCTTGTATCGAGCTCCAATCGGCTTCGAAAAAGTGGTCCCGTGCAGCGCCCCGTCGGGGGTCCTAAACTTTTAATCTGGAGCGTATTTTACGGCTGGTTTCGGAGGATATGGTCGGCAACGGGCTAAGAATTCGGTGGAAGCTCCGCCGGGCTTCAGCTGCGACCAAGTGTTACCAAGGGCAGAAAGCTAGAGGCAGAGCGCGAGCCAAAGTCTTAGCTTCTCGCCGACTATAAAGCGCCTCAAAATGTTGTTACGAAAAAAATTGCCCGTCTCTTTGTTGTTACCAAAAAGATTGCTTGTCTCTTTAATGTTTCTCAAAGGCATTCTAAATGTAAAGCATCTACAAGGCCCCTTCGCACTCCTCCTCTAGCGGGTGCAATAGGGAGTCGTCACCCGTCGTCGCGTGACCGGGCGAAGTGACGTTGACTCAAGTGTAAAGTGTCGCCAAATATCGAAAACGTGGTAACACGCCCAACCCTCCATCAATACCCTTCACAAAATAAAGATGACCAACGCACGTGCCAGTTTTGTGTGGACCTCGTTTTGCCCTTTTGGCCAATCTGTTGGGGACGCCGGCATAAACGCGGAAAGTGTCGAGGGACTTCATGCAAAATATCTAGCACTGAGAACTGCACGGGCAGTTTGCGAACTGCCCTCTTGAGGAAGGAGGTGGGGAACGAGCGCCGGCATTCCCCAGTGGGGACGATCCCGGGCAGCCCTTCCCAAAGACTCACGGGGCCTCTGGCGCAGCGGGTGCATCACTTGGAGGTCCATGGGGCGGATGGAGGTGCGCACCAGATGGGTGACGTTGGAGCAGTGGTTCTTGTGGCAGCGCAGCACCGCCTTGCTCTCCCAGTCCGTCCAGTACAGGAAGTCCTCAAACAGGGTCATGGCAAACACGTGGTGCAGAGGGAACGAGGGTCCTGCGAGAGACCCTTCCCCTTGTACCGCCGCGCCACCCGCGGCAGACAGAGTCTTCGTTTCGAGCACGGATCGAAAGTCGGACGAGCGGAGTTTTGACCCGAGTGGCGCGAATGTGCTGTCACCGTTTTTTCTCTCGCGGCCGAAAGGCTAGACTAAAGCTAGGGATGCGGCAAAACATGCTCGTCTTGGGACGCCAACTTGGGGGGTGAAACTTCCCATCCATTGACACCTTGCCCGAGCGGAACGCGAAAATAGCACCGACCGTGTCACGTGGCGTAGACGGTGAGGTAGCTTCGGAGTCGGTCTTTTCTTTCGTTCGATAGATAGAGTTGGTTAAGATACAATCAGACTTTCGCAAAGCAGAAGATCCCCTTAGTTTCCTCCTCTCCTTGTCTTCAAACGAAGAAACCCAGAAAGAGATTAAAAGCTCATTCACACTGTTGCACTTGACTGCATTAAGACTGCTTGCGTGGAGCTGTTGCTATGACGACCCTTACGATGAGCCAATGGGGGCGCGATGCTGCAGCAAGAGGCAACGCAGTTGAGGCAACTGTGTGAACCAGCCTTAAGAAATGTGCACGTGGCTCCGCTCGCAGGGGAGGCAGAAGACGTGCCAGTCTCTAAGAAAGCCCCTTTGACAGAGTGAATAGTTACGCAAGACGGAAAAACTTGAGCGTATGCGGCATCTCAGCTCTAGCGACGTAACCCGAAACCAAACTTACAAACTTTAGAAAAAACACTGCTACTCTCGGCATCTCCCGACAGGCAACGCGGGGCTCGGAGCCCAAAGAGAGAGCCTCGAGCGCAGAGTGCAGCACCTACACACTATGTGCAGAGCCGTACCAGCGACACCAGCCCTTCTCGACTGGCCAAGAATCACCGTTGCGTGCGAGGATGCGCGAGTCTCGCGCATCAATTTTCTTTTCGACTGGCCAAGACTTGCCCCTGTGTGCAAGAATGAGCAAGTCTTTACACATCCTTGTGCATCCTTGGACATCCTCACGCATCAGCGGCCCTTCTCAACTAGCTAAGACTCACCACTGCGTGCGAGAATGTGCAAGTTCTTGCCCACCCTTATGCATCAGTGGGCCTTCTTGAGTGGCCAAGACTCACTGCTGTGTGCGAGGATGAGCGAGTATTAGCGCATCCATGCACCTCCTTGGGCATCCTTACGCATCAGCGACCCTTCTCGACTGGCCAAGAATCACTGTTGTGTGCAAGGATTTGCGAGTTCTTGCACATTCTTGAGCCTTTTTGCACATCCTCACGCATCAGCAGCCCTTCTCGGCTGGCAGAAACTCACTGCCGAGTGCGAGGATGCGCGAGTTCTTGTGTATCCTTGTGCCTCCTCTCCCTTCTCAACTGACCGAGACTCACCGTTGCGAGCAAGGATGCGTGAGTTCTTCCCGTCGAGGTCGGCCGTGGCGATGTAGTCGTGCTTGGCGTCGGCCCAAAACAGCTGGTGAGTAATTGGGTCCAGGGTGAGGGCATTGGGCCAGCCCATGGACTGGGAAGAGTCGTTGAGCAGCACCCGCCACCCGCTGCCGTCCATCTCCGCCTTGCCGATGTACGGCCGCTCGCCCCAGTCTGTCCAGTACATGTACCTGGGCGGACAGGTGCCCATGAGCACTCTCCTAGACCAGAGCCGGAGCTAGTCCACAGCGCACGCCAGCCTTGTTGGGTAGTTGCAACTGAGCATGTTACGCACGGGCATTCCAGTTTGTACCACGGGCTATCGAGGTACTTCTGTACGGATGAGAAGCCCGACAGCTCCCTACTAGACGTTGATCAGTACAAAACGTATGACTCGGCCGTGGCATTTCTACTTTGATGCAGTCTTCGGGCGTCGCAACCGAGGTCGGGTCACTCATTACAAATCCATCCAGTCAATATTGATCTATCAATCACTGACCAATCATCGCACTGGAGAATAAAACACTTCTAAAAAGTAAGCAAATAACTGAGCAAATTGGCGAGTCAAGAACATTACCGAATTCGTATTAGCAAACGAGAACAAAAAATAGAGAGTCAAAAAGACCTGAATAAGTCGAGTTACATGAGCCCACATGCATTATTGACCACACAGTTTGTTAATGACTCCATTAACTTGCTGTTTGGTCAATCGTCTCTCGACGGTCTACTACGTGGGTTCTCAAACCGGGTTCCTCCTTGGCCATCCACCCTCCAACAACCCTTCCGGCTGAAGTAGTGTTTCGGCAAATCCGAGTCACCAATTAATGCGTAAGTATCGGAGTCAAGTCTGTGGAATTTACGTGCCAGCCCAACCGAGGGCACCCGATGCGCCTCCGCAAAGCATACCCACGGGCCGTACGTTCCCAGTGTGGGCTTTACCGTCGCCACGGTCTACGGGCTCTCCCAGCGGGTCGTTCCATGGGTGCAAACGAAGCAAAGACCCACCCCTGGGAGGGGTCGACCACGATGGCCCGTGGCTCCTCGAGGCCCTCCCGCAGCAGCACCCTGCGGAAGGCCCCGTCCAGCCGGGACACCTCGATGGTGTCCTTGCCCTTGTCGCACCAGTACAGGTTGCGCCCCACCCAGTCCACTGCCAGGCCGTCCGGGTTCTGGACCGTCGTCGAGTGCAGCACCTGCCGTGGCAACGAGGAGGGGAGGGACGGGGGGGGGGGGGGGGGGGCGTTTCAAGAGGAACCGGCGTGCCGACGCATCGGCGCGTTTTTAACAGCCTTGTCGGGGTCCCGAAACGAAGACAAACTATGTCGTATCCCGACGGCCGATCGTGTGAGGAAATCGGGTTAAAATCGACGGGCCGCGAACGGGGATGCGTTTCGAGCGTCATATTTTGCCCGTATAGCCTTCGGAATAAATGCTCGACGTTCGTAAATCACGAAACGAAAATCGAGTTCTGTTGGTGTGCGTCAATTTTTCCTAAAAGGGGTTCCGTCAATGCGCGCAGAGAGTAAACGAGGAACGACCGAAACGCCCTCGTCCATTTTTTGTCAGTTTCTTGTTCGGTATTTGCTTACAGCGGTTGCCATGTGCCGACGTGCTCGTCACAGACCTACTCTCGTTCCTTTTCCTCGACAACAAATGGTCGGTCCCGCCATTTTGCTAAACGAGGAGGGAAGGTCATCTCTTGACAATGAATAACATACTTTGATGGGCCTGCTGTAAACCGAACACCAAGGGGCCAAAGCCTCAAAAACAGCCAAGCAGAATAAAAAGTAGAGGTGTGCGAATATCAAAATCTTTCGAATCGAATCGAATAATAAAGGTTACGAATCGAATCGAATTGAATATTTTCGAATACGAATAGTAGTTCCAAATAAGGATATATTTGAAAACAAATAGTTTCTATTTGATGTGAATTAAACAAGAATGCTTAATAAAAAAACACAACTAGAATTTTTTTTCAACAAACGTTTATGAAAAGGTTACTTTTATTGCAATAAGAAAAATGTCCCACATGTGACTGTTAAAAAAAACAGATGAAGAAAGATTAGTCAGTAAAATACCATTCCTTGAGTGAGGTTAGAGAACGTAAATGAAAGTGCAAAAGTGAAGGCGGGTCGGCAAGCCACAACGCAGTCGGAGATCGCATCGCGAACGAAAGGAGGCACTTGAGCTTAAACGCAAGTACACAAGCGGTGGCGGGTCCGCAAGCCGCAATACGAAGTCGATGATTGCGTCTCTACTTTGTGCGATCTCTTTTTACGCTCGTGAACGCAACCACGCGAACGCAAACGGAAGTACACAAGCGGAGGCGGGTCGACAGGCCACAGCAGAATTTCAGATTGCGCGATCGCGCTGTGCAACCGCACTGACTATGCACCATCTCTTTCCGTGTGCAATAGTTCTGTCCATAGAGGGCGCCACAAAGATGCAATAAATTAATATGTTGTTTGTTTGTTTTTTTGGCGGGGGGGAGGAAGTCTCACTTTTATCATTGAAAACGGGTAGAAATAAATAACAAAAGGAATACTGGCAAACTGATAAACCGGAAAATCAAGCGGAAAATAACACAAGCCAGATATCACCGATAGCCGAGGTGAGCCATAAATCCATATCCGAATCCATAGCACCTTGGCTACTGTAGTCACTGTAGGTACGAAATCACGAATATATGGTTGTGCTACATTAAAAATGAATGTGGACAGGAACGTATACAAGACGTCTCGGGCGGACGCCCGAAACGTCGCGACGTCCGTCGCGACCATGCATGTGCCGTTGCAAACCGTAGTCCTTCATCCTATCTATCGCAGTGTTTGCACCATGACCACTTAGCCCACTCTGCAATCCGGACATCACGGCAAGCAAAGGACAGATCGCCCTACCGCGTGCAAATAACTTTCCAATCCTTCCTACAAAAAGAAAAAAAAAGATACTTAGGTTGGTTGTGTAGGTTTGCCAAGCTCGAAACCATACTGCGCAGTCCAAAAACAAAACAGAGAACTCGACCGCAAGTTGACACTAATCATTGAGTTCCGCATTATTCGTAGTTTTCGAAGTATTCGAACAACTCGAATAGTTCGAACAGCGAAAGGGCGAAGCGAATCGAATCGAATAGCAAGCATTATTCGCGAAGTATTCGAAGTTTCGAATATTCGCACACCCCTAATAAAAAGCAAAAACGACACTGCGGCTGGTAGCTGCTTCGACTTCTTAAAAGTCCGTGGGACATAGCTGGTGCCATCTGGACGAGATAACTGCACGCGATAGAGCAATCAGGAAGAGATGGTCGCAGCCCAACAAGGACCCCCCCCGACTCTGCGCACGTTCGGCCGCACAGAGGTGGCAACCCACCTGGTGTTCCTGAGACCCGTTGAGGCACATGCGCTTGATGGAGCTGCCTACGGCGGTGACCTCAGACCAGTAGATGCAGTTGTCCACGGAGTCAAAGTCCAGGGCCACCGAGTTAGTCAGGTTCTGTGCCAGGATGTCCGAGCTCATCCGGTGCAGGTCCACCTGGCGGATGTAGTAGCGGTTCGACAGCAGCAGCGACGCCTTGACAGCTGCAGGGAGGGAGGACGCTTATCAAGACAATTCTCCCGGATGTCTTTGGGTGTAACGTGTTTTGTCGCGCCCGTTTTAATCGGTAATACTGTCAAGACCGGTTATAACGAGGTCGGTTATAACAAAATAGCGGCTAAAGCGAAGCGATGACTATTTCCCATTCCCTTTTGCACTTCGTTAACCTAAGTCAGTTATAACGAAATAGCGGATATAGCAAAGTGATTTCCGATTCCTGTTGACAGTCGACGCCGAGAATGTGCGAGTTATTTCCAAGTTTAATAAAACAAAAATGACAGAGCTGGCAGACCGTTTATTATCCAAAATATTGTATAAAAATATTGTATAACTAATGGCTATCATACTACTTAATTGTTTCGGTTAAATTACATCTGCGATACTAAAAAATCACTAAATTCCACTAAATCCACAGCCCGTTTTTGTTGTCACGCAAAGTGGGATTTTCATGCGGACAACTTTTCGGCGCGACAATTTCAAAAAGAAAGCCATTTTTTGTTTGAAAACTAAACAAACTGATTTTAAGTGCAATCAAATTTATTTCTGAGCATGCATACTCTCTCACAAATATATAACGGTACCTTTCCACTTCCCGACGAAGCCCTACGGCATTCATTTATTTTTTTTCGGGGCGGGGATGGAGAGTAGAACTTATTTTGTGACATACCGAGCCACCATGTTTCCACCCTGTAGAGGAGGCTATTGTAGAGGAACTATAATAAGTAATAACCAAAACACTGGCATACGCGCGTCAACTATAAAAAAAGAATGTCAGCCAAGTCTACGTTACTAACGTACCCATATTTGCCTGTTCCACCTCTTCACTACACTGTTTCGCCACATCCGATGCCTTCAGCTTTTTTCATTGGTCCTTACCATCGTTCGACGGAAATAGCGATTCATCGGATGAACGGTTTACAGTGAAGAAGGTTCATCATTTGCGAAGCAGACACGAGATAGGACGTCCATGGCCAACATAAAGCTGGGTCCGTCTCATTTCGTGCTGTCCGACCGGAGAAACAAAGCCAAAGGCAGCGTGATTGGTCGGCTGAGTGAAACGGTTGGACCCCTCGAAGCGACTGGCTGGGAGACCCCACCCCCTGGGAGGACTCACGGGAGTTGGCCTTGCACGTGCGTCCCCCGTCGACGGAGAAGTAGCCGTCGGCGCAGCTGCAGGCAAACGAGCCGTATGTGTTGCGGCAGAAGTGTGTGCATGGGTACTGCGTGGCACACTCATCCACGTCTGCAAGAAACATAAGGCAAAATAACTTTCAGACTAAGGTTAAAGTTTTATTGGGGTTGCAAAATTATTTGAATAGTAATTTAGAATAATACGCTGTTTGCTTTGAGATAAACCATGATATTCATAATTTTCCAAGTTTTCATCTCAGCTGGCTAGCCCCACTGAGCACACTTGTTACCGAGCACTAATGCATTGCGGAAAAGCAATGCTTGCAGAAGCGGGTTTTACGGGTGTTGCTTCTCTGCAGTGCACTGGTGTTTTGTAAGAGGTGCGCTCAACGGGGCTAACCTAGGGTCCCTAAAATAAGGGTACGTGCAACTCAAAACATAGAGCGATCCGTCATGAAGAAGGAGAGTAGAAGGAAGCGAGGAAACAACATAAAACAACAAAAAAAGAGCTGCTTTTATGGCGCATCTGCACCTGCGCAACACCAACAAGGCAAACTCTTAACAAATGTACTGCGTGCTATAAAAAAGAAAAAGATTGTCGTTGGCTTGTTGAAGTCGTCGAAGTATGGAAGTCATCGATCTCGTCGTGTTGTAAGCCTGAGTGCAAGTTGAGAAGATGAGGGCGGTGCTAGAACTATCATTGTTTGCCATTTTGGCGACAGCTGCATGGAACGATGGTTCGAGAAGGGCAGCGAAAAAGTCTAGAAACTGGCGGACATCGTGGTGCCTGGTCTTCCAGTACAAATTTCGGATTGCACTCATTTTCGACGCAATAAAGCAATGTCTCAAAGGTAACAAGAATGATGTTTTCTGTGCAGCAACAGTCTGGGGCATCATCTTTCAAGCAACGTAGGATGATGATTTTGGGGATTAATGGCACAAGAGCTACAAGGCCATCTGCACCATAGTAAATTAACAATCAATATACTTTGGGAAGTGTTTCACAAAAGTGCAACCTGAAGCTTGGTAAAACTATAGTTTGTGTAAAAGGCCAATGCTAGTAAGAAATTCCGTTACTCAGCTAAAAGGGATTACAGGATTCTCCCCCTGCAGGAGAGCCGGATTAGATAGGATCTGTTAACGAAAAAAACTCCGTAAAATGAGCAGTTTGGCTCTAGACCGGGACAGGACCGCAAGATATGTAAAATAGTAAAAGTATCACCACACTGACCGCAAAGCAGCGAATCTTACCCCCAAAAGCAGGTACTTATGAGCGATAAAAGAACACCAGATTTTCAGATGGCACAAGGTTTCATAAAGACGACTCTTGCTTGAAGAGCTTTAGCAGGCCCCAAAGAACAGGCTTGGTAACATGGAGCCTGTCATTACACTCCATGTCATATTCCAGTTGCCTACAACGAAGAAATGATGACTTTACTGAACGCTTAATATCCTGATATGGTACAAAAGAACACGATTGGAGAAGGTTCCCGCAGACCCTGCAAGCTGTTGGCCTTCTTGTTGCCTTCTATGCCAACCCAACAAAATTTATGCTTTGACCAACGCGTACAGCAGAGTTGAGTTCACACTGAATTTGTTGTACAAGCATATTTTTTAGTATCTCTAAGAGAGCAAACTGCAGCAATCACACTCTGAGAGTCAACAAACAGAACTGCCCTCTTTATTTTCTTATGGATAATGCAGTCAATCGCCATTGATACTTCATGAATGTCAATTCAAATGATTAATCGCAATCATATTAAGTCCCTTAAAGTTAGAGAAGTGTTCTTAATACACAGTGCAGTCAACAAAAGCTGAAGTCTTAGTGCAAATGCGGGAATTCACTAAACTAGTATGCTAAGGAAACGAATACTGCAGATCGTGACTGCAGCAGAGTCGTATTTCACGATGCAATGTACAAGCGGAAACAACTCGCGTAGAATCGCAATCGCGCACGCAGATCATTGACAAAAACGTTAGATTCCATTACAAACTTTATGTCACGGGAACGGCTACCGCACATTGAGGACGCAGCGGATTTGCATTTCACGATGCAACATACACGCGGAAATGACTCGTGTGTTATGGGAGCCGATATTGTGTGCGCAGATCGCAGACAAAAGCGCGGGAACTTGCTATGAACTTGCGTGTCAGACGTGCCAGCAGAGCAAACTGCGTATAGTTGATGCGATTCCCAACAAGCATCGCATGACGCCCGATGGGAATAAGGGGAGTGGACAATGTTTCGTAATTTTTATCTTGGAGATATTTGGACAGAAAAAACATTCAGCCTTTCCACTCTTGTGAAGAAGGAAGACCAGAGGAGCTGTACTCGATACACTGTGTGCTTCTTCTTCGTCGTCGTCCGTTTTTCGCGCTATTTCCTACGATAAATTCCCACTAACGCGCCCACTTATCCATTCTTCTATTATAGCTGGAAAGGTTGCCGCCATCTATGAGCGACGGCGGAAACCATACTGGTTGTGTGCTTGCCGCCGTCGCTTATAGATGGCGGTAGCTGTCCAGGTAGGTTTGTGTGGACATACACGGACACGATCCTGGGGAACCTAGTCCTTAACAGCTCCGCTGTAAAAACAGGATGGGCATCCTCTCGCAACTTTACGGTACCAGTAAAGAAAAAGGCCCCAAGTTGGATAAAACATGATGTAACTTGACAAGCTAAGCATGGCTCTTCCGGTTTTCTTTTTCAGCACTGTGCTTTAAAAACCTTTCAGCCTTTCCACACTGGTGAAGAAGGAAGACCAGCGAAGCTCTACTTTGGTGGGATAACCTCAAGGACAACGCCTAGAGGACAACGTCTAGGACGACCTCAAGGACGACTTCTAGGACAACCTCAAGGACAACGCCTAGAGGACGACGCCTAGGACGGCCTCAGGGACGACCTCAAGGACGACGCCTAAAACGACCTCAGGGTGACTGACGTCTAGGACGACCTCAAGGATGACTTCTAGGACGACCTCGAGGACAATGTCTAGGTCGACCTCAAGGACCGCCTTAAGGACAACTTCTAGGATGACCTCGGTGACAACGCCTAGAGGACGCCTAGGATGACCTCAGGGACGACGTCTAGGACGACCTCAAGGACGACGCCTAGGATGACCTCAAGGACGACTTCTAGGACGACCTCGATGACAACGTCTAGGTCGGCCTCAAGGACGACTTCTAGGATGATCTCGAGGACGACATCTAGGACGACCTCAAGGATGATTTCTAGGACAACCTCGAGGACGACCGCCATGTATGAGTGACGGCGGAAACCAAAGGTTGGCAGGTTGTTGCTGTCGCTCAAAGATGGCGTTAGCTGTCTAGAGTTTTGTGTCAACGTTTATTTGATGACGAACACGGAACTGGGGAAACTAACCCTTAACAGCTCCGCTGTAAAAACCAGGAGTCAAACTATAATTATAATCAAACAAAGGCTGACCAACGACAGTGAGATAAAGCTTTTGAGGACGTTGAGCCAACCGAGACGTCCAGAAAAGATGGCGTTCTCCAAGCACGCCAATGCAACGCAGCAAACCTTGACACGCGTGCACTGGTGCAAAGCGGTAAAGCTCGACGCCAAAGCGGCGGTGCATAACAGTGAAACTGGGCGCGAGAAGTTGAAGAATTCTGCAGATATTATTAGTAATTTTCGAATATTCGAAGAACTAGAGTGTGTACCGAATTAAATCGAAGAGCGAGCACCCTTTATGAACTATCCATGGTTTCGAATCTTTGCTAAGTTCTACCAAGAGCCCTGCCACTTGCTCGATCCTTCCCCAAGAAAACTTTGAGCAACAGGTAAGCAGGCAACTGTGAGACTCGCCTTCGCAGATGCGGCCCTCGTTCTTGGGCTTGAAGCCGGGATGGCAGCTGCAGTTGTATCCGATGGGGAGATCTTCGCAGACCTGCCAGCAGGCGTGGGTCGAGAGCTCGCATTCGTTGATGTCTGGGAAGGAAAGAGGCACAACAGTTCCTTTTTCTTAGCACAGAAAGTGTTTTGTCAACCGAATTCCACAAAAAAAAAAAAAAAAAAAAACACACATTCTAGCGTAAGGCTTTAAGCATACAATCTCAGTGTGACTTCAAGGTGAAGCAAAGCTTAAAATTAGACGTTTGCACACGCCTCAGATTACGGCCGCCATTGCTGACCTTCTCTTGTCTTACCGAGATACCAAGCCAGTGAAGCGGGCTTTGACGAGCCTCCACAAAAGCCTGTGCTGGGAAGGACACAGTCCAATCTAAAATGGCAATGAGCTCTTCTGCTGTGGTAATGACAGAGCGAAGTGATCAAAGTAAGAGGAAACAAAAAAAACTGTCGGTAATGGCGGTGCCCATGCACAGCTGCTGCAAAGCGACTCTATATAAAGTATTAGGGATGTGCGAATATTCCAATTGTAGTTTCGAATAATACACAATTCAATATTTGCTTCGAGGCGAACTGCGATGTTCACAATTTCCAAATATCTACGGAGCTTGAGGGCGTTGCTTTCCTGCAGTCCACACAGGTGCTGGATGAGAAGCGCGCTTAACGAGGCTAACCTGCCGCGATTATGCGAGAATATAGACGATTGCGAGCACGGTGCCCCAATTGATGCCCCATGTGTGGAATGCGTGCAGGTTACGCATAATCGTAGCTTTGGAAAGCTGGCAACGCACGGGCTTGTCCGCACGAGCAGACATGGCAAAGGCCAGTCGCCTTGCTTCCAATCGTCTATACGTCGGGCAGCGGAGTCTTGACAACTTGTGTTCATCGTTCGTGCTTGTTTCACGGCGACAGCTGTTACGGGCGCTTTCCACCACCGGAAGTGCCACCCGTTGCCATACGGCGTCTGCCGTCGACATTGCCAAATGCTCGAAAAAGATCGCCCCCCGCCATGTTCTCGAAATTTAATCCAAGTCCGCCACGCACGAAGCGGGTGCGTTGCCGCAGAGCCAAGTCACAGCCTTGGAGATCTGTTCTGTCGTCATTTGATAAGCACGCACGTGCGTGCGGGTCTCGCACAGCACCCGCCAAATAGCCACGATTGCTGCTACGTTGCAATAAAAAATTATTTATTATTCTTAATAAATTCTAAATTTACGCGTAAAAATGAAAAGGTTGGGCTAGGTGGCGCAAGCCGCCACTCGAATGAAAGGGTTCAGCTGTACCCATCCGTCCAATGCTACCTAGAAGACAAGGCCTGCTTTAGGTCATTGTTAGTAGATCTCTGATCAATCCCAGGCGGCAAACGCGCTCAAGCCCGATGAGACGATGATGTAAAGTGGCAGACGCGAGCATCTTGGCATCATACTTGTCGTGAGGCTGAAAGACGCACTGGCGGCGACCGGTCTCGCCATCTGTCGCAGGTGGAACAGTGAAGTGCGTGCTTGTGAGAACGAAGCCAAGCGTCTATGCCATCAAGACCCCACCGTGCTTGAACGCGACGCCTAACGACTTCGCCTCGATGTCCATCACTGGGACTGTGAATTCATACGGGACTGTTCATTATTTTTTTTTTCTCAGATATGAAATTGAAGAAAGAATATTTGCATATAGCGAGCAGATTTAGAAATCCCCTCGATAAGGATGGCTGCGTCAAATTTGTCGTTTACGTGCTGTGGTTTACAAATATGGTTATATTAAAATTAACCGAGCTTAGGAGCAGACAGTGGAAGCTCGGGAACGACCTTCACGAGTTTGGATCGCTTTACGTTTAAGCATGGTGCAGTAGTGAAAGGCCCGGACAAACTATTCGATATTCGATTAAAAAATATCTGACTCAAACAACTGTTCACAGACGACTATAAAGTCGTCTGTGTTTAAAACAAATTTAAGCAAAACAACCTGACGGGAGTCATACCCACAAGCAAAAGATTCCTAGCCGAATATTGCACCAACTGAGAGTTAAGCAGCGCAGGCGTTCGGAAAGCAACTGCAGAAAGAGCAGGTACAGCTGCAACGGAAAAAGAGTAGCACAAGTGACCGACGACCGGAGCGGCAAAATCGCGACACGCGGCGCTATTGTTCCCGAGCGCGCCGATAGCGAGAGTGCCAGTCACGTTCCATGTCTCAACGGGGGGCTGGCTGGCAAAAGACAGCCCATCCTAAAGCCCTCATTTAACAGCTATCTTATCTCTCAATTTTCTGCCGGCCACCCCCGCGTTGGAAATGCAAGGTGACTGGCACTCTCGCTATCGGCACGCTTGGGAACAGGAGCGCCGCGTGTCGCGATTTTTCCGCTCCGGTCATCGGTCGCTTGTGCTACTCTTTTTCCGTTGGAGCTGTACATGAGGTACAGCTGCACGGAGCACAGCCGTGTGAAAAAGCAAGCTTTACGTCCCGTCCTGTGGAATATCCTCATGCAAGCCTGATTATGCTAACGAAGACTGGGGAGCACGGGAAGGGTAGAGCGCACGTTCGAGTGGGACGGACCTGTACTTGGGGTCAACTTTCTGTGGCAATGCAGCCGAGGTTACAGAGTCGAAGCACACCATTTCAATGCGCGACCGAATATAGTCCAACCATTATGATTCACCATTAAAGAACATAAAATTGTTCTTTTTAGGTTTGGTTTTACGATGGAACAATAATATTAGTCAGGATATGCCAACCTTATAGCCTTTCTTTTTTCGTTTTTTCAGGTTTTCTTGGTTTAAGCTTGCTGCAGGTTTTCTAATTACTTCCAGAACAAACACGGCGTCTTTCTTGTGGGCATCATCCATACCTTCCGTGAGCAATTGAGCCAGCGCAGTACGTCTGCTAGCCTGTTGTATTTAATGTATGGCACTCAGTAGAGTGATGCATGACCACATGCCCGTATGAGGCTCGTCCAGATCGAAAGGAGCAGGGGTGAAGATTGATCCCGGGATCCCCAGGTTCTGCAGTGGAAGCGTTCCGAGCTGTGCTGCACCATTGGACCCCCTAGAGTCGGAGGTAACCGAACCTGATCCAAATGAAATTTGACTTCGAGCTGTGGTGTAACGATTTTTCGGCACCGGAAGAATGTATGTATCAATGACCTCAAAACTGTAGCACTAACGAGATTCCCGGCATTTTTTAGATCAATGCAACACATCTGCGTCGGTTGCGAGACAAATAGAATTCGACGAGATCGACTGTGGCATAATTTACCTCGCAAGTCGGTTCAGGCACCTCGATCCGAGCGTCCCCTCATGTTTAGAAACGGGTGAAACGTAGAGAAAGAGATGCGGGTACACCTGCCTGCTCGGCGACCACAGTTCAATACGCCCGACCGCAAACCGCCTACTGTATACTAAGTGCGTGCCTGCTACGCCCAAACTGAAAGCGGAAAAGACCGAACTACTTGGCACAATAACACTGAGCCGTCAGCTCTGCCCCACTAGCTTGCTCTTCACTGCCAGGAAAAGTTGATGCCGAGTATAGCGCAAAGCATACACATCCCGTATGATTCCCTGGGCACATTGTGTGCTCCCCGGTCAGCACGATGGAGTGAACAACAGCAGTTGCTCAGCTGTGGTCACCCATGGCACCGCGAGTTGACTGCGGGCCAACAACGAGACGGAGACCATAGCCATCGAGGACTCGGCACCGGAGGCACGAGCAAGGACACTCACTGCATCGGTTCTCGTCCGAGAAGTCCCCGCAGTCATTCTCCCCGTTGCACAGGAGGCTCTCGTTGACGCAGATCTTGTTGGCGCACTTGAAGTGCCCCTCGGGACAGCCAGATACCTTGGGGTCCGCTTCGTCTGAAGAGAATAAAAAACACGCACAAACCCACTCTAGAACTTATCTTTATTAAAGAGGGCAGCAAGTTTATGGCGTCGGCTGTGCCGAGCCTGTTGTACTGCGCAGGCGTCCTGTTGCTGACAAGGAGTGTACTCTTTCATTGCAGGCGGCTTTGGCACCAGGAGAGGGGCGAGTAGGGCAGCGACACCCTTGCCCTCTCAACGACAATAGCTGCGGTTGAGGCGCAGCGTGTTGGGCCGAGCGCGGTAGCGCCGGGGGTCGTGCATCGCACTCATCTCCGCCTGTTCTTTCTTGCCTTTGGTTGCCTGTACAGTCGGCACTCTGAGACTTCGCGTGCAAGAATGGGGTGGCGGAAGCGTACGCCGGAGCAAGCGGAGGCTGCTCGGAGGCATAACCGCGCCTGTGAAAAAGAATGCTGTCTTTATCTGGGCACCGACGGCCTCAACTTGGGTGTTAGGATGGAATGCATTAGACACCAACATCGCACCGAGCATAAACATGAAACGGCATGTAGAAGAGAATGTTACCGAGCGAAGAATGGACATGCTGGTGCAACCGAGCAATTTCTCTGGCACGTGCGCGAGAACATGTTTGGTGCTAACTGTTCTGTGAGCGATCGGTTGTGATTTTTGCGAGATGCATCGCGATGCGACATCGCCGTAATTTCGAGTCAATCACGACGCAAAGTCGTCAAAACAGTGCACCGGCCGACGCTGTTCATTCGCATTACGGCGCGTGATCGTCTGCAGAATGTTTTCGGCATCTACTCGATGTTAAGTGACTAGTTGACCGATCAATTTAATTAACTGTATTATTGAGAGTGGGTAAGCCAGATGCGGCAATAAATACGCGAGCACGTCGAAACCGAGATCGTAACCTTGCCAACTTTGTTCAGGGCTTTTGTGATCCGACAGAAAAGATAGCCCCAATTAAGACCCTACGGACACACAAAACCCAGAGAACGTTCTGCCCGAGACTTGTAATCCTCCCCATATTCTCGATGGTTGAAACATTGCACTTAGTATCGCAGTGTGCGGATGACTTTTGCGCTAAAACGTCGTCACTGCCGTATCGTTCGCTCGGGTCGATCGCAACAATTGGCCGTTTGCCTACAGAAAGGCCCTGCCTGCGGCCTCGCGTTGAAACCGAGCGAGGCAAGAGACGGCAAAGCTCGACTCACGGCAGACGTCGGACCGCTCGTCGGAGCCGTCGCGGCAGTCCTCCCACCCGTTGCAGAGGGCGTGCCTCGATATGCAGCGCCCGTTCCCGCACGTGAACTGGTCCTCCCTGCAGCGCCGCTTCTCTGCGAGGCAAGCCACACTGGCAGCTCAAACGGGGCACGTCGAGAGTGTGGCGGGTCGGGGGAAACGGCAAGTTATGCAATGCCTTTCTTAAGAGGCCCTTAAAAAATTAAATGAAAAATGAAATGAAAAGGCGGTCAAAGCTGGCAGGGACAGCCTGCAAATGCCCCTTCCCCTCGAGAATGGTAGTGGACGTTCTGCTTGGGACTTTCAGCACAATATTCACTGCCACTCCAGAGCCATCCCTGCTTTTCTGCCTTTCCAGACTGTATGGTGAGCTCATTTCATCCAAAACTGAGCAACGTCAGAACTTTCAAAAGACTTTTCAAAAATGCGGTGTGAGCCGTTACGTGTGAGGTTTTGCAGTGGATCTTCGTGCGTGTTCTCCGTCTTAGATCGTCTCTCCGGGTCCTGCTCTAGAACATCTCCGCACACATAACGTGAAGAGGTACGGAGTAGCCACACTATATATCCGACCTTGAGACTGTTTGACGGTGGATGGGTTCGAGCTACGACAGAAACGGTAGTGAGGAAGCTCGTTCGGCACCACGACAAACACGGAGCGCGCCAATGCCACGGTCTTCTAGCCCGGCGTCGCTTCCGAACCCTCCGGGAGAAGGGAGTGCCTGTACCGCAGGTGCTGGGCTCGTCCGACCCGTCCTCGCAGTCCTGGTCTCCGTCGCAGTAGTAGCTCTCCTGGATGCACACCTGGTTGAGGCAGCGGAACTCGCTCGGCTTGCAGGTACGCACAGCTGCACAGTCCAAACCCACAAACCCCCCAATCAAACTTCCCTCGGCGAGCTCGGGAAAAAAAAATTCAGCCCGTCTCAATCGTATTTGATAAATAAAAATAGTTTTATTGGTCGACCCCAATATTCGGAGAAGTAGGAGGAGAGGAACATGGTACAAATGTATAGGGTGTTTGCTTTTAATTTGAACAAATCTACACGAAAAGAGATATGAATGGTAGATTGATGCGGTCTGCACAGGCGAGTTCCACGTCCAGGGGGACAAAATAGAGGCAGCTGATCGTCATGCGACATCATGGTGTCGAGCGGGGTCGTGCAATGCCATAATTCGGCAGTTGTCTCGCGGAGATGAGCGCGTCAACGCACGTGCATTAATAATGAAAGCATCTGTTTCCCGAAAAAAAAACCTGTGCGGCGGCAAGACTCACGGCACTTGAGGTCGAGGTGTTCGTCCGAGCCGTCGGAGCAGTCTCCCGCGCCGTCGCACATCCAGGCCTTGGGGATGCACTGCCCCGTGCTGTTGCACTTGAATTCGTTCTCCCCGCATGGGCGCACCCCTGCACGTGCGAAGTAGTCAGGGCGTCAGCCAAGAGCCCGGAGCGTGTCTTCCACCGGTGCGTCTGCCATCCCACCCCACCCTTAAGCTGGAAGTGGTCCAAAAGCAGCCACAGATTGCACCATGGGGACATCGGACGTCGCGATCCCGGTGGTTGATGGTGAAAATGCTGGCAAAAAGCGCCAACGGACGCAAGGGCCAAATGCAGCCACGCAATTCTCAAGACACTGACTGACTATCCATTTGAAAGCATTTCAAGTTCAAGCTTCATTGATGGAAATCATCATGCTGACAAGGACCAGGCAGCACAGAATGGGGGCACTTATCTATTTTAGAGCGCAGCTCTTAGGCGCCCGTTTCCGGCTTGAGCGGCAATGGCGTCGCCGTGGCCATAACTGCGCGGTGCATCGTGGGTAAATTTCCCCGCTAATTTAGGTCCCATCTCCCATGACGCATTGCGTTCTTCGATAGCTGAGCGTAGAGAAATCGCAGGAATCGGTCCTTTGGAACGAAAAATATAGCCATCCGTTCAAAATTGAAGCGTGCGATTGTCCTTAAAGACCGACGACTTGAGATTCTGCAAGGCAGAAGATCCTCCTCACCGTGGGGGAGAACGAAACAGGCAACGGAAGCAAGGAAGCGAGGGAAAAGTGGAAAGAATGAACTGGTCCTTGGTCTTTAAAAAGACACTGCAAGGAAAAAAGTTTCTTTTTTTAAAGGGCACGGATGGGACACATATTTTTTTAAATAATTTTTCCACAAAAAAAAACTTAATTTTTTTTCACAATATTTACGTTGTGATGCAATTTTGGTGGAGGTCATGGCCCATTCTAAGCGCCGCCAACAAATCAGTGGCCCCGCCCATTACTACTGAACTGGCTTAGCTGCTCGACCGAACAGGCTAAGAAGTGTAGTGTCTTCCTTTCGCGACACCTGGTGTGTCTAGTCTGGAAGTCTAACACCACCTGCTAGTCGTGCGAGCAGACGCGCGGCAGCCTCCGGCATCGTCTGCTCTTTCACCGCACTCTATCGTTATATGCAATGCACCTGAGACTTAGACACGAAAGCTGCATGGTTTTTAGAGGGTTTAGATCTATCGTAACGTCTCTGGATATTCCTCGAGAGCGTTTGGAGAAGAAAATCTGAAAGTATCCTACTCACGGCAGGCAGGAGGTTCGTCGGAGCTGTCGGAGCAGTCCGGGTGTCCGTCGCACCGGCTGAGCAGGCTGATGCACTCTCCGTCCTTGCACTGGAACTGGTCCCGGGCACACTTGTACTCTGCCATGCACAAGAATTCAGGCTCATTAATCCCTCCTTTTCACCTCTCGGACAGCCAACAAAACTGAGAAGCTTGAATCCAATAACACCGTGTCATAGTCAGAATTTGCGGTGCAGGTAAAATGTCACCAAATTCCAGCTTCGTTTATAAAATACACACCAGGTGCACGCTTTTATCTTCGACCAAAAAAAGCAATCATAGTTGAGCCGTGTGACAAGCTTGTTCTCGCAACTTTCGGCTTGATTTATGAGGGGGTGCTTTCCCTCCTTGTTTGGAGGGGATTGTTTGTGAACGTGAGCGGACTCGGTTGTGGTGTCTTCCCGTTTACAAACTGCAAAAATAAACACTAAGTCGCAAGTGGGCAGACGTCCATAACACACGTCTCTCTCGTTTATGTTTTTTGCACTCTCACTTTTACAACGAATTCATACTGACCGGCCCGGCTTTCCGCACTTCTTCGGATAACTGCTCGTACGCACCGAGACATTTCTGTCACGAATGCAATTTATTGTTGCATCAATTTACCGAGGCGCACAGCCGCTTCGTGACACCAAAACGTTGTATAAAAGCGAGAAATTAATTCTAAGCTTGGACGTGCATATGAAAGCGACAGACCGAGCTCGACGGAAGTGAGCCACCCACCGCAGTCGAGCTCGTCGGAGCTGAGCGTTCCGTTCTGGCCGTCCTCGCAGTCCATGTCCCGGTCGCAGCGCCACGAGTCGGGGATGCAGAGTCCATTGAGGCAACGGAACGACATGGCGGGGCAGGACACCTGGGGAGTCGCTGCAACACAAGCGCACCAACGACGGCTTACCTCGACGGACGCAGGACGTGCCGTGCGGCCGCGTCGACCCGCCTGAACTCACTGGTCTGGCAGTTTTCCTCGTCCGAGAAGTCCCAGCAGTCGTTCTGGCCGTCGCAGATCCAGCCGGGGTGGATGCAAGCCGTGGTCCTCTTGCAGTTCACCAGGTGCAGGTTGGGCTGCCAGGTCATGGGGTGCCTCGAGCAGTCGGGCTTTGCTGAAACGCGTGCCGCGTAGCCGTCAGACACCGCTCTACTGTCAGGAGGGCGCATGCCCGTTCCGACACGTCCAGTTACCTCCTTCGCGGCAACCGACGGATTCGTGTGGGCAAGTAGAGCTGACCGAGAAAATACAACGCTATTGGCAAAGAGATCGCAGAGTTGCGCCTCTAGTGGCTAAATTGAGAATTACACCGATGGGGACTACAACAACATAAATGATTCGTTTTGACGTGGCGCTCGGCAGATGTGGTTGAACGTTGCGTCAATGTTCGGCTGGGGCTCTTGATCAGTTGGTGAAGCCGGACATGGTACTCGTGGATTTTTTCATTTCGTCTTCGTCGACTCAGATTGGGAAAAAAATGGGGCACTTTACGTGCCTAATTTTCGCCCCACACGCTATCGGGAAAGACGAAGTAGAGAATCTATGTGCTTTATGTTCGTAAACATGGAGCTCTGGGGAAAACAAGCTGGACACATAGCACCCCCTATAGTTCGATCATCTTGCCAATAGAAAATGACACAGCAGTAATAATATTCATTAGAAGGAACGTATGAATAATGTGAAACAAAGTTAAGATACCCTACCAATAATGGCACAGAAACTCGCAATGTCATAGAGCAAAGATTTTTCCCGAAAAGACTGCGCTCATCGCAGGGAACTTCTGATGTAGTACGGCAGGTGCCCTTGAAGGCAACAAGCAGCAGAAAGGTTGCAGTAATAGCAGACGCTTTTCTCGTGGGTCCGACTTGGGCGAAATTAAGTTTTCTAGCAAGACGCTGCCCGCCATTCAGGGTGGGAAGTGTGTTCCTTCGGAGAAGAAAGATTTCTAATCATTAACGTTTCTCCCAGGCTACATGTGCGAACCTGTCTTGGCAGAATTCGTGTCCGTCGTCCTTGTGAGCAAACGGATGCTTTTAAAAATATCCAGGGAGACACGATAAAGACGGGACGTAGCAAAAAAAATAAAACAAAGCATCCATACAATTGTTCTGCGAGTACTTCCTAATGGACCCTATTATAATCCATTTCTACAGAACTGTTACAATCATCGATTCTTTAAAAATATCCTCATCCTGTGGCATGAATAATATGAATTCTAAAGTGCTTCGTAGCACAAAACTGGCATGTGCCCTTTTCCTCCCCAGAATATTCCAACAATCGCTCGAGACAGAAGAGGAACCCGACAATTGGAGATTCGGCAGGGTCGTCCCGGTTCACAGAGGCAGTATTTAAAACATCCCCTCTCAATTATAGGCCCCTCACTTGTATATCTCTTCTAAAATTCTCAAGCTATCATCCCCAAACATCTTCATACCTTTCTCAATTCTAACAACTTCTTCTGCAACTCAGCATGGTTTTCGCAAGACCCTGTCTTGTGGGACCGAAATTGCCTACCTTACAACAATCTCTTTCACAACATGGACCGTGGTTATCCAGCTCAGGCAATGTTCCTCAGCCAAAGCCTTTGATAAGGTTCCACATAACCTTCCATTCTATAAATTATCCACATTAAAAGTTCAACCTCAGGTACTAGCATGGATTATTTCTTTTCTTTCGCATCGATCACAGTCTGTTTGCGTTAACAACACAACTTCCGCTTGCATTCTGGTTACATCTGGTGTCCCTCAGGGAACCATTTTTGGCTTGTGCTTTTCCTAATGTGCATGAACGATCTCCCACCTTCGTATTTTTTTTCTCTTTTCCTCTCTTTCCTGATGATTGTGCCATGTACAGGAAATAACAGCCAATGAGTCATTACTCTTCAGGGTATGGGTCTTACCTGTGCTAATGGATATAAGTATCTATTGGTCCACATTACTTCTGATCTCTCCTGGCCCATTCATATGAATACTACTATCATAGCTTGAGCACACAGCAGTTTAGGATGTTTGTGCCACACCTTTAAGTCTGCCTCTCCTGTCCTTCAACGTCTCCCCTATGTCGCCCTCGTCTGCCCAAAATTAGAAAATCCGGATTTTATTTAAAGTTCTCACCAATTCACTTTAGCAAATTTGAGTCGGTTCAGAACCGAGCTGTTCATTTAATCCTGTGTAATTACTCACGTTTCTCCAGAGTCTGCCACGAAGGCTGAACTTAACATCCATAATCTTTCTACTTTTCATAACATTTCCTGCCTTTCCTTTTTGCACAAACTTCAACACCACCCAACCTTCGGCCGGTCCCTCCTTCACCCGCCCATTTACGTTTCTCCAAGGTTCGATAATTCCCGCAAAATAGACCAAATGCAGCGCAATGGCCTACCTCTACTCTGCCCTTTTCGAAGCCACTGTGAGCAAAAACGACCGCCGGGAGAATATTGTCATCGTCGGAGACGGCACCTTGTTTCGGAGCGTCGTAAAAATCACCTTACGAGCACAGGAGTCGAGTTCTACTGCAGCTTGCCCCGCAGATATGAGTTTGATTTAAACTGCCACCACAATACCCCGCCAAAGGAAGCAGACAACGGTCTCTACATCTTGACGGCGCCAATGCGACGATTCTCAAGGATCGGACAACACGCCCGAGCTGCACTCCGTGCGTAGACCACGCTAGAGTGCAACACGCGAGGCTCAATCTCGTTGAGAGGACGTCGCGGGACGGGCCGAGAAGATGACGAGACAAGGACAAAGAGGGGGCGACGCTCACTGCAGTTGATCTCGTCGCTGGCGTCGGGGCACTCGGGCTCCATGTCGCAGACGAAGCTGGCGGGGATGCAGGGCCCCCGGGCGCACTTGAACTGGTCCTTCTTGCAGGTGCAGTTGAGCTCGTCGCTGAAGTCCCCGCACGTGTCCAGGCCGTCGCACACGCGCGACCTCGGCACGCAACGCCCGTTGTGGCATGAGTGGAAGCCCTCCCGGCACGTCCGAGTCGCTGCACGGAGCAGGGTCAACCGTCAAGACAACCTCGCACACGGGTCGGGAAGGCGTTTGTGGATGGGAACGGCCGTCTCCGTCCCCAGTCCAGAAATACGGACGGCTTTGCTCCACCGACTTTGACGACGAAAACGGTCGTCCCCATTCCTTTTTTAAAAGGTTAAAAAGCGCAACACAACAAGGACAATGAAGACACGAAGACGACAGGACGGGCGCCACCTGTCCTTTCGTCTTCGGGTTGAGAGCTACCTGTCCTTTGCTCTCAACCCTTTAATGAGGAGATACCGTATTTACTCGCAGAATGAACACACTTTTTTTTCCGAAAAATCGATGCAAAGTTAGGGGGGGCGTTCATTACGCGAAGTAAAATTTTTGCTTCCGTATTTACTCGCATAATGAACGGACCTTTTATTCTGAAAAATCGAAGTAACTTCTTATCTCTTTGTGCGCGGCACCCGAGACCCCGTAACCAAACTAAGCTGTGCAAAAAAAAAAAAAAAAAAAAACTTTTTTTTATTTTTTTTTTTTTAGTTCCTTGGGTTTTTTTTTTTTTTTTTTGCCGCCTTTCGCAAGTTGTCTTGTTTGCTTAGGCGAGGGCTCTCCGCTTATCTTTCTTATCTCCTTGCGCGCGTTGCACCCGACGCACGACACGCCCGTAACCGAACTGCGCTGTGCAAAAAAAAAAAAAGAAGAAAAAAAGCTCACCCTGTTTTTTTGTTTTGTTTTCTCAGTACCGTGGGTTGTATTTTTTTTTTTTTTTTTTTGCCGCCTTTCGCAAGCTGTTTCGTTTGCTTAGAGGGCTTCTCCGCTCCTCTTTCTTACCTCCTTGCGCGCGGCGCGCGACCCCCCGTAACCAAAGTGCGCTGTGCAAAAAAAAAAAAAGAAAAAAAAAAAAAGCTCCTCTTTGTTTTTGTTTTTTCTTAGTTCCGTGTTGTTGTTTTTTTTGTTTTTTTTCTGCCGCCTTTCGCAAGCTGTTTCGTTCGCTTAGAGCGCTTCTCTTTCTTACCTCCTTGTGCGCGGCGGTGGGCGAACCCAAAATCCAGACTGCGCCGTGCAAAAAAAAAAGCTCCTCTCCATGTTCTTTTTTCTTGCTTCCGTTGGATCTTTTCGAATTTTTTTAACGCCTTTAGCAAGGCGTTTTGTTCGCCCACACTGCCATCCATTCGCGACCTCGCTGCAACAGGATAGAAAAGTGCGTTCATTTCGCGCGCGTGGGGGGAGGGGGTCAAAATTTTGACATCTGAGTTGGGGGTGCGTTTATTACGCGAGTGAAAAAAAAAGTCGAAATTTTGAGAGCCGACTTGGGGGTGCGTTTATTACGCGAGTGCGTTCATTGTGCGAGTAAATACGGTATACAGAAATTCCTTAAAACATTTATTTTTTAAGAGATTAACTTTTACAAGTTCAAAAAAAGAAGCAGAGCTGAAATTTAAAAAAAAGTGTAAAGTCAACTTGCAAGTTACAGCTTTGTTGGCTGTGGGCAACACCTGGGTAACCACCTCTCCTACTCCTTTCTTATTTAGCAAGAAATTTTGCTAAATTTAGCAAAACAAAACTTCCCCGCTAAACTTAGCAGGGTAAATTTTTTCGTTAAATATAGCAGGAAAATTTCCCAGCAATAAGTTGGTCGTTTTCAACTTTTCCTCCCGTGTACGCGCCTAATACAGTGGAATGTCGTTACTTCAAACTCTCTTAATTCAAACTCCTGGATAATTCAAACTAACACACAGGTCCCATCCTATGCGTTTCTAGGGAGGAAATCTCTTGGTAATTCAAACTTTGCATTATTCAAGCAAAGTTTTGGTAATCATGTCGTATTACACCTGAGACTGCGGTGGAAGAAATCGGAAGAACTTTCAGTAGAAGGAAGTTTTGGTCCCCCTCAGGTTCAAATGAACGAGATTCAACTGTATCTTAGAAAGATCTTTCGGGAAGTTCGATGGCCAAACCTCGAGAGGAGGCTGAGGGCTTCCTCGAGACGAAGAGTTTGCGAATGCCCGCGTCGGACGGACGGAACGTGGCTCACCGCAGTAGTTGAGGTTCTCATCGGAGCCGTCGGGGCAGGCCTGCACGCCGTCGCAGGCCAGCTCAAAGGGAATGCAGGCTCCGTCCCCGCACTCAAACTCCTTGTCCGTGCAGCTGGCATTCCTCGCTGCGTAAAAAACGGCCCCCGTCACGCGCCGGATCCCTTCTCTCCTCGCCGACGTGGTTGAAAGGACGAGGAAGAGACCAACTACGAGAGAGGATGTCTTAGCGGCCAAAGTTACCAGACCATGCAAAGAAACTGGACGCGTGGCACCGGAGGCAGCAACGGGAACGCGCACTTTGGCCTTGACTAAATACCTCCCGAGTTGGGACGAGAATCAGGAAACTCGAATGTTTTGTCGAAGTTGTTTTTTTTTCCCGGGAACCAAACTGCTGGTCGGCGGCTTGGGGCATGCGTCGACGTCGGGAATTTAGGAGTGATTGGAATGCAGTTTAGTTCCTTTTTGTGAGTACTCGTAACACTTACAATACCAGTTTTCACATCAAGAAAAAAATATTGTGAGCCATTCCACTTTGTGAAGGCGGTTGCCAGCAAAGCTGTAAGCACCACCAGACATGATTCACCAAAAGACACGCAAAAGTACTTCACCAAATGTTAATTTACAGTATATATATACATAATTTTGAAACGCTAGTGGTGATTGCTTTGTGATCACTCTAACATACACTAATGGGTTCCATTACAACTTTAGTGAGATTCTCTGCTAAAGTTAAATCTATAGAATTAACTCTTTACATATATAAAAGCTGCTGCCATTATATATGTAGAGCAGTGACGTCACCCGACTCGAGCGGTAGAAGGACCACTCTTCCCGGATGTGTCTTCCTTATCACACGCTTCGACGGGCGGTCGCAGACTGCCCAGTGATGATATTTAAATACGACTCGTAGATTAAACCCAAACATTGCGTGGGCACTCGATTTGGGCTCATGATAATCGATAGTTCGAGAAGCATTTGGGTAGTGGCCTGTGTCCAATTGCTGCAAATACGATAATAGCCGAACCATAACAATGTCTGGAACTCAGCTCCTGTCCTATCCCTGACCAACCCCAGCGCTTGAATGTAATCAACACTGGCGGCATATAATCGGCTCCAGATCACGTGGCCGTTTGTTCTGGCTGCAAGTTGAGAAGGTGAACGCTGCTCGTTTTTCTTTAATTTTTTCTGCGACTTCGATTGCGTGTGGTGAAAAACGGACACGTGTTTCAAAGGTCATCAACGTCAGGGATCCATTGTAAGTGGTATTTGCGCAAAGTACAAAAATCGTCGCATCGCCCCTTTTAACCTGCGTAACTGCAACTGTAACCTAATTAATTTTCAACTCGCATAACTGGTAGCTTAATTACATCGCAAAACTAACCTCTCTCTGCCATCACTTGCAACGGGTGGAGGCCTCTTTAATTTAAATGACCAAAGAGTGGACTCGAAAGTTTGGTTTCAAGAAAATCCTGCCTCTACAATCGTCACAAGAACTGTCGCACTTCTAGTAACTGTAACCTAATCACCTTTAACGCAGAATACGTTTACGGGCAGGACATAGTGCAAAAAGTGTAACGCTTAACGGTGACGAAAAAACGTCACGTGTGGGCCCAGGAGATATAAAGCGTACATAACCAGCCGCAGGCCATGAATAATCATCCAAAACGTATAGATGGCATGCTTAGTCGTATAATACAATACAGAAGTGTAACTGGGCACAGTTAATCTCAACGGCTCGGCGGGAACCGAACCCCGGACCAAGCGATCCCCAGTTCGACGTCTTTGCTCGGAGCCACGACGGTCGGACGAAAGAGAGCACAGGCAGCTGGACTGAGTACAACTTCCCGCCATCAGTCGCCTGCGGTAGCACTTCACTCACCGCAGTTTCTGGCATACGCTTAATACACGGGCGACCATTGGCGGCGAGTTGTACTTCGTCCAGCACGCCCGGTCTGCAGGCAACAGTCGGCACACGCGGCTGGCTCGCGAATGGCCAAGTTCACACGTAGACTCGCGACATTGCAGGACGGATGGTAACGTACCAAAGGACAGTGCGGCGGGCGTCCTCATTCGGCGCGGGTCAATATGTAGCGTAAATGGCGCAATAAATAATTTTCCCTCGTGATTGTTTTGTTTACCACAAATGGTCCTTGCCATCCAAGAGCACAAATATTTCAAGGACGCAGTCACAAAAGAAATATAACCCGAGGTAAGCTCCACATTAAAACAGGCTGGTGACACGCTCCACTCATGTATAAATTCTAAACTTCTCTCAATCGTTCGACAAGCTCGGAGAACGCGAGAGTGTGTCGTGCTTGCAGGATATCGCCCAAAACTCCCCGTAACCAAGCATAGCCAAATCGTAACACAAGCATAATGCTCACACGACACATTCTGTGCTCCCCAAGTTTATCAAAACGATTGAGGCAAGTTTTTTTTAAAAGTAACCTTTATGGATTTGTGCCCACCTACCTTTAGAGGCAGCTAGGATTTCCGCAAAGACAGAAAATCACAGCCCATCCAAAAACTCAGCTTTTTTTTAAAAAACAGTTTCAATAACCATCACTGCTCTTTGCCACTGACAAAAACATTTCCACAAGAAGAGATCAGTCATCGCAGTGCACACACGCCGTGCAACACCGTTGGCGCAGACGCGACGTTGGAGCTTTGTTGCCTTTTGTTTTGAAAGGGTATTGACAGGCACCATACCTTACAGCTTGTGTCAGTGCCCCCAGTCGGCACTTTCACCGCACCAGTTAGCACGAACAAGCAGTTGCCGGATTTTCCTATTTGTCTCTTAGAATCTAAAGCCTGTCACCAAAACTACCGGCGCGGTAGAAAGTGTTTGCTCGGGGCACTGACGTAAGCGATGAAGTACGGTGCCCGCCAATACCTCCTCGAAGTAAAATGAAGAAAAAAAAAGTGTGTTCACTCCAATGGTACCACGCAGTGTACAGAAAGCCCAACCAGCCACCCCAAAGGAAAAACCGACGCCACTCACCTCCACACCGCTTTCCGTCGGGAAGTAAGATGCGACCCGGATAGCACTGGCAGTAGGTGGTTCCGTTGGCGGCCACGCCGCACGTGTCTTCGCAGCCGCCATTCAGGACGGCACACGGGCTACGGGTGCCTGCAAGCAACGCCATGCGCGAGCGTGCTCGTGCCATTAGGAAGCGTGAGCTTGGAGCTCTGTTCCAAAGGTGTAACTTTTATGTTTGCACTTTCCCGCAAGGTAGATGCACCCTCACGCAACGACGGCGTTTCTTATGAGCTTTTCGACGACCCGTCGCCCACTCATACTCCTGGTCGTTAGACTGGCACGTCAACTACGGCGAAAACGTGCGACCGAAAGTAACGAAGGCAGAAAAAGACGCGCAAAAAAGCGACCGAAAATTGCGAGAAATTCAGAACGTCCCAAAAAAAATTCTATGCGATAGTTTTTTTCAAATTTTCAATAAATAAACAGTGCACGAGTATTTATCGTACAGAAATCGCAAACATGCTCTTAACGAGACCATATATGAAGTTTATACGAGGGAAACGCCCTCGTTGTTCTTCAAAAGGAAAGCGACGCATTTTGGTGAATTCCTAATTTTGCGCCATCTCTTGTCCATTTTTTGCAAAAGCGCTTGGCCTTTCCGAGCGGACGCAACGGGCGCAGAAGCGTACAACGTCTGCTCTATGAACCGGATCCGATGACGAACCGCGCCCTGGCGGCCCGTCGGGCGAGGGGGGGGCCTCCACTCACAGTCGTTGGTGTCGTTGGCCACGGCCACGATGCCCATGGGGCGGACCACGTTCTTGCGCAGCACCACCACGTCGGCACCCGTGTGCTTGTTGGCCCGCAGCACAGCGTGGGCCACCCAGTCCGTCCAGAACACAAAGTCCCCGTACACCGCCAGGTCAAACGGGTGCTGGGGGTGCTCGCTCAGCAGTACCTGGGGACCGTCAACCACGGGCACCTCAGAACCTCTTTCTAGGCTCTAGCAGCGGTCACCCACGGAACGACAGAGAGGAGCATCGGCTGCCTGCTTCTGGTTTCATAGTTTCTGCCATGTTTTGCGGGTTTCGTGCCATCAACGGCACTCCATGTTGACACAAGCCATTTTTGGCTTGTGTCAACATGGAGTGTTGACACAAGCCAAAAGATTCCTTCCGCATTGTTGTCACGCCGCTCGACGAAACTCTTGACCTCGCGCTGCGCATCGCGGCACCCATGACCGGGCGTCGGCCAACATTGTGATGTAACACTGTCGAGTCAAGTCACGTTGCATGGTGACGCCACGCAACTTAATGACGTCGACTGACACCGTGAGTCACATGACGTCACGTGACACTGTGATGTCACATGACAGTCAGACGTCACGTGACTATGTGTCATAATGTGACACCATGATGGCACACAGAAGCATGAACATCAGACTGCTAATCATGAAAACAATAAAAACAAAGCGTTTTCACTAATTACGCCGGAAGGGTTCTCGGGCGATAAAACAAATAAAGCTAAGTGGGTGTTAAGCCGGCCAAACCACGGGCATGAAATTAGGTGGAGCTACTTGCTTGAAGCTTGCGTGTGTGATTTTGGAAGTGTTCTTCAGTAACCACAAGGCGGTGCGAATTTGTGTCCAACAACATCGCATAAGACGTTCAGGCAGCCACACCGATGACAGGGAATAGTTCATGCATTTACTGCATGCAGTTTCGTCGTTCCCTGAATTTCAAACTTGGGTGCGCAATTTTCGAAGTGTTCGATTACCACGAGGCAGTCCTAGTTTGTGCCCAATAAAATTGTGTAACAGGCTCACGAAATACTCTCTACTTAATACACCCTCATTGGTTCCAAAACACTATAAAATTTTCGTCTGGTGTGTTACTCGGCTTAACATGAAATGCCCATGCAAACTCTACGGTGCAAGCACGCACCTTTACCATTCCTTCTGTCCACCTGCTCTGAAATGACACCTTGGCAGCTCCGACGTCACAACTGAGCTGTCGCAGCGTTTATTTTCCTGCCCATGCCACCCTATCGCATCACACCAACCTACGGCGGTGTGGTGCCATAGGATGGCCCACACCGCCGTAGGATGCCTGGGCGGTCAGGCGGCATGCGAAGCCGCTCACGAGCTGGCACCGCTCCCGGCCTCCGACCTCCTTTCCCATTGGCGTGCGATCAAAATGTAGGCGGGTTTTGACTCACGTGACGATCGCCGCCGTCGAAGTCGCAGCGCTCGATCTTGTCCAGCCGTGCGTCGGACCAGTAGAGCTTCTGCAGCTGGTGGTCGATGGCGATCCCATTGGGCATCCGGATTTGCGTGGTCACGATCGACTCTGGGTCGAATCCGCTCAGGAAAGAACGTTGGATGCTCGGGTGTTGGGCGTTCCAGTTGGTCCAGAAAACTCGCCTGCCGAGATGCGCGACTTTGTTTCGACGCAATTCGATTGAATGAGCTACGCCGGATGTCGCCTCGCGAACGAGGCTACCGTGAAATGCAATTTCAGTTTCGTCCAACAGTGGGGAGTTTAAGAATAGCGTATGCAAAGGCTTTGCATACGTCATTCTTCTTTGCACGCAAAGAAGAATGTCGTCGCCCTTGCGCACGTGCCGAACGCTAACTGCACTTTGCGTGGGCTATTGTAGTATGCTGTTTTTTGGAAATTGCGCTCGTGCACAAAGTGTCTTTGGCTCCTCCAAGGAGGACTCGTGATGCGCGAGAAATCGGCTAAAGCCATGACGAGGGCAGTTAGAAATTAGCGGTTGCTTTAGCAATCATCATGAGCGCGACGTCGGCGGCATCCTTGCTACTGCGATTTTCAATAAGGGGTGACATTGCACTTTTACAGGAGGTGCACGTCACACACGGTTTCGAAGACTCGGCAAGGTGGGCAACGATCACCGGAAACTAGCTGCTTGCGATGCGCGGACCTTTCTCGGCAAACGCATGTCAGGTACGCCCATGACAGTCAGTATGCGCTACCTCTCTTACCGAGGTGACACAAGCATACACGACCGATCGACTGCTTGCATCGCATTCTCATATTTACACAAATCTAAAATGTTACTCTAGGCCAAAAAACATTTTTTTCTCTCAAGTTAGTTACAGCATTTTGTGCGTGAAATAAAAATTGTTACCGTATCTTGATAGCATTGCAAGCACAAGAAACTTGGGTTTTTGCGTTGTGGCGGAGGAACGTTATTCTAAAACTCCCTGGTATCAGTACATCTCGTAACAAACGCCTATTGAACGGAAGTGCCAAACAAACAGGCACAAAGAACTAGACAAAGACGTAGCGATACATCTTTGTCTACTTCTTTGTCCCCGTTTGTTTGGCGCTTCCGTCCAACGATGTACCAACTAGCCCATCTTTCAATTTTAAAACAAACATCTACCAACAAATCCTATATGAATGCCTGCCCCTAAAATACCGCCCATTCCGTTTTTTGGGTCAAATATCCGTAATATAAAAATTCTGAAACATTGCCCACTCCCCATTTCCCGGGGGAATTTTGGAACTCAAGTCTGGTGCCCGAGGCCAAACGTAGCACGGGACCCCATGCTGCGAGGGGGTCGGACGGGGAGGCACGCACTTGATGCAGCTGCTGACCACGATGCCCCGAGGCTTGTCCTCGGGCCCCAGCTTGACGATCTTCTCGGGGGTGGCCCCGGGGTCCGAGAGGGACACCCGCCCCACCGAGGCGTCCCGGTGGCTCGTCCAGTACAGCTCGTTCTGTACCGGCTCGTAGGCCAGGCCCTCCACTGAGCCTTGCTCTGCGCCAAAAGAGAAAACGGACGCTCGGCGTCTCAGAGGATGGCCAATCAGTTGCACGGACGGCAGTGTGGCACCACCATGGCACCACCAGAGTTCCGTGTGTTCGTGGTTCGCTCTTTCTTCTAATTCGAAGACGCTTTTCTTCTAATTCGAAGACGCGTCGGGGGCCCTGCTCCAAGCCCCCGACGCTCTCGAACCCGAATGGGAGTCGCCCTCGAACGAGAAAGACCTTCCCGTGAAAATCTTTCTCGTTCGAGGGCGACTCCCATTCAAGGCGACTTTTGCAGGCCTTGGTCGAACCAGCAGATGGGTTAATTTTTGAGGTCTATCGGTATTTACCGAAAATGCAAAAACCCTAGGTAAGACCGAAGTGGCAAGCATTCGTCGGCCTTTCCACTTTTGAGCTTTCCATCTGGGAGTGTGGGAGAAACCTGCAATCTTTGGAGCGGGGTATTCCGGTGCCGAAATGGCGACTGAAACCTGCCAGAAAATTTAGGCGGGATACTCTGGAAAACGTTTACAACAAAATGCTCCCCCCCTTCACGCGCCTTTCACGTCCTCCGGTATGCCTCAAATAGTGACGCAAAAGCGCTTCGAAGAGCGGACATGAGCTCCAGGTCCCATCTTGGGCAATATAAAACCAGAATTTCGCGTTTTTGGTACGAAACCACAAAACACTCGCTGGTAAAACTCGGGCCAACTCAAATTTATCCGAAAAACTCCGACGACCGAGGGCACGAAGACAAAATCGGCCCTTTTCTTCGCCATTGTGGCAAAGGCGGCGCAGAGCGTGATGCTGCGTCGAGTGGGTCTAGATGCGACCGTGGCGGAAGCCAGATCCAAATGTATGCGCGCTTGTGCTAGTCGCTGTTCTGGTTTCAGATTTAGCCCACACGATTCAGTCCCTTTACTGGGACAAGGGAGCACTACGGTGGAAGCCACGTACCGTAGCTCAACCGCACACTCACAATCCCTACAATTCTCGTAAACATTTCTTGCAGCTGAAATAAATTTAAGCGACTTTTAAAGTTTTAAAGGGATACTGAACCGAAATTTCGAGCTCACAAAACAAGGCTGGATGGATAGGCGGGACGCTGTAAAACCCAAAAACATCACTCATACAGCGATATCTCGAACGGATCGTCGTATTTTGGAAAATAGGTGCGCGATTGAATACGGCCAACGAGGCATGCGACGTCACGATTCCCATTCCCTCTCCTCCTCGCTATGTCCCGTCGAGCTGGTGAACCGGAGCGAGGAGGAGAGAAACGCGGCCGCTTCCCCTCATTCTCAAATTCTCCCGGAGGACAGTGACGTGAAAGACCTCGCTTGATCGCGCTCTTCTTTTCCAAAAGTACGGCCATCCGTTTCAGATATCGATGTGCTATCGATGTTTTGGGGTTCGTAGCGTCCCGTTCAACGCTTCTGCCACCTTATTTTACAAAATCCAAATTTCGGTTCAGTATCCCTTTAAGCCGAAGCTGGGAATGCAGCCCTTGCCGCGGCCCGAGCCGAGAATGGGGGTGCTGGGGCGGCCGCACTTACTCTGCACGAGCACCGAGTGGCCGGAGCCATTGAAGTGGACGCCGTTGATGCTTCCGCGCTGGATGTCCGAGTAGAAGATGCGCCGGGACGAGTAGTCGAAGGCCAGGCCGATGATGTTGCGCATGAACTCTGCGCTCGAGATGCTCGGGAACGGGGCGTTGAGGTTCGTCTCGTCCATCATGTGGATGCTGTCGATGGTGCGCACCCGCGAGAACATCACGAAGCCCTCGTAGTCTGCACCAGGAGAGAGCGAACGCGTTACGGGCGGCGGAGCAGGTCGTAGGCGGGCCGAGAAGAAAAACTCGGCCCTTCGCGAAACGTGAGGTCACCGTAACGTCTCGAGAGATGGCCCGCCTAAAATCGAAAGCAAATCTGGTGAAAATAAGGAATGGGCAAACTTTCGGTGTGCAATAACAAAAAAAACTCGATAAATTGCTCGTTTTAGATTGTGACCTGCTAAATTTTCGATCGTACAGAGGTACGATGAACCAAAGACGATTGTCCTTTCTAGTCAGCGATGTCCGCTTATCTCTTGCCGTGACTAAGTAACGCCATTTCTTCCGGGGCCAATATTGGTCAGGGCCCTGCAATTACTAAAAGTGAGCCATCTATCGGTGTCTTTAAAAGAAAATGACAAAGTGGGTCAAAAATGGGGGGTGGGTTATGTTTCGGGGGTGGGGCATCTCTCAGGATGTTACGGTACAGACATGCAAAGTGAAGGCAGAAGGCTTCTAGCTCAAAGCTGCAGTTATGCATAGTGAATCAGAAACGAGATCTTTGCAGAGGCGGTAGCTGTTAAGTGAGATCTGGCGGTCGCACGTGGTTGCGGGAAGATTGAGTGAGCCAGCGTGTCGTCTCTAGCGAGACGCGCTCCCCCTTACCAAACCACACGAGATCCACTTTCCATCCGAGGAGCAGGAATTCAAAGCGCACCGAGCAGAGAAGATGGAGCGCCACAGTAGTATGACAACGGCAAAAGGTGTAGGACCCCAACCACCATACACGACTGGCAGCATGTAAGCACCTTTCACGTATCTGCTTGAGTGCTCCTACGACTACTCTACTAAAAGCAAAGCTCCTAAAGCATGCATTCTAAAGTATAGTGACAAAATGAAAACCTCCCAAAGCATAGTGTCAATAAAGAACAGCTGCCATTGTGAATTATGACACGCTTTATGCGGCAGACTGTAACTTTTCTTTCTCCTTCGAAGAGTTTTTTGTTGAGTCCAAACGACGTCGAGCTCGGCACGGCCGGCCGACGGATTAGACTTGAGCGTCGGCTCTTCGGACAACTCACCTTGGCACGTCCGGCCGTCGGCGGCGACCCTCCCGTGGGAGCAGGCGCAGGTGTAGTTGAGGCCCCCCCTGTACAGGCAGAGCTCCTGGCAGCCGCCGTTGTCCGTGCTGCAGGGGTTGGTCGTCTCTGCGCACCGGTTAACGCCCCTCAGGAAACTGCTCGCGGAGGCTGCCCCTGCCCCGCGACCGAGGGCATGGCGCCCCGAACGCATTTCCCACTGACGCGTGGGCGGGGCACCGAACGCGCCATTTGAAGATGCGTTCCGGGCGCCGTGCCGAGGGTCCGGCGTCGCCTCCAACCAGCCCACCAACCTCGCCTGGGGCGGGAGTGGAACACCTGCAGGTCCTTGACCGAGTCCGTCAGGTGGCTGACCAGCATCTCCTCCAGGCCGAGACCGCGCTTCTGGACTCGGAAGATGGAGCCGTCCTCTCGGTGCCTGCAGGACACGCGCCCACCCTCTGTCAACCTCCCCTCCAAGGACTCCCGAGTGCGAAGATCCCCGAGAACAAGGCGAGCTCACGTGTCAGCCCAGTAGATGTAGCTGCCGTGCACCACCAGGGAGAAGGGGTTCTGGAGTGGCCTGCTGGACTCGCCCCCCTCGTCCTCCTCCCCCAGCGGGGCCGGAGGGAAGACAGTCTCCCGGTTGCCCCCGTCCAGGTCCACCCTTTCTATGGTGTCCGTGCGGGAGTCGCACCAGTACAGTCTGTCCTCGTCGAAGTCGATGGCCAGGTCATTGATGAGTTGCACCGAGCTGTTCACCAGCACCACCCGGTCCGAGCCGTCCAGGGAGGCCCGCTCAATCTTGGGCGGCACTCCCCAGTCGCTCCAGAAGATGTACCTGTCGAAGGACGCCCCCTTTGGCCGAGAGACCACCACCCGTGGATGGTGCGCGGCATCGGAGGGCATGGCTGGACGTGGGGGGGCGCGGGTCCGGTTTTCTACTTTACGCGACGCTTGGAAGCTCGCAAAGTCGGACACGCCAGAAAGTTTGCGGCACGTGTCACAGGCGGAGCGCCTACCGCCGACCTCACGTCTCAAGACTGTGGGACGAAGAGTCGAGAGAGGCCGGCAGACGGCCAGACCGACAAAGGCCGGGAAACCGGCGTGGTTCGAAGGAAGCGACGACCGACAAGAGCCGGCAAGCACGTGGCCTAATTTGAACCGGGCTCAGGTTCGCTAGCAGACACGCCAAATCTCCCGTCTGGTGCGGCGCCGTGGACGTCACGACGTATTCTTTCTAATGAAACACGGAGTCCGCCAATGCCGGCAGAAGAAACCGGGAGAAGAAACTCGTGCGAGTCCTGGGGAGGCGGTCGAGGGCACACTCAGATTTGGCCCAACGTCAGGTCCTTTAGCAAAATGTCAAGCGCCCCTTCGAGACTTCCTGGAAGTTCCTTTTTAAGAATGAGACGTCGAAAAAGAATTCATTCTTTTGAGCACCGATGCCAGGGAGGCAATTTCTACGGCTGTGCATCCATACTTCCCACGATAATCAAGGAACCCCGGAGACGGTGGGTACGCCGAGGGTTCTCAAACTCTTACAGGGATGCCTACTCCAATCAACCAAAGGGGAGAAACCCAGTTTCGGCTTCGGTGAAGCGGTGCAGAAGCCTACGAACCTAGCAAGCAATAATTCATGCACTACAAAGTGCCTGGCTTGTGTAGCTCAGATTGGTTAACATAACACACTGAAAAAGCGCTCGGGTGCAGGAAAAGGAAATTTGGAACCTCGGGGAACTCCTGGGAGTTCAGTGTGGAAACTCACACACTCGATTAATAACAGTGCCAACCACTAAGGCGAGACAAAAAAATTACAGGAGGACCTTAAGACTGCTTACGTGTAGGAATGCGAAAGCATTGTAGTCCCGCAGGTGAAATGTTTTAGAGTAATGTTTCTACACGTGTTTAAGACTTCACGGCTCCCGTGACGAAGCATCTGCATTGCCGTGCACATATAGAGGACGTCAGGGACGGCGTCTAGGAGGACGTTGAGGACGTCAAGAATGACGTCTAGGACGACCTCTAGGATGACTTTTGGGACGACGCCTAGGACAATGCGGAGGACGACCTCTCAGACGACATCAAGGATGACGTCTCGGACAACGTCAAAAATGTTGTCTAGGACGAAGTCGAGGACGACATCCCAGAGGATGACGTCCTAGAGGACGACGTCAAGAATGACGTCTAGGACGACCTCAAGGACACCGCCAAGGACGGCATCGTCCTTGAGTGTATGTACAACTGAGTGGCGCGTGCTATTGCCAGGCAAGTGCATACCCGCATCCTCTATCCAACTGCACCGCCAGCAGTTTGGCTGGCTCCTTAGCAACAATGTCGCCGTTGCTATGGAGTCGCATGATGCGTTGCAAGCAATGGAATTTAGGTGCCGTTTGCGCTGGACAGACAACACCGGCTTCGCTCCATGGAACAGTTAATGCATTGCAATAATAATTGCCGCAATCAAAGCGAGGCTAAGGATGCTGGGAAACGGAACTGGGGTGTCGAGAACGACGCCACGAGGAACGGCCCTGCAAGATGTCGTAGATGGGCGAGTCAAGAACCGTCTCGGATCAACTTGGACAGCAGCTCCCAGCACCAGAACTGACCGTTGCAGCTCCAAAATTAGGCTAGAAGGGCGATAGAGACCACCAATTCAACTAATGGCTCAAGAGTAATCGCGGAATAGGGCAAAGTCATTGACTGAGACCAACTAGACGACAGTAATAGCAAATCCATGGCAAAACAACAGGGTAAGAACGATGGTTCTTCCCAGAACGATTCTTAGTGCTGCGGCAATTGTGGGAGTCCATTGAACGACGACGGAAAACCGAGGTCGACAAAGAATGAGATGAACCCCGAAGTTTGACCAAACGAAACCGGAAACGGGGAAGACCTTCTTTGTCTGCTCCCCGCCGGCGGGCGCACACCCCAAAGTGACCGAAGGACGCTCACCCCTTGTAAGGATGCACCACGATCGCCCTCGGCTTGTCCATGTTGCCCGACAGGAGAACGTAGCGGTGCGACCCGTTGAGCCGCGACACCTCGATGACGTCGTACGACGGATCGATCCAGTACATGTTGCCTGCAAGAGACGGGGACGCATGTAGCCGTTGAGGAGTCTTTCGTCGGAAACACCGGGGACTCACGGGCGACCCAGTCGATGGCCAGGCCCTCGATGGCGTCCAGTCCGGCGACCACAGTCTCCCGGCCGGTCATGTCCCTGCGGATGCGGGTGATGCTTCCCCCTTCCGTGTCCACCCAGTAGATGTACTCTGGGCAGGGGGGGCCACAGCATCATCACACCGACGAGACAACTCGTACGCACCAAATGGGAGCTCGTACGGCGTATGAACACACATGCCCGAGACGTACAAACCACACCAATACTCGTGTTAGCAACACGGGGCGCTAGTATTCGAGAGATAGAAACTGGTAGGCAAACACATTTTTGAAAAACCGGAGACGATGGATGAAAAAGGGGACAGCACACAAAATGTCTCAAACGCAGCTACTAAACTTTATTGGCACAGTCATTTATATACCGTCTCTCCCTCTTGTCTCTTGGAAACTGTACACGCACCTAGGACTTTCAGTTAGGGTACATCTCGTCTTGACCACATTTCAAACCACCGAATTCAGTTTGTACACAGCATTGCAAACAAAGCCCCATTGTCACAACCCCCAAGGTCGGACCCCAAACACCGCACCTTCACACAACCTCCAAGGTCTAATCCACTTCCGTACAAAAGCCCCACACTAAAACTAATAAACAGACACACACACAAAAATATTGAAGCAGGAAAAACTTTTGGGTTGCTTCGTCTAGTGTGATTGACGGCTGACTGATACAATTGCCTACAATCATGATTCTGATTGTTTCTTTCAAGACTCTTTTTGCACAATCTTTTCCTTTGCTCAAAACAACAACATATCCCCAATCAGGCAAACAATTATTGCATTCCTGTACATGTTTAGCAATCTCAGAGTCTGGAGACCAGTTCTTAACTGCCCTCCTGTGTTCAGGCAGTCTATCAATCAAGCACCTTTTCGTCTGCCCCACATAGGTGAATCCACAGGCCATCGGAATATCATGTACTACGCCAACCTGGCAATCAACGGCGGCTTCTCTGTGCCATTTTTGACAACCCCGCGCCCCACCCTTGAATAGCGTAAGCCTGTTGAACTTTTGGAAGTGAAAACCACCTTTACCCTGAACACCCCAGCAACCGTCAACAAGTTGTGCAAAAATTTATGAAAAAACGGAATGCACACTACCCTATCTGGCTTCTCCCTTTCTTTCGTCACCTCTCCTCTAAATCCCACCATGCACTTCCTTGCGACCCCCTCCACAATGTTACTCTTATACCCTGCCTCCTTTATGCGTGCCAATTGCCTCCTAACAGCTTCACATACTTTGTGTTGACAAGATTTTCTTAAAGCGTTGTCTAGAGACACCACTACCCCTCATTTAACCAATTTTGAATGACAACTTTTGTAAAACAACAAAGGTTTTGCCGCTAGTTTCCATATACCCAGCACAACCCGTCCAACATGTTCAACCTAAGATCCAAATACTGCAGCACACCTTCATCAGGCTCCTCACTGCTAAAGGTCAACTCAAGCACTGCTTGCACTATGAAACCTTTGATCTTAGGTAGTGCCCCCTTCTCAACCGAACATATCAAAATGTCATCAACGTATCTCTTGATCATCACTGACCCTGCTGGGAATGATTGTACAACTTGCCCCAAGGCCGAATCCGAAGGAGCCAAATATACCTCGGAAAACGCTGGTGCCAACAACGAACCGATGCACAGCCCCTTCCTTTTGAGCAAATTTACTCCCCTTAAATTCTACAGCAGTGGAATTCAGATGCGATTCTATTAAGTTCAGAGAACTCCCTACGTCTGCCCCGGACTGCGACTGGAACCGAACCAAGCTTGCCTCCAACAAATCCCCTAATCTCGAGAGAAGCAGCGGTTGATGGAGGGAATAAAATAAGTCTTTAATGTCTAGTGACATGACTTTGCACTTCATACGCGAACTTGGAGATGGCACTCGGTAGCAAGGAGAATCGAGGAGGGCGCGAGAAGGAGGAGTGGGGGACTCACCGTCCACGAAGTCGATGGAGGTGGCCATGGACACTCGGGAGATGGGAGCCAGCACCCGCTCTGTCGGGGAGTTCGGGGGAACCAGGGACACCCCCCGGATCTCGTAGTTGATGGAGTAGAGCAGGAACTCGGCGTAGCCTGCGCCGAGAGTGCGTCGCACGGATCGCACCAACCGGGGCCGTTTTGTGGCTACGCTAGGGATAGCCTATTCACACGACAGACTGAATCGAGGTTTTTGTCCGCGTCACGTCACCGATTCCTGCGGTCTGCGCCTTGTCCGCGGACACGCGGACTGATTAAGTTGAGTGCCTTTTCACTCGCGGATTGTTGGCAGGAGATTTACTTGAAAAGCGTTTAGTCTAGCAAAAATACAATGTTTTCTTTTTTTTTAAGACGATTAAAACAACAATGGTGCATTGTTGCATTTTGTGCGTTCGCTGGTTCATTTTGTTGCGCAATTCTTAGTTCTTTGCGTGAAAAAAAACTGCAGAAACTTTGCCCGGCTGACCGACGCAGGCTCCAGTACTCCTCCGGATCCGTGTCAAGAAGCTTCCGACGTAACTTGTGTAGCAAGCCGCGACAATTCTTGCACGTCCAATCAGCCTTTCACCGAGCAAGACATTTCTTGTGGCTGTGGTGTACGTAAGTATTGTGCACGAGCAAGCAGTGCATGAAGGCATCTCCAAATGCCCCTCCACGAGCCCAGAACTTCGTCGCTTCTACGCCGAAGCCTTCTCGAGCAGGACCATACCTTTATCACTGTCATGACTTGGGTTAGTAAGGCACTTTGCTCGTCGTCTCCCTCGTGTGGATGTGCTTGGGAGACGGACGAACCGCGGACATATCGTCACGTGATAAACCCGTCACGGATCATGTGAATCGGCCAAGAGCGACATTGCTTGGGCTGTCTCGGTGCTTGCTTAAAATCGTGTTTGCCAATCACCCCGAGCTTCGACCGAAATTGCGAGAAAATGTTTCCCATGCTTGAAAATGCCAGAACGGTTATCGAGAAGTCCCAATTTCGAATGGTAACGACTGTCGACGATTGCAAGCACCGAGCCGTCCCTACCAAACCATCGGGGAGTGCTAAAGCAGCAGATTTGGCGGCTCTGGCCGGAGGGGAGGGTGCTTACCGACGCACTTGGTGTCGTCTTCATCGTCCGGGACAAAGCCGGTGGTGCACTTGCACACCCTGGTCGACCGCGAGGTCGGCAGGCACAGGTGCGAGCAGTTGCCGTTGGCATCGCTGCACGCGTTCTCCCCTGCATGCGTGGCGTCGCCGGTGGTGAGCTCGCGCATTGGACCCTCCGCACCCACAGTTGCCGCACCTCGCTTTCGCGCGTTGCCGAGCGCACCGCGTTCTTCACGGGTGAATTCGGAGTTCAGAGCGCGCTCAAACCCTATGGTGATTTTGGCCGAATATTTTCGAATCGAACGTCGAATAATTTCCCCGATCCTTTCACTGCTGCGCCGTGCTTAAACGAAACGCCAGCTGAACTCGTGGAAGCTGCTCCCAAGCTTGCACTTGTCTATTTCTAAGCTAAATTAATTTTAATATAACACTATTTATGAACTGCTGATTCAGAAGGTCTGATGCCTCAAAATATTGAATAGCATATTATTCGAAACTAATATTAGAAAATTAGAATACTCGCCCGATCCTACTAATAATGCTCGCTAACTGCAAATACTCTCTTTTCAATTGAAAATTCGCCAAAAAAATACAAACAAATAGGAATGATGTCAAGACATGGCAGTCTAAGGCCCTAGTTACACGGGCGCTTTGAACTGTCGTTGAGTTCAATCACAGTTATCGGACCCAACTGTGATTGAACTGAACTGAGATGGTGCTACACGGCTCTCTAGAACCCAGATGAAGCTAAAACGAAACTAGTTCTTGTGCCACGTGATCAGTCTAATTGTTGAAGTAATTTACTCGGAGAAACATATTTTATTTATTATAAGTATATCATACATTATGTTCATTACCTTGTTGCTTTTTAGCGGCGTTTACACCAGTACCAAAGCAGATTCAGGGCTAAGTTGCGCATATTTTATGCTAGGTGGAGCAAGCTACCGCCCGCTACGATGGGTGCACTCATTACTATTTGTCCATTCACACAGCTGGTCCCGCCGCCATCTTCGCTCGTTTGGTGGCTTCCCGGCTAGCCAGGATCGTTTTAGTGGCAACTCGAACGCCTAAATCTATTCCTTACCGGATATTTTGCTGCTACGATTCTTTTTAGACGCCTCCCCCTGCATTCCGAAACAGTAAGTGCCTCGGAAACGATGGTCGGTGGCAGCAGTCCCACGGACAGGCGCCATTTTACCTTTGTTGGGGAAGTCCATTCAGTTGAACTGAGGTAAGAGAGCTCAGTTGAACTCAACTGTGATTAGCGGCTCATTGACAGTTGGCACCGCCGTGTAACTTCGGCCGACCGCGATTGAGTCATCTGTCATTGACTCGATGGCAGTTGAAAGCGCCCGTGTAACTAGGGTATAACATGTACTTGTACAATCGCGGCGGGTTAGCCCTTTTGAGTGCGCTTCTCATCGAGCACTTGTGCACTGCAAAGAAGCAATATCCGTGCATCCCGCCACGGGTAGAAATTTAGAAAAGTGCGCTCATCAAAACACCAAACTCTGGTTAGAATGATACATGGCCAGGCGCAAAGCTAGCTGCTTTTCTCTCTAGTCGCTCTTCGAACATCGACCTCTGGCATTTGGCGCTGGCATTCTAACGCATTTGAACGGCGAGCAGAGACAAGGGAAGCTAGCTTCGCGTATACCCTCTAATAATTTCAGTCAGAGGTCGACGCGTTTTTGTACGCACTTATCTCCTCCATCTATTTCTACCCGTGTGCAGGTGCTTGGTGAGAAGTGCACTCAAAAGGGCTAACCCTTCAAAAAGGGTCAACACTTCGAAAAGTATGAATATTGAAGTTGGTCTCGGAGCAAATAATAAATAGCGTATAATACTATACTACTATATTCAATGATATGAATTTTTGCGCAACCGTAGATCTTTCATAACCGGTTAACACACTGACCCGCTAGTGCCACCATAGGGCAGCCCCAGAACGCTTTCGACCCGCGTATGTCTTTTTGTATTTTTTTTAAGCGTCATGCTCTTGCTGTGGACTAGAAACAAGTCTGCCAACGTTATAAGCTACTATTTTCCATAGACAGTGCAAAGATTTCATCCCTTGAATACCGCAAAAACCTTCGGTTTAGAAGAACTTGTAGTTCGGCTAGTTAGTGAACGTTGGAAATCATGATATACGGCGCAAAAAAACAAAGGACACAAAGACACCTGTATGTCTGATTTCTCTCTTGTGTCCATTGTTTTTTGTGCCTTACATCATGATTTCCTTCGGTTTAGTCGCAGACAAGTCGGAAATGTTACGGAACATCCTCACAAAGAACGCCAGTGGGGAGGCGTGCGAAGCGTAACTCCACCCCGTAAAGAGACGCGTCTGCCAGACTCTCCAGCGGTTTCCCCGTGCCACCAACCTCCCTGCACGGCGGCGTCGTACACGGCCAGGGCCAGCACGGTGTCGGTGTTGTTGCGGAGCACGGCGCCCTGGGCGGGGGCGTCCCTGTCGGCCGCGTGGATGGCGTAGTCTGTCGAGAGCAGCAGCCGGGCCCCGTACACGGCCAGGGCGTGGGGCTGCTCGCCCCCCAGGCCCACGTCCAGGGTCTCCACCTCGACTGCCTCCCCCACCAGTGAGCAGCGCTGCACCGTCAGCGAGCCCCGGTTCACCCAGTACAGCTCCGCCCGCTCAAAGTCCACGCTCAGACCTGGGGGGACAGACGGCACACACCCCTCGCTATACTCCGTTTCGCGATAACTTGGCGAGCTGTGGAGGCCACGACCGCTGCGACCCAATAAGACGTTCGGAGCGAGGCACGTGACACCACGTCACAAAAGCGTTTATGTTGACAATGGTGTTGTCATGTGCCTCGCTTCAATGCTCTCATTAGGTCTGGGGGCCACAGCATCCACGATTCACCAAGTTACCGTGAAACGGAGTATGGAATACGCGGCCGACGGCGGAGTTGCGGCTGGAAGATCAATTCACTTAGAGGTGGGGAGGGTCAAGGAAAATTGGAAGCATGGGGGAACCCTCCTCGAAACCCAGTTTGAGAGTACATCCTAAGGCAATGAAGATAACTACCCTATTTCTCGTATTTTGTTTTACTTTCACATTCCACGTTCAAACACGTGACATTCTTTGTGACGTCAATAGAGCACGTCATATAGTTAAGGAAAGAAAGTTCAATCCGAGGTGACGTCAAAATAGCACCAATAGCAGAGAAACTCGCATGTATCCCTCGGGCGTTCGGTCTTCCGCGGCGGTTCACGGCATTGCTCACGTCTTTGTATTTGATCTTTTGTCGCTTCGCCAGTCTCCACCTTCTTTCATTTCTTGTTGCCACCATTTGGCAACGGTGTCAGCGAGGTATTGTAGCGAGTTTGTGAAGATGTCGAGGAAGCTGACAAAGCTTCCGACGACGACGACATGTCCGCAAGTTCCGACGACGATCAAGTTTTTGCCATCGCGCTGCAATTAAGCTGACAGCGCCATAAATAAAGATTGGTTTGTTTCTTTTGTTCAAACTTTCCTCCATTCTTTAAAAAAAAGAAAAGGTTGACCTATATTTAAATTTTTCTTTTTTTATTCTCGACGAGTTTAACATAAAAGCATCGACCTATATTAGAGTAAATACGGTAAATTTGTGCGGCTTTGGTTCACGTGCATTTGAGTTTGCACACCTTCTGTCGAGCAAACAACTCGCAAACTAGGCCAGCACATTCTATGGTAGGTTTCGCCATCGTCGTTCGACTTCGCGTTTACCAATCCTTGTTTTTGCATCAAGATAAAAAAAGAAACCCAAAGCACGTTGAATTATGCGACGAAACATCCCCGGGCCAAGAGGGCTTTGTAGACCGCGGTCCTTCCTGACGAGCTACGAATAAACCTCCTGAAGGTCGGAGTGCTTCCAGGTCAATGTAAAACGCCAACAAGCTCGGCAAGCGCCAGCGCAATGCATAACGCGACACGCGTCACAAACGGATTTGAGACAGTAAAGTGGACAAGCGGTCGATTGGGGCTTTAGGTCTGCAGAGGGCGTGTGGGTTTCACCCACTTGTGGAGCCGTCCAGCTTGGGATTGGTGAGCCGCGACGTCAGCTCCCGCCGCCCCGAACCGTCCATCCTCGACACCTGGATGGTGTCCTGGCCGCCCCGGTTGTCGTTCCAGACGAGCAGCCTGCGGGTCAGACAGCCGTGGGTCAGACTTCACCCGAGTGCGCAACCGGTTTCAGGACACCCAAACAGTCGCTCACACTCCTTCCCTGGCAAAGTTTGAGCGGAAAAATTCCATAGCCGCATTCGTTATTAAATTTCAGTGAGGAAAAGTGAAAAACGAGCCTTCCCTGTATTGCCATTATCAAACGATAGATTGACTAAAATAGAATTTATACCGAAAAGTGGAACGGAGAAAAATATGTTCAAAGTGCTTCAAAGCTTACCTTTTCTTTAGCTTTGGTGGACAGAAAATAATTTATAAAAAATTAACTATGCAGTGTAAACTAGTGAAAATTTCTGGGACTACTCTCTAGATGATGATGGATGTCAATATGTAATTTTTCTAAATCAATGTTTTTTGCAGAATTTTGTTTCTTCTGGGTTGTGTCCCCCCTTAAACATCAAGAAACAAGGAATGGAAATATGCTCAAAAATCAAAGATTAAACTGTCTGCTACTCAAAATTAAATGATTACTTAATTACACTGAACGCTAATAATTTTCCTAAATGGGTTCTTTGGCACAGATCACTATGGCATCATCTTTTTTCTGTGCAATGCATAGTTTCCGCAGGAGCGATTTTGCTCACGTTTCGAAAAGCACCCTATATATAACCTTATTTTATGTAACACTCTCGGTGTGTCACTCACTTCTGACGATCCTCGATAAAACACATTACACATTAACAAGTCAGGTTTTATCTTCTGCCCAAACGCAAGCGAATCCGACGATACGCGATACCCCCGACGTCACGCGACGTGGTCAAGCCGACTCGACATCACATCACACCACGACTCGTCACCCAATGTTACTAGATTCAAAACAATGCCGTCGACGCAGCGAGATCGCACGACGTCGCAACTTTGCGCCGCGAATTACTCGACCAGACGTCGCGCGACCCAACTCGAAGCAAGCCCGTAGAGCTGACGACGTCACTCGCGCGCCATTTTCATTGCGACTGACGAAAGTTGAGCTGTACCGGCGGAAGAGTGCGAAGGGAAGAGGTGCGTAGAGAAGATCGGGAGGCACTCACCCCAGGGCCGGGTGGAGGGCGAGGGAGGCCGGGGACTCGAGGTCCCGGTCCACGACCGAGGCCACAAACTCTCCGTCCAGGCTGCAGGCGAAGATGTGCTTGCCCCCCTCCCCGTATGATGAGAAGAACATGTTCCGGGAGATCCAGTCCACCGCAAAGCCGTACGGGTTCTCTATCACTGCAAGGGAGGGAAGGCCCCCTGGAGACTCTCCCGCTTGCCCGGTCGAGATACTCCCGTCTTTCTCAGACGGGCGGACCCTTCACCCTTCACCTTCTTAGGGCACAACAATCAAACCCGACGATAAAATATTTTTAAAAATTTAGCCTGGCCGTTTTATTGAGCTAAATACCATATTTACACGACTGCAGGTCGATCCATTTTCCAATTTTTTAAAGTCTCAGCTGAGGGGTCAACTTATAATCGGGACGAAAGTGATATCAAGAACACCTCGACTCTTCACAATTCAACCGGCTGTACTGGCAGTGGTGCACCCATTCTGAGTGCTCGCTTTATGAGCTCTATTTTTTCTTTTTATCTGTGCAAACGAGTACCACTATCACGATGATCGCGATTTGCAATATCAATCCAAATGTATTACGGTCAGTGGGGTGCCCGAACCTCAGGAGTGGCGAGACTCGATGTAAGAGCCATGCCGGAACGACTGCTGGAACAGCCTCTCTTGCCGCTGCTTGTTTTCGCTATGCACGGTTGCACAATGTTTGATCGAGTGTCGAGGTCGTGCCACCGTACTGGAGTGCCAACTGTGTTTGTCTGTATTAACACACATGGTTCGGGTAGTTTAGGCTTTTCAATACTCGCTTATGGGGCCATCCTTCGTCCGAAAGCAACCGACAACTGCACTGCTGGACGCAAGTTCGACAGGCCGCAGAAGTTCAACAGGCCGCCGCCGCCGCCCCCCCCCCCCCCCCCCCCCGAGGTCACATGACCCCCCCTCCCCCAAGATCACGTGACTACCCGCAGGTGACGTGACTTCCCTCAGTGCCCTTCCCTCCTCCTCCTCAAGAGCTGCGCTCCAATTCGGCGTTACAGGGATTTGTAAACGGCTTTCACTTTTTTTTTCTTTCTATTTCGCTGACACACGACGTGGGGGGGTCGACTTATAGTCGTGTAAATATGGTAGGTCGAACCACAAGCACCGAATGAGTGGGGTCGGCCATTTCGTTTCAGAGCTGCAAAGTTAGTTTGCACTCATTTAGTTTTCTTCATTTCCCCTTTTGTCGTGGTGATGGTCGAATATCCCCTTCCCCCTCGGTGGACGAGGCTCCCCATCACGAGGGGTCCCGACACGTCATATGTTTGAGAACTGCTGCTCCGGAGTTTTGAGAGGCTTCCTCCTCCAACGAATCTTTACCAACTCCGCAACTGTCTGGCCAATAAAGTGACAGTGATGTAAAAGAACACATAGACGGGGGGGCCAGTTGGATTGCGTCGATGCGTAGAAAAGGTGCCGAAGAAGACGAGGACGGGAAGAGTTGAACGGAAAGAGGCACTATACGACTCGAGTTTGTCGAAGAAAAAATTGTGTATAAAAAGTCGCCTAGAATTTCCTGCCATAATATTCCGAGAGATGTCACATCCCTGAAAGATAACCCGCCCCCCATTTTTGGCACGATTTAAAATTTTTTTTCAGAAGCACCGAAAGACAGCTCACTTCTAGCGATTTCAGGGCCCTGGTCAATGGTGACCTCGGCAGCAATGATGTCACTTAGCCACGACTGGAGATATGCGAACGTTGCTGACAAGGAAGGACAGTTGTCTTTGATTCATTGCCCCTCCCTGCAATTGCAAGTTTCGTAAGCCACGAAATCTAAAACTAGCATTTTTTTACATTTTTTTTGGTATCGCAGATCAAAAGTAAGCCCACTTCTTATTTCCACCCAATGTGCTTTTGATTTTAGGTGGGCTATCTGTCGGAAAATTACAGTAGTCATATATGCATTAGCTCTGTTCTAAATTTCATTTCATTTCATTTATTTCTCCTTAAGGGCCCTGTGGGGCATTACATAAGGGGGGGAAGCTTGTGGGGTAATACAAAACATATAAACACAAAAATAAAACAAACAAAAAATTGATGTAAAATCAATAGTCACAGTAATACAGGTTAAAATGGTTAAAATTTATTGGATATGTGCAGTCACTGATTGGCGAAAAGCGGATTGGTCAGTAATAAGGATGATTTTTTCAGGAAGAGAGTTCCAGATAGTTATGGCATGAGGAAAGAATGACGTATTAAACGCTAACGTTTTGCCTGTTATGCGTTTGATGCAACGGCTGTGATTGAGGCGTGACGAAATTCTGTCAGGAGGTGATATCAGGGAGTCCGATAAGTTAATGCTAGTGTGGTAAAATTTATGTAAGAGACATAATCGCGAGATTATTCTGCGGTCAGAGAGCAGTGGAAGCTCGAGAGTAAGTTTAGGCTGTGTCACGCTGGTGTCGCGGGAGTATGCTGATGAAATGAATCGGGCTGCACGATTTTGAATTCCTTCCAGACTGTCGCTGAGGTAAGCTTGTGATGGATGCCAGATAGACGAGGCATACTCGAGTTTGGGGCGGACGAATGTAGTGTACGCTAGTTGCTTTAGGTGAGAAGGTGCTGATTTTAGATTCCGCTTTAAGTAGCCGAGAGTCTGCGAAGCATCAGCAGTGATGACGTCGATATGATGAATCCAAGAAAGTGTGGAAGACAGATGGATACCGAGGTACTTGTATGAGGGAGTAGAGCCAATTGAAACGCCATCAAGTGAGTATGAGTAAGAAAGAGTAGATTTTTTCCGCGTGAATGATACAAGTTTGCACTTCTCGTAGTTAAGAGGCATAAGCCAACGATCGCACCAAGTGTTAATTTTTGTTAGATCCCTCTGCAGGATGATATGATCAGAGCAGTTTGCGACTGGTCGGTAAACAACGCAATCGTCTGCGAACAGCCTAATTTTTGAGTCGATGTCATGCGGAAGATAATTTATATATATGAGAAATAGGAGTGGGGAGAGCCCTGCTCCCTGGGGAACGCCTGATGTTACGTTAGCAAGGGGTGATTGATGATGGTTAGCAATGGTAAACTGAACTCGCGACGTAAGAAAATCCCGAATCCAAGAAATTATAGTTTTGTCAATACCAATATTGAAAGTTTAGAGAAGAGGCGATTATGCGGAACTCGGTCGAAAGCCTTGGAGAAGTCTAGGAATATGGCGTCTGTTTGATAATTGTTATTCATATTAATGTGTAGGTCGTGAGTGAATTCGGCAAGCTGGGTTTCGCAAGAGCGATTTTTTAGGAAACCGTGTTGGTGAGAGTAAAAATCATACTATTTCCCAGATGACGCTTTGGACGCTTCGCCGACACAATCTGTGCCTCTACTCCTAGTCTCTTTCGGCGCTTTTTCTTTGCGTAGAATATCTGCCACACTTTGTATAATCAGGATCTACAAAAAAGAGGTGTGTCGTGCCCGTTTTAAACGGTCCACTCACGTGGCTCTAGGAAGTGTGCTCCATACACGAGTGCCCATACAAAAAAAGGAATTTCAAAGAGCCGCGTTGCGCGTCAGAGCTCTTGATAGCACCGTGCGTAGTAACACGGCTGTTTTTGCCCGTATTTAGTTAAAAGCTTCAGACGCACCATGCTCAGGGCACCATAAAGCGTAAATAAACCAAAACCCTCCCCCCAAAAAGTAAGTCGGGTAAGAAGCTGCGGCCATGTGGCAGACGCTCACCGGTGTCGATGATGGTCTCGACGGTGGATCCCAGGAGCGAAGCTCGCTTGATCTCGTTCAGATGCGTGTCTGCCCAGTAGATCATGCGACGGCGCGCGTCAAAGTCCAGCTTCACCGCGTGAATCACCTGCAGACGAGACGAGACTTAGTCGTTGGCTCACCAGTACGAAAAGCGCACGCACTTTCAGTTTCTTTCTTAGAAGTAGATGCTCTGGACCAGCCTGGCAGTATGAAATCACATTTGGAACCGCCCCGACTTGCCGACTACTTCCTCGGAAGCCACGCTGCTGCCCAAGATACGTACGCAATAGCAACGAGCACCCCTCTTCGCCCACAAGGTTCCCGGTTTGACCACAATCGAGGCCCGCTTCGTGCCATCGCATCGCCTTGGGAGGAAAACGTACTTGCTCACATTTTGGCCGTTTTCTTTTAACGCCGAACGTTCTTTACGAGCCACCTTCTGGGATATTCGTCACAAACGAGCATCATGGTCAGCGCCATGAATGAGTGACGACACGCTTGGAACGTCATTTTTATATATGAAGTTTATATATGAAGTTCAAGCCGTGACTGGGCTCGAATCTGGGTTGGTAGTGTGGCAGTAGGATATTATGGCTACTGAGCTACTAGCACAGCTGGTCTGACAAGGTGAAAGGTTTCATTTGAATGCAAACGTGCTGCTGCGAGTGGCAGGATCTGGATGAAAATAATAAAAAATAATAAATAATATAAAGACGAAATAAACAAAGAATAAAAAAACAATATTAAAATAAAAATAGATGAAAAGGAAAAAAAAGCCAAGCTTGATCATGTTGGCAAAAACTGGTAAGCACAGAATGTGCGATAGGCTTTCCAGGGAAGAAGAAAAGGGTGTCTCAACGGCACAGCCTACCCAAGATTCACTTTAATTTCTGACACGTTGAGAGATGGCGCTACATGACTAAAAAAGCCGCAAAGCGAGCGAGATCGTTTACGCGCCGTACGAATGATCTTGTTCTTACGCAATACGTACCATAGACCCTGGGTGGCTCAGTCGGCAAAGCACTTGGCCCGCAATCTCAAGATGGCGAGTTCAAATTCAGCCGGGGAAGTCTTTTTATGCCGTTCCCTATGGGTGTAACTCTTTTCGGTGTCGGTTTTTCGTTACAGCCAGCCGCTGCAGCTGAACGCTAAAGAACTCCTTGGAAATCGGCTGATAAAACACATTCTGCATTAAGATAGATGATAAAAAAAAAAAAAAAAGCCAAAACAACGCACGGAGTGTGGTTTGTGCGGGACACATTCCGTGCTCCCTAATCTTTGCCAGCGTGATGAAGCCTGTATAATTTTTTTGTCCATTTATAGGAAGTGGAAAATGAGCAGCTTAACAAGTATGCCGATCCGTATTTCCCCGCATACGCAGTGCCGCCAACCGAAAGCCCCCAGGTGAGCGGCCCCGTCCAAAGACGCCCCCTCACCTTGGGTGAGCTGAAGGGCGGGATGACGTGGTAGTAGGGCATGTCCAGGTCCACACCCCGGATCTCGTTGGGGCGGGAGAAGAGCAGCACCCGCTCCTTGCCTGCGACACGCATCCGGCTCACACTTACACTCCCTCATGGACACCCAGCAAAATTAAATATGAATGGAATAAGTAGTTATCCGACCGGATACAATTTGGACGGCAATTCCGTTCGTATCAAATATAATAATTTGTAAACCGAATTGGAACGACTAATGATCTCTATGACAGTTGCTGGATTGCGCTTCCCAGCTCCTCGAATGCGGCCACCGGGCGGCCATCTTGGGACATGAAAAATAGACCTTTTGGAGCGTTGCGGAGGCTTGGTGGCAGTGTGCTGAAGACACGTTTTCTGCTCGTTCGACGTCATTTGCCGGAGACGTTTTTTAAAACCTTGTGCAAACGGTGAGAATTGCCTTCGAGAACACATGAAAATTTTTACGAAAGTGCAGCACCGCGGGAAAACGGCACAACTCGTCGAACGCAAGTCTCGCTGGTCTCGCGACGTAATCAAAACTTCCTTGGCATGCAAAGTGCTGCGTCTCTGCGCCTTCGCGTGCTTGTACACTTATCAAGAATCGATGCCGTGGCAAAGGTTTCAAGGTGCGTCGCATGTAGATGTCTACTAGATCGTCCAGCTGTTTCAGCGAGCTGCTATTAATGAGGGAAAAAAAAATCGGCGGTTGCTATTTTGCACGATTAACCATGGCTATGTTCCAAATCTACTCGAATAGATCACATGACAGCACAAACAGAGCAGTGCTGTGGAGGAAGGTAGGTTTTCGAATGCAAAAGTGTGAAATAAGATTGAAATATTTTTAGACGTGGCCCGTATGGTCGTGTGCAATCTGCCGCCGTCGCTGTACCCCCCTACTCCTCTTCCGTTGCCACTGGATCAAGCTCGTTTCTGGACTGCGAGTGCTGCAAGTTACAAATACAGTCGTCAGAGTAAAGTAACAAGCTGCTCCAGAGGCACATACGTCTTCAGGCACGTTGCACTCCTAAAAGAAATCCACACGGCGTTGATTCTTGATCGGCATCCAAGTGCACAAAGGCAGAGACGAGGCACTTCAGCATGAGAAGGAAGCTTTGATCACGCTTCGAGACCGGCGAGACTTGCATTTGATGAGTTGTAATATTTTCCTGTGCTGCTGCACTTTTGTACAAATTTCCATGTATTCTCAAAGGCAATCCACACTGCTTACACGGGTTTTAACAAACTTCTTCGGCGAATGATGATGAATGAGCAGAAAATGTGTCTTGAGCACGCTGCCGCCCAGCCAAAATCCACCAAAAAGGTTGATTTTCCATGTCCCATGATGGCCAACCAATGGCCGCACTTGTGCTGCAGCCCAGCAACCCAGCAAATTGTCATAGAGATAAATGAAAACGACTAATTTCGGACATTCTTTAATTTCTACAAAATGTAAAACCCGTATATTATAAAACTGTGCCATTTTGAGCTACTCGCAAAATAAAAGTTTCATACTACAAGATGGCGAGATTCCCAATGCGGCTGCCACGGCGCATGCCGGAAAAGGTGCATTTGAGGGTCGCAAAAATCCCGTTAACTTTTTTTTTTTTTAATTGGCAATTATTTTAATGTGTTTTAAAAGTTTAAAAATGGCAGCTGAAAGTGACCCCCCATTGGTTGCCGCCATGTTGCACATTTTTTACCACAAGACACATGACCTTATAGTTTTACGTCTAGATTTTAACGAAGTACCGCACACAAATAGTTGCTTCTTGATCTTTAATAACAGTACCGACCAAATAAGTTATGTTTCGTTTGCTACAAAATGTGCTTTTACGACAAAAATTCGGGCAGCTTCGCAATGCCTCCGTTAGATGCCATCAGCCGCGGTGCTGTATTCTGGGTTTTTATCGGAACTAGACACTGATCTCTGGAGCTGACAGTATTGAAAACATAGTTTATCATGTTTTTTTCAGCAATGAAAATACAAATCTCGGCTCAGTTTTGCATAAAAAACCTCAGTATTTGGTACGGTCACGTGCCTAGTGGTCAAAATTGCACAACATAGCGGCAGCCAAATTGGGGTCACTTTTGCCTGAACCAGTTTATCGCTCTAAGCCCCTCTACCTCGTTGAAAAGTTTCAAAATTGAATTTCGTCGCAAATGAACTATCAAACAACGCCTCCGTTTCAATTGACGAGACTGAAAGCCTACGAAGATCGAACGCCACCCACTGAAGCAGGTCTTGCCGTCGTCGCCGAGCCTCATCAGATGGGGACAGTTGCACTTGAAGGTGTTGTTGAAGCTCAGCAGGCAGAGGTGGGAGCACCCACCGTTGTTGGCGGCGCAGCCGTTCTTTCCATTTCCTGCCAGAGAGACACAAAGTCCCCAAGCACTTACACTCGCGCGTGTGGGATGATGTCAAAATATGCTGGCTCGACCTTACGGAAATTCCTAAGCAATTTAAAGGAGCTGTGCAACAATTTCAGTGCTTTGCTTAAAAAATTTGGAAGTTGGTGTCTCGAACTTTCTGAAGTGAAGAACAAAAAACCGCTTTTGCCTGCATGTCCTAGTTTTTATTTTTAAAATTCACAAAGATTGAGGTTTTCGGCACTTCTCAACTCCTTCACCATCTTCCGAGTCACCAGCGCTGTGACGCAAAAGGGGGACGCACGAAGTTCTGGTGAAGCTCTCTCTCTAGAGCCATCAGTGGGCAGCAAGAACTCACCTGCTCGTCACCACGTGCTTGCGCAGCACGATCAACATGGCGGAAGGAAGAAAGCCTTGTCTGGGTCCGGCCATTCGTCCCCGTTTTCTGGCGGCTGTTCGCGGTAGCAGATAGAGCTGACCGTCCTGTTGACCTCGGATAGATGGCGCCGCTAAAACTCCGTATAATCAAAGTTTTGTCGATGATACCAGGTTTTTGATGCATTTATATTTATGTTGAAATGAAAAGATTTGTAAAAAAATTACCTTTTATCGGGCAGCTATTTTCACAACTTACTATATTTTTACAAGTCCCCCATTGATGTCACACCGCATCGTTCTCATCGCGGCTAGAGGTCGGGAAATATTCTAATTCCGCCATTAGAATTAAAATTCTAATGGCGGAATCGCAACATTTTGAAGGAAGATGTGTTTTCTGTCCTTTGTGACAAGATAAGCAATATAAAAAGTAGGAGATGCAAATTCTTTCAACGTTGAAATCGTTGCACAGCTCCTTTAACCAATGAGGAAAGCGAGCTATGCGCAAAAAGTCCTAATGCCATCTAATTACCCAAATTTGAGATATGGACGGTTACAATCCCAATTCATAATGAGTGGCTCATCACTCCTTGCGTCTTCGCTAGAGAACAGAAAGCAAGCTTTTCACCGCGCTCGAGCACGGCGAAAATTGGGAGCGCCGAAGTAGACTGCCGGTGCCAGAATGTTACCCATTCTCGTCGTCTTCGGTCGCCACGGTAGTGGCTACCGCTTCGAATGCCTTGTCGATTTCTACCTCTTTGGTCACCACCCGATTCGGGGCAGCCGGTCCGGCAAATGGCGGACTGCCAGCCCGTCGGCAATCGCTCGGTACTCCCGTAGTCTCGAGGCGGCTTTAGTTTTGGGGGGGCACCACACGTAATCGGCAAGGCAAGCACGCTGCGGGCATTGATCTGAAGATAACTTTCGAAATGGTCATTTAGGGCTTAGTCGCAGCGGTGCCGCTGCCCGGAGGCGAGCCAGATTTGGGGCACCCTCGGAACATCCCGGCTGACCCCGACTGCACCCACCTTTGGGCTGTCTGGAAGGGTGGAACACCTGGATGTCGAAGGGTTGGGTGGGGGCCTTCTGCACGACCTGGACGTCTGACCCGTTCCACTTGTTGCACTGAAATGGGGACCAGACACATTCTTAGCCTCGGTCGAACCGGCCACGACGGAGACGCCGCGGAAACCGCTCTAAACCGCTCGATCCGCTAAGAGATCGAGACGACGTACGCGCTTGTGGACTGGTCGTACGTCGTCTTTTGACACTTGACCCCGTCCATACCCGCGTGCAGAGGGTGGGGTCGGGTGATGACTGCCTTCCTTTATCGTTGGCAAACGAAAAAAAATGCAGACACGTAAAAACATCTTATCTTTACGGACAAAGTTTGAAGTAAGGAACGTGACATGCATTTCGGATCGCGCCGGGTCGGTCGTCGCCACCGTCGCACGCTACCTTACGCCGGTCGACAGGAGCGGGGCGCCACCCACGAGCGCGCTACCTCGCTCCGGTCGGTTGACGGCACCGCCGCCGTCGTCCCGTCGGACGACAATGTGCAATCGCCGTCGCTCCGATGACCTCGCAAGAGAACCGCCCGCCGAATTCGCGCCTCCCCCCCAGACTAGCGGATCGGGGTTCGAGTTCTCCCGCGGCGCTGCGCGATGTGAGCGAGAGTTGCTTCGAGAGAGCGGAGCCCCACCCGGATGACGGAGTTTGTGCGCCAGTCGGTCCAGTACACGTGGCTGCCGAAGAGGGTGATGGCGAAGGGGTGAGAGAGCGTCTCGTGGCCCCGGAGCACCTCCCGGTGGTCCGACCCATCGTAGCGGGACGTGTGGACCGAGTCCGACCGTGCGTCGATCCAGTAGATGCGCAGGGCCACGAAGTCCAGGGTCAAGCCGTTGGGCCAGGCCCCGCCCTCGGACACCTCGTCGATCCGCAGCACCACCCGGCGCCCGTCCCCGCTCATGGACGCCTGCTCGATGCGCGGTGCCTCCTTGTCCCAGTCCGTCCAGAACATCAGCCTGGAACGCCGGCGTCACTCCCGTTAGGGGGACCTCCATCGCGTTGGCCCCGGGGCGTCCGCCCAGGAGTGCCAACGACGAGGGGGCAAACGTGCACCATACCGCGCCAAAGAAACACCCAATGTGAAGTCGGCCCGAACAAGGACCTGAGACGGCGCCATTTTTCGCGTTACGGGACTTTGGTGCAGACTCACAATAGTACAGTGGAATCTCATTAATTCAAACTCTCTTAATTCAAGCTCGCGGATAATTCAAACTAACATGCAGGTCCTGCCCTAAGTGTTTCCAGGAAGAAAACTCCCGGTAATTCAAATTTTGTATTTTTCAAACAATGTTCTGGCCCCCCTCGGGTTGAAATTAAAAAGATTTCACTGTATTGAAACTGCTCCAAAGGGCAGTTCCAATATTGCTCCCTTGCCCAAAAAAATATTTAAATAACCTGTAAACCAACAATGTAAACTGTCTATAAATCCATGGAAAACTTACGACGCTCAAATACCGACACGTCAGGCCTATCAAAGCTTTCATAGGTCCGCTCCTCGTCTGACGTATATTTGACCAAGTATGAAATAAAACAATTGTTATGCATATCAAATTATCTACATTTCAGGCTCTTTGAGCCAAGATGCCGACATGTATACTTGCCTCAGGAAAAAAAAACAAGTTTGGCACACTGTTCATACGCCGCGCAAAGTACATATTTACACGACTCAGTCGACACAATTGTAAATGCATGCGAGAAAAAAAAAAAGTTGGGGCTCCAATTTACGTTGTAAAGGTGGTTGGACAGGGAAGCTGTGGTGTCATTTACAACGACTACCCACTGCACTATAGACCCTTTTTATGCCAAACGCCACCATTTGGTGCTCCAGCCTTTGACGTCCCAGAGAACTTCCGGTTTATAAAAAGAATGAACAAAGGCAACCTTAACACCGCCGCTTGAAATAAAGATGAAACGTTTAACCACCAACTCTCAAGGTGAACGCCAAAAGAGTGAAGGAATGTGAGATCCGTTAAAATGTTTCGAGTATTCTTGTAAACCAACTTGCCTCCTCCAAGATGTATTATTGTACAGCCGAAGGCCCTCGTTAAATCTCCAACTTCGCTGTCCGTGTAGCATTTATGCGTTCTAGCACTGGTGATATAAGCAAGCTCAACAGGCTTGCAAAGATGGTGCGACCGGAAGTCGTTTGGGACGCAAGCGGCAGTTCCTTTTTGTAAACAGTAAAAGGGTCTATACCAAATGATTGACGAAAGAAAAGTAAATGCACTGTACCAAAACTTTTTTATATATGGAAAACTTTGTATGCTGCCGTTGCCACGCCAGCTTATGCAACTGCAATCTTACCCGAGAAAAGCATGCAGGGGGCGCCACATGCTTCACATTGTTTGCGCGTGCCTTATTATCTATCATGTGGTTTTGACGCTCGTTTTGTGGTTTTCTTATTAAAACAAGTGTCAAACCACGTGATAGGTGATAAGGTGGACACTATGGTTTTCTGTCGACTACTGCTCTGTTGACGAATACGGAAAAACCTGTTCAACGACTCATATGCGGCTTAGTCTTAAAAAGAAATGGTAATTTAGGGGCACATTCCACGTCGAACATGTGAGAACGGCAGTATGTCTCTTTGGAACGCCTGGCCTCCTGGCATGCTTTGGCTGCGTGTGCATGCAGGCACAAGATGCCCAAGTGCTACCCAAGCTAGGAAGCTCGCGCCGGGGGCGGGACGACTCGAGTTCCATTCTCGCTTTGTCTGCGACTAGAGACTACAATTCGTCTGCACGGGGCTGTCGTCGTCACTGCTACGTTTTCAAGATGTGTTCTCGTCGCCGACAAACCCTCACACGAAACGCGAAAAAATCTGGTGAAGAATGACGTGATGCTATGGGTACAGCCGGGGGAACTTGTAGCGAGCCAAGATGTTCTCGATATCACGACTGTTCCAACTTCGTCGGCGGTGGGACGCTTCGGTTCCAATTATAAATCGACCCCCCCCCCCCCCCCCCCCCAGTTCACACTTTCAAATATTGAAAAATGGGTGGACCTACCGTATTTGCACAAATATAACGCGAGTTTTTTTTCGAAATTACGTGCTCCAAAACGCACCTCGCGTTATGTTCGGAATTGAGTTCAGCCACGAGGCGCGCGAGTCTGGAGAAAGCCAGAGGAGAAAGTCATCCCTCCGGCTCAATGCAAAAGATCCAATGGAAAAAGAAGTGGGGGTGTGGAGGGGCATTTTGTAGCTATTGGGCCACGTGAAGGGGCAAATAGAAAACATAAAAAGCATTTTTATCGCTTTTGTGTTTTTATAACGCGGGCACGCCGCACGCGCGCGCGCCATGCGGGAATGCGGGCATTGGCCAATTCGAGCCAAGCCAAGCCAAGACCACCGACCGCGTTTATGCAATCGTGCAACACGAGGCATTTGTTTACGAAGAAGGACCAGAACAAGAAGTGTGATCGTGTATCGGGTTCAGCTGTCTTTTCTCTGCCTGCGCATTGTTTAGTTTCTGCTCCAGAGTGGTCTGGTGTTTGTGCTTCTGCTTCCGCGCCTTGTTTGGATTGTGGGCTGCCGAGGAGCTCGCAGGGAAGAAAAAACTACCAGACAAGCAGGTGCCGTGCCGCTGCATACCTGCGTAGTCGCCAAGTGGATTGTAAACGGAAGGACCCGAGTAGTGAGGATGAGTGCAGTCAAAACATAAACTGATATTTCTTCTATTTCCATTGACTTTTCACTTCTGCTATGCCCCCGAGTGCGAGAAATTGACGCGGCATCGGTTCGCGTTATAATAGTAATAATATTTTTTTTTCTTTTTGGGGGCATCAAAAACTGCCCTCGCGTTATAGCGTTATATTCGTGGTCGCGTTATATTCGTGCAAATACGGTACAGTTGTGTAAATACAACTCTTACAAGATTTGGTTAATACTCTTACAAGATTTGGTTAACGGAGCAAGAAGTGATGCGTCTGAAACGCGTATGTCTTAACAAGATATATCTAATCTAAAATGCACATACACATATCTCCACATAAAGCGGGAAATTAGTAATGCGAGGAGAGGGACTTCTTTGCTACGGTTCTTGAGGTGAAAACGAGTCCAGGCTCTAGAGCCGCTGTGGACGCATACAATTTCGCCGGCGACCGGAGGCTGCCCACCCGTATCTGGGGTCCAGCACGATGGCCCGGGGGCTCTCCATGTTCCCCGCCACCAGGGTTCTTCGGAAGCTGCCGTTCAGCTTGGCAACCTCGATCTGGTCCAGATTGCTTTCCACCCAGTACAGGTTCTCCCCGATCCAATCCACGGCCAGGCCTTCGGCCGTAGCCAATCCGGTCTGCACCACCACCTCGATGCTCGAGAGGCCTGCAAAAAAGAAGAGAGCAATCGCTCGTCATTGACGGGCCGGGCAACGAAAGGTTGCGCCTTTTTTTCGAAAAAATCTTCGATGCCTAGTTTCTCGCAAAACACGAGCTGGGTGCTAAGGTTTACAGAAAGTGACGTACCGTAATCCCTCGTTATAACGAAATCGCTTTTTCCGAAGTGTCTGCCTTTCAAGGTCCCGACCAAAATGCATGCATTTTAAATTTGATTTTTCAAAGTGTACCGGTGGCCAACCACGCTTATTACAAAAGCCGTGGTGCCAAAAGCACACAAGCCTACAACGAGGTGACGTAGTAGGCTTGTGCCCTTGCGTTGCCTCCCCCTTCTCCACCGAGGCAGATAGCAAACAAGAAAATGAAGCAAACAGGTGACGGAGGGCAGAGCACGGAGAGCACCGCTTCCGATGCCGCTGTGCCGACGTGGGCAGAGAGGAGCGTCCACGTTCCGACGCTACTCAATGCACCCGCAATCGACGCTGCCCGACTCCTGTTGGAACTGGGTCAGAGGAGCGATGTAGCCGGGAGTCCCCAGCCCCCAACTCGAGTGCGTGCGGCATACACGCACACATACATCGTTTAATGAGTCGGAGCGTTTACCGAGGTCGCTTAAAGGACCAATGCAACAATATTTGTACTTTGCGCAAATACCGCTTAAAACGGATCCCTAACGTTAATGACCTATGAAACACGCGTTCGTTTTTCACCCCACGCAATAGAAGTTCCAGAAAAAAATTAAAGAAAAACGAGCAGCGTTCACCCCCTCAACTCGCAGCCAGAACAAGCGGCCACGTGATCTGGAGCCGATTATATGCCGCCAGTGTTGATCATAGCCACGCGCTGGGGTTGGCAAAGCGCAGGACACGCGCTGAGTTCCAGGCATTGTTATGGCTCGGCTGTTGTCGTCGTTGCAGCGATTGGACACGGGTCAAAACCCGAATGCTTCTCGAGCTAGCAATTGTCACGAGCCCAAGTCGAGTGCCCACGCAATGCTCGGGTCCAATCTATGAACCGCATTCAAATATCGTCACTTGGGTGTACTGGGACCCCCGAGTTACGTCATCAAATTTTGCAAAGGAGAGATTGAATGAAAAGGATCGCTTTTGTCCTTGAAATTACACCGCAACAAAGGAGTTTCTTGGCCAATGGCGTTGCGTGTGAGTATCCTTGAGTCCCAGGTGTGCCAGTAAGCTCGTGTATAGAGAGATACATTCCAATTGAATATCGTTGCACAGCTCCTTTAAAGGACAACTCCGCTCAATTCCAGGAATTTCGGGGTTTTTGGTGATTATACATTAAGGTATACTAGTAAACGGCTGGACGTCGTTTGTTTCTCAAAAAAGGAAATATAATTCTCGTAATCCTTCTTTACTCCTAAACACGAACCGAAACGGAAACTGCGCCCGCGCCTGGCAACATTGGTCCGGCGTCGTCATAGTCTGGGACAAACCACGTGGTATGAACGTCACCGCACGACCTCGCCGACCGCGCGGACGGACGGATCGGCGGAGCAAGCGTCGTCGCGCCATGTCGTCTGCTCCACGGTCTCTGCTATCCAACGACGTGTTGCACTACCGCGGCCGCAGAGAGTTTTGACGCAGAAAAAGGCAAGTTGTTTTAAAGTTATGTTTTGGGACCATTAGTAGTTGAAGTTAAGTAAACCACTCGTAATATGCCAGGTATCGCAGCACAAAACGTTGCTCCGAGACGCAGCAGGTTCGGTCTTCCCGACGACGAGCGCGGAGCGCTCGCTCAGACGCTCATCAGCGCATGCGCGTTTTGGATCACGTGGACATCGGTATGCACGCTGCTGGCGCCGCCTGTAGGCTGCGCCTCAATAAAGTAACAAACAAGAAAAAAAGCGGTCCCAGACTATGACGTGCGGCGCAGTGTTGGCTGCGCTAACACACGGTATTGACTGCGCTGTTCTCTGCGCCGCACATCGGCCGCTAGAATTAGCAGATTTCGGAGACTTGAGGCATCTCAAACTTTGTTTACCAGTTTAACAAACTTTTAGGCTTAATAACATCGTAAAACTTGACGTGTAGTCTTTCTAGGTGATACTAAAGAGAACTGCGTTATTTTTTCAGCATCGAAAATGAAGCGGAGTTGCCCTTTAAATCCGTGAGGTTGAGAAAAGCGGCTGGTCCAAGTTCGAAATCACCGAAGAGTTCGACGTTCCAGCATCGGCTGTTCGACACTGTCCACCATTTTGCAGAACAAGCACAGAACGGCTAACTCGCACAAGTTCTAAAATGCGGCTGACTGGCCGTTTAAAACTGCGTCACTAGGCCCAAAAAATTGGGCACAAAATGAAACTAGTCTTCTCTAAGCTACGAGACGGCCAAAGTATTGAACCGATCGAGCCGCACTGGCAGCGCCGGGAGCGAACAACAGTCACCGAACGGCCGTTCCTCTCGTCCGACGGCCGAGGAACCCCTCCCAGGCGCCGACGCAATAAAGTAAGACTCAGAAGCCTACCGAACTCGCACAGTCATGCACACGCTAGTTCTGCGTAGACAAAAGGAATTTCTCAAGCAATGCTCGGGTGAGAATCGACTCGAGAAGCAGAGGAAATCTAAGAGGGAGCCCGGGAGGGTACTCCGAGAAGCCCCGTCGGAGAATCCGAGATTTAGATTGCTGCGCCGGCGCTGCCCCGCACGACAAAAACCGAGCAATCCCTCCGAATCTCGACCGACGGCGGTCCGCCCCACTTTCTTTCCATCGAAACCCGTGGACGACCTGCCCCGTGAGCAAAGGAAGGGACTCACTGCCCGAGCTGATAGAGCCCCGGTAGATCTTGTCGTCCACCACGTCCGTCCAGAAGAGCAGGTCCCCGGCGTCCGAGTGGAAGAAGTCCAGCGCGATGGTGTTCTTCAGCCCCGTGATCAGGGCACGCAGCGACATGCTGTTCAGGTCCACGCTGCGCAGCTCGTGCCGGTTCGAGAAGATCACGTACGGCACCGCCGCATCTGCCGTACGATTGGTACATTTGCAACCGGGCATCCGCCCAGTCAAACATCTCGGCGGCACCTTTGCCTATGCGGAACACAAGTTTGTATGCTTCTTGCACAGGGGTTGCGGTGACGTCAGAACGGCGAGCTCCGATTGGCTCGGATTGAAGGATAGTGGGTAGGCCTGACGACTGCTCCAAGGTCTACCCAGTATCCTTTAATCAGAGCCAATCAGAGCTTGGCAGTGTGACATCACCACTTTTATTTAATCAGAGCCCAATCAGAGCCAATCACAACTCGGTGCTCTGACATCACTACAATCCCTGCAAAAGAAGCAGGCAAACTTGAGCTCTGCATTGCATGGCGTGTTCCCGAAAACATTTCACCTCGTTTTTTTTTCTAGGGTTACCACCTCTCCTCGACGAAAAAACCGGTCAATCCCGGGTTGGGGGGGGGGTAATTATGTGAAATTGAACTGGAAAAAAGGAAGACGCAGTGTTGACAGTCTTAATTGAAATGCGGGTTCTTATTATTTTGACACGAGCTTGCCAAAGTGAAATCAATTAACGTAGATCTATTAATACATCGTAGCACATGTACAAGAATAAACAACACTGAACTCAATGACGTACATAAATGCATACCATTTAGATCAAAATAAAAGTGCCAAAAACAAATCACGCATCTCTACGCATCCTGTGCAGCAGGTGGAGAACCAATTATTACAGTTTAAATAATTAAAAGAGAGATGCAAATTAAATAACGCTTTACGTAAAGGTGGCTCTAAGGCACTCAGCATGAGCATGCAAATTTCGAGCGTAAATCTATTATTCTTAGAAATCGCTGGTTCTGGAACTTTTTAGCAGGAGTACAATAGACCGTGAGCCTCTGGCTTGAAAGCTCATGGTCACCCGTGAATTTGTGTAATGCCAGCATATTTTCATACCTCTCAAATCAGGAATTACAAAAGGTCCTCAGATTCAAAGAGATGTTTTTCTCGTCATTCTTCGATCTCCTTTGGCAAATCGCAAAGACTCTTCACGTGCTACACTTAGTACTAATTGCAGCAGCTTTTTTACAAAAATTATGTCTTCTCTGTGGCTAAATAAACAGTTGCAGGAAACAGGCCATTATATACAAAATTAGCTTAAAAACAGACAATGCATATGCCTATATACCCGATAACGATGGTTTAACACATATTCATGAATGCTTCCCCCCCTTTCCCCACCGAAAAAAAAAAATTGTGCTTGGATAGTTGAACAAAGAAAATCGAAAAATAACAGCCGGTTTTAAATATGGAAGAGTGACCAGCTTTTTATCAAAAGAAAATCGGCCCTGACGGTCAAAAACGGGGCGGGTGGCAACCCTATTTGTTTCCCTGCAGAAATAAGCATCGCCAAGCGCTCGGTTTTCGCCCAAATGTGGTGCTAGAAGTCTGGACTATAGATGCCCATGTTTCGGAACTAACCCTTATCTTATTCTAAGGTTACGAGCAGCTTTCTGAAACCTTGGACGAGAAAATGGGGGTAAGTTCCTGGTGGCCGACACCATACATCTCCACGCACATGCGGGCTTTATCGCTGGTCATTTTCCCATCCAAAGTTTCAGAAGGTTTGTCACTTTCGAGAGAGACAACGGTTGTTTCTGATACTTGGACATTTAGTTCAGACTGCTAGTGCTCTGTTTGGGCAGAGACACAGCAGTCAGTCAAGCGCAATCTAGTTTTGCGCCAAAAAAAAACCAAAAAAACAACACACTCCTTTTCTGAGACATTTTTTTTTTTTTTTTAGTTTTTTTTTTGGTTTTGGGTTACTTACAAACTGACAAATCTGCTTAAACAAATTTATCTCTCTCGCCAATATTAAAGACTGAAATGTTTTCATTAAGTTGCCTCGGTCTCGGGCACTAAAAGAAAATGTGAGAAAAAGCGTTTGGAAAATGGCAGCTGCTGCAGAGTTGTCCCCAGCTGCCAAGTTGGTTTCGCCTCTCGCTCCAGCTGTGCCCTGTGCAACGCCGGGAGTGCTTGTCGTTTAGCCTGGTGTGGCTGCGACGTCTCTAAGGAAAGCGCTTCATGCATTCCGTCTAGCTCGGTATCCGAGAAACGACCATCCCCCCAAGCAGTTCAGCGTTCGTTTGGCCGCAACATCAGTTCATCGAACTGGAAATTCTAGCCAAACCGAAAACCGAACCAAACCAAAACATTCGGACGTAATTACTTTTAGCCAAACCAAAAATTAAGCCAAACTGGAAAGTCCAGTCACGCGGTAACTTTTAGCCAAACCGAGGTTTCAACCCGACAAACCTTTCAGTTACGGGAACGCGTCTCTGACCGGTGCCTGGACTGCACCCCAGAAAGCGGTTTCTCGATTTTCACCCAACGAAGTCGTGGTGGCGTCCCGTCGTCACCGGCCACAATTACGGAGGTGCTACAATTTAGCGGACGCCCATCACGCTGTGGGTCGCACCCCCAGTTTGCCAATCCACGGAAGTGTCGGCAACCGAAAGTCGAGATGCCGCGACGACGGTTCTCGCAGCACAACCGCCGGTATCACGACGTCACTTGTTGTCGCTCGCGGATTCGACGGTCGGGTGGCAGGACAAACGCGCCGGTCCAAGATGCGATCTGTACCTCAGGTTGCACCAGCGTGACCCCCCCCACTTACCGGTGCTCTTGCAGGTGAACATGTCCGAGGCCAGCTCGTAGCCCTTCTCGCACGTGCACTTGTGCGAGTGCTTCAGCTGGAAGCACTTCTGGCTGCAGACGCCCCACTGCGAGCAGGGCTTCTTGTCTGCGGTGGAAAGGCACGGGTCAAGGACCGACCCGTCTACGACGCGATGCGTCTGCAGCGGCGCCGCAGATGCGCAACGAGTCTGCATGGTATGATTCGGGTGCACGAAGCAGACGCCCGATCGGAAATGAATCTGGAGATGCACGTCGCCAGTGAGATGAATGTATCCGACCGACGCTTGAGAAAGCACACTCTGTCCAAATGGGAAAGGCAGACTCGCACTACAATTAACTATTGTCTCAAGGCCACGCACTCGCGTCTGGTCGTGACTGAGTGCGTCGCGCAGCTCCACCATTTGCGTTAGTTTCCACATTTTCTTGCCCGTCCTTCCTTCGCCACAGGCTCGAAAAACTTTCGACGACGTTATAAATGCTTGTAGACACCGTAAAACCCCCAATGTTTGTGAGCCCCTAATTCTCGCGAATTTCACGACTGGGAGCGCCTGGTGTCTCATCTGTAGATCACAAACTTTGCCAGTGGCGGTACTGGTGGTACAACTGCTAGCCTGCTGTCTTTAAATTGCGTCACACAGTAGACATACCTAAAACAGCGCACAAGCATAGGAGGAAGAAAATAGAAGACAGGAAAGAGCACTGTTTTAGGTAAGCAGCACTTTCCTGTCTTCTATTTTCTTTTCCTCCTGTGCTTGTGCAATGTTTTAGGTATGTCTTCTAAGCACCAGCTAGCTCAACTTTTTATGTTACTGAGTCACACAGCGGTGGGTACGTGAACGCATGCCGATACAATTTTCATTTAGGGAAAAAAGAAAGTGGTAACAGAGCTTAAGATACTTGAATTCTGCAGCACGAGCTTTCGCCCCACGTGCTCAGAGCTGTGATGCGCAAGGAGACTCGGCCACCATTCTCTTTTTTAAGTTAATTGTCAACGTACCAAACCTCGTTTCTGATGTTACTCATACTATATTTGGCGCTATACTATCTCCTAATACAACTCAAATGTCGTGCAGATATGTCAATATGCGACAGCACAAATTTGGTTTTGTGTGAATGATTTTTTCGGGCTCAACTACTACAACAAAGTTACCTGTACCACAAAAGATTTTGCCGGTCCCACGGACTTCAGTATAAAGGTGTTTGGTCATAAATTAATTTTCCCGACTCATTTTTATGCGGTTCAAACCCTGTCGGAATCTTCAAAGAATTCTGCTGAGAATAGAAGACCAGGACCAAAACGATCTCGTATTGAGAATTGTCGAACCACGCTTAGTGGCCACACTCTAAAACGACACGTTCCAGATTTGTAGGTCGTCAGGCCGGGATAAAAATCGCCGGTTTCTCGGCCGGAATGCCGACGAGCGTGCAGATTCGCACGAGGAAGAAACGGCCCTCCTCCGGGCAGTACCTGTGCAGGAGCGGCCGTCGACGGCCAGCTGGAGGCCATCCTTGCAGTAGCAGGACTTGCCGTACGGGGTGTTCTGGCACGAATCCTCGCAGTCGTTGAAAAAGCACAGGCCCTCCTCTGCGGGGGCGCACCCAGGAAGAAGAAAAAATCACGACCCATTTCACTCTGTGAAGGTAAATCACTAGTGAAGCTGCTTAGCACACGACACAGACCCGCCCTGAGAAGCCAAAGGAAACAAGACATGTGCTACAGGACCGCCACCCGGTGGAAAGTAGACACGCGCCACGGGACTGCCACCCCGGGAGGGCGGAAGGAAAGGAAACCAGGCATGCAAGCCCTAGGAACGACGACAGAGAGAGGGTGGTGCGAGCGTAGACGTGGCTGACGTGGGTCGTACAGCGGCAAATCTTTGAGAAACCTTTATTATATACCTGAGAGTCTACTGATCTTCAAAATGGTGCCTAATGATAACTAATCTACTGAATAGACCTACTGCTAAATTACCCAAGCATCAAGGAGAATGCAGGAAATGGTGTTCCACGCGCCGCACGTGCCGGCATCTGCAGTAGTAACTGTTCTAAAGCAAAAGCCTAGAACAAATGGCATCTTGCACGTGCGTTCGTCAAAGCTTTATGTTGGTTATTTACTTTGAAACTTTTATACGGGGAAGGCCCGCACATGTGGCACCGGTATTTGCAGCAGTAACTGTTCTAAAGCAAAAGCCTAAAACAAATGGCATCTTGCATGCGCATTCGTCAATGCTTTATTTTGGTTATATTCTTCGAATCTTTTATACGGGGAAGGCGTGCGTGTGCGCGGTGCGAGCACAGAGTTTTTAGTCACTGCTCATGAAAAATCCATAGAACCCTAGCCATAAACAGCTTGGCTGTAAAACAACGAGCTCGTTTGAGCAGACATCTCCTCGGCTTCTGAAGTGACTCCAAAGGACTATTGACGACGTGCGTACAGTCGTGGCTGCAACCTGCTCGACTTGCTCCCCCCGAAACAAAAGTGATCTCTCGTTTCCTGATATGTCGAAAGCGAGATGCAAGTTGCAAGGTTAATGCAGAGGCCAAGAACCTTCGGAATCACGACCGGACGCTCTGATTACCCTCGCCGTGCGGACTGCAGTACTGCTGCTATCTTTCCCTAATCTGCCATTCCACCACCTGGGTTAGCAACTCTTAGTCGACGATTAATAAAGGGCCACACAAAAAGGGGTATGAGCTATAAAATGGGGTTCTTGGGGAAGTTTGCCATAATTTATACTTAAAAAAACCCTCGAGACAACAAAAAAATAAAAAAAATAAAAATAAAAAGAATGCAACAAAAACAAAAGAAAAGGACAACACAACAACGAATATGTTGGTCGGACAGCGCAGTTTGAACCACAGGCTAGTGGATCCCAAAAGAGCTGTTAAGGCTCGTTCGGCAAGTTCCAAACTTGCAAAACATCCGAAGGAATGTCAGAATTGTTATCCAGAATGGATGGAAACAAAAATGCTTAGCAAGGAAAAGGATCCATTTAAGAGGGTGATGAAGGAAATGCTTTAGATCACGAGCACTACACCTTGGACGCTGCTACATGGCCCTTCTCATCTGAATAGGTTTGGTTTCCGTGCGTGGGTGAGTGAGCTGCCCTTTTTGAATGGGTACTGTTCCACTACTTGGTCTTGTGGGGTCGACGGGTTTCGCTCTGGCATTGGGGTTTGTTCCACTCAATATAAGAAGCTTGTCCCGCGAATAAATATTGCAGCTGTGTTTTGAGACGTCATCATGTTGTCCTTTTTTTCTTTTTCGTTGGCCTTTTTTCCCTTCATCTCGGGGTTTTATAAAAATGACTGTTCACCAGGTCGTACTTTTGCCATTACCCTTATTTCAACTATAACTTAATCAGCGCCAAAATACTATGCCGGTAAAAGCAAAGCGGTGCGAGAATAATTTACTGCTTAGGGAAAGCGAAAAGTATCTCAATAGACCCTGATGTACCCTTGCATACCTTACGCCGTGGTCGGCACTGTTTGTGGAGGGGCCATTGCCAACGCCCGCTCGCAGTATGATGCGCTCGTTTACTTTTTATGCGTAGAAGTCTTCCAACGAACAACATTCCACAACACGTGCGTTTTACTAGACGGCGCGCCAAAGCAACCGGCGTGGCTTTGCAGTAGCGCGCTCGCTTCACAATCGACAGGACCAGGACTGAATCCCCAAAAATGGGCAGCGAGTTTCTGGGATATCTTTTTTCTGAGCGTTCGGCGCTCATAAGGGCTAACGCCGCGAGATGCCTAGGTGCTCAATTTATCGCCTTCAAGCACGCCGTTCGCCCGAGGAAGTGTCTCCGACGTCGCGTGCCGCCTCCTGGCGGCGCAGTGAAGCTGCCCAAGGATGCGGCTCTTTGGGGCGCTCACCGCATCGGCCTCCCTCGTCCGAGCCGTCCTTGCAGTCTGGGTTCTTGTCACATAGCTTGGTGATCTCCACGCAGCGGCTGTTGTTGTCGCACAGGTGGTTGGGGGCCAGGCATTTGATGCGGGACACCGCCGCTGCAAGACACAAAGCAAAGTTCGGGGCAGTGGCTCGGCAGGTTCGCACTTCACCTCCCCAGCTTGCCTACCAAGCAGCCTCGCGTTTGTGTCAATTTAATCCGCGGTATGTGGCTTTCGCGGAAGAATGGTTTCGACTAGGTCTGCGACAAAGCTCCGCAAAAACGCGGCCCCGCTGTTTTTAAGTATTTCGCTCGCGTCGCCGAAACGGAACCGCTTCAAACGAAGCTAGGCGACTGACAATGCGGATGGTCCGCGCGCCATCAGAAACAATGTCAAAGACCCAGTTGCGACCCGGTCGTGTCATTTGTTCATGGAATATAGGCGTCCAAATGCTTCATTCAAAATAAATGAACGCGGCGAAGACGTTCGACGTTCACTCACAGCAGTTCTTCTCGTCCGAGTTGTCCACGCAGTCGTGGTCGCTGTCGCACACAAACGACGCTGGGATGCACTCCTGGCGGTTGTCGCACAGGTACTCGCTCGAACTACAGGTGGCGTTCCCTGCGTGTGAAACCAAATAATCAGTCGACCAATTGATTGCTCGTCCGCAGAAAACTGCACGGATACCGAGAGACAAAGATATGAAAGCTGTTCACTTTTATCCGGCGATTCCACTGGATACCACATAAATGGGGAAGGGAAACTCGAGACTACTATGATTTTTGGCGGTTTTAAGTTTAAGCTAGACAATGATGGTGCAACCAAAGTTGACAAAGCTATAATCCCTGAGAGTTCAACACTGGTCATTAGGTTAACCCCTCGTACTCCTCATGCCTTCTTCCACATTCGCAAATGCTGCAACCTTATTGACTGCGGAGCCATGACCAGGTGCTTAGAAGTTGCCCCAATCATCTTAAAAAACAATGAAATAAAAAAAATAAAAATTTAAAGCTTATTTAGTAACTTTTTTTATCAAATAGCTTCTTTTCTTTTTTTGTTGGATGCAGTTTATATGGAGGCAGCCCGCTCTAGGCCCCGTCCAGGAATGTAGCTAGATACGTCCCATTTCTCGGCTCTTAACGGTTAGAGAGATGATTCACGTGTGGAATGTTTGATGTCAAATTGTTTCTCCATGCCACGGTAGATTTTCATTCCCCATTTTTTCACGCTTGAGAGACAAACCATTTCGAAAGTCATGATTGTTTTCAAAAATATTGTGAGATCCGTCTTTTTCGTTCTGGTTTCAGATGATAACAAACGTTGCTGCCGGCATTTGCGGCAAGCGGTTTCCGACCGTGTGGCTGGTCGAGCCGGTTGGTTCAGGATCTCTTCCTTAAACACCTCGGTGAACGCAGAACGACTCGCACTCGTAAAAGTAAACGAGCTCAACGAGCTACGTTGAGCATGCCACAAATGCCTGCAGCCGCATTTGTTATCATTTAAAACCAAAACAGAAAAGGCAATCTCTGGTTATTTTTGAAAAAGATAATAACACTATCTCGAATATTTTCTTCTCAAACACAAAAATATTGTCGATGAAAATACTATTACGGCACGGAGAAAGAATTTTACAGCCAACATTTCGCACTTCAATCGTGGTGCTTAGCTAGCTAGAGCACTTTTCATTACGAGTGTTGCCAAGAGAAGGGCTACTCCCACCGGAATTGCGTCTAACAACATTAACGTTGCTCGAAAAAGAAAATATGTGTCCTAATCTGGGCCCGTTAAGAAAGCGTTTTCTCAGTGTCTCGTTAAAGGGGTCGGTGGCTGTAGCAATTCGCGACCCGGAACATCCAAGCTACTGCCCACGCTCAGTGCACACACTTCCTTACTCATTATGGTATGGTCATCGCTAGGTGGCGGCCGCCGTGCGACCAGATCATTCTGCCCGGCTTTAATGCAGCCCTAGTGTCACCCAACAGAGTGCAAATTTAGTCGTTCCCACAATTACTCGATGCCAGAAAAAAAAAAAATAAGGAGATAGTGTCGTGCAAGTCGCAACTCTATTTTTCTTCGTTCCGGACCACTAGGAAACCGCCTGATCACCTTTTCGCTCTAAATCTAAGTCCTAAATCAATGTAAAGAAACATAAAAAAAAAAAAAATTGCCTACAATTTGATTATTAATTGTTTCTCATCAGAAACTACCTTTGGCTATTGAGGATTGGAACTCACTACCTCACAACATCGTTTCTGCAAATGATACAACTAGATTTGTTAAAAACCATTGCCCCCTTTCAATCTAATTTAGTTCACTAGCTTACAGTGTCATATTTGTGTTTATTGTTCTACTCTTTTTTTATTGATTTATTTGGGAATACTACCAGCTCCTTTCAAAGAGCTATTGTAGCGGTGGTTACAGAATAAAAAACAGCAAAAGGCAGTGGCACAGCAACAAAAGAATGAGCTAAAGTATAGGGTGTCCCAACTCACCAGGCTCGATCTAAAATGAACCGTAAAAATCGACGCCTGCACATAGCAACCTAAACTTTTCATCAAAGGTGCATTTCACAGGTAGGTTTTAACATGCAAAATTACAAACCGTAGCTCCTTTTCTGTAAAACAAATAGGACCAAGAAACTTGCCAGGATCAACGGCAGGCGGTGACGCAGACGACCGAGTAGAGTTGCAGGGTGCGTTTCGCACACGTATTAATAGATGGCGTTGGGAGCAACGTCAGAAGGTGTAGCCGACCAGCGAAAGAAAGCAGACGACATGCAGAAGAAACCTGTCGACAGCAAGAATGCCGTCGTTATGCAACCGCAATTTTCTTTTCTTATTTTACTTCAAGTTTAGTTTTTATTGTCCGCATTTATTTTTTAATCAAAGGTACATTGCAAAAAGGTTATGTTCATTTTAATGAACCACGGCGGTTGCAAGCAGTCTCGATAAGGAGGTAGCGCCATCTATCAATACGAGCGCCAAATGCGCCCTGCAACTCGACTTGGTCATCTGCGTCGCCAAAGCTACGCTTTGCGATTTTACATGAAAACCTGTAAAATACACGTTTCATGAAAAGTTTAGACTTGTGCGGACGGGCGTCGATTTTTATGGTCTATCTGAGATTGAACCTGGTGACTTGGGACACCCTATACAATTCGATAGCATCTACAAAGTGATCAAAAGTCGTCAAAGTCACAATGCCATTAGTTAAGCTATTCCACTCTTGAATTGCCCGAGGGAAGAAAGAAAATCTAAAGCAGTCATTTTTAAACCAATGATTTATTTGTGGGGACCTGTACTGAGAGGTCTTTAATTGCAACTATCTATATGAAGGAAGCCGTTTATGATATTGTAAAAAGTCTTTAATCTGTCAATTATGGCTTGTTTGTAAAATCGGAAGCTGAGCTTTTTTGACTAATTCGGTAGATGATGATCTCGTATTATAAGCATTAAAACTAAACCGAGCAGCTAGCTTTTTATTACACTCTACTTTGCTAATCCCATCCTTAATAAAAAAGCACCACACTGAACTCGCATATTTTAAAATGGGTCTTAACAAAACTTTTATAGGCTAGGCCCTTTGTATCATGATCTGCAAATTTTAATTTTCTTCGGAGTGAAAACAAAGTGTCTCCGGCTTTATTAAAAATGTTTTTTTAAGTGCTGGTTCCAGGTGAGCCTGATAGTAAGCATAAGCACTAAATAGTTATATTTGTCTACTATCCTTAGCCCATCAAGAAATAATGAAATTAAAAAGTTTTCTTTATACATTACATAGTTATCACAGTTGTTTTATTGAAATTTAATTCCACTTGCCATGTTTTGTCCAGCGTTGGATAGCAGTGAGTGTTTCCTGTAATTTAAAATAGCCTTCGGTTTCACTTATTTTGTGATACATGATATGGTCGTCTGCAAATAGCCTGAGAGAAACACCAATGTCAATCATTATGTATCATTCGTGTAAACCAAAAATAAAAGGGGCCCGCCCAAGCACTTGTCTAATATACATATATTATATATATATATATTGAACCATACTTGATCGAATGAATCAATGTTTTCCGAAACCACCGAAAGCCAAACTAAACGGCAGAGCCAGGATTTGAACTTTGGGCCTCCCAATGACCGGTGGTCCGGTGTGCTAACCACAACACCACTCCACCTTGACTTTCTGGTGTTTTCCTATCTGTCTTATTAATGTAGAGGAAACAAAATGTATCTAATCAGATGTGTTTTGAAGGCACACGCCACCATATAGAACGTGGCATGGTGCTTGCTGGGACGTGGTATGTGCTTGTTGTGCTCCAGAAATTCTCCCACTGTTTGTCTCATCACATGTATGCGTATTATTTTTTTTTATGAGCTTTAGAGATACGGTATCATAGTCACCTAAGGGATATCAAGAGCCATGTTTAAATATATCGCGGGCACTTTTCATCATCGTACGTGGTCTCCGAGGAGGAAATAATCGAAAATATGCAGATGAATGAACCGTACTTGGTCGAATAAATCAATGTTTAACGAAACCGCTGAAAGCCAAAATAAACGGCGGAGCCAGGATTTGAACTCTGGGCCCTCCAATGTCTGGTCGGGCATTGGGAGGCCCAGAGTTCAAATCCTGGGTCTGCCGTTTACCTCAAGCAGGGATCGGCCGCACGGGTGGCGTTGGAAGCAGTTGCGTCCTCGCTTACCGCATCCCCTCTCATCGCTGCCGTCGAGGCAGTCCTGCTTGAAGTCGCAGCGCCAGGCCTTCTGGATGCACTGGCCACCCCCGCACCGGAACTCGTCTTTGTGGCAGGGCGGGACGTCCGTGCCACCAGCCGCTGCATCACACGCAAAAAGCTGAGATGCCCGCCACCGGGGAGCCGGGCTGCCGCTGGGGCGCCCTCAGCACGTCTCCGACCAGCGCGTCCGCCGCGTCCCTCAAAGCGGTTCCTCTGCTTCCACCCAACAACGTAGTACGAGCGTCGAGCCGGCGGCCGACGCTGGTTCTACGGGCGGTCAACGGAAACCCGAGCGGACGCGAGCGAGGATGCCGCGACAACAACAACTCTCACGTCCGCTCTCTTTCCCCGCAATTGTTTCCGAGATTGCCGGGATCGTGACGTCGTCGTTTGCCGCTGGGAGGTGCCGGTCGGAGACGCGTCCTGGGCGGTAACTCACTGCAGTTGGCCTCGTCGGAGCCGTCGGGGCAGTCCCAGACCCCGTTGCAGACGAGGGCTTCCCAGAGGCACTGTCCCGAGCGGCAGCGGTGGCCGCCCCCGCAGGCCCCGGCCCCGCAGTCCCGCTCGTCAGACCCATCCCGGCAGTCGTCGTCCCCGTCGCACACATAGTCCAGGGGCACGCAGCGCTGGTTGCCGCACCGGAACTCCGTCACGTCGCACTCCGGGTAGACTGCAAGGCGACCCAATTGCATCCACGATCCGGCCCGACTATGGATGCACAGAGAGAGCCACGGCCAGAGCCCGGCTTCCTGCTGGGAAGCCCTAACCAACAGCTGGGACTCTCGCTACCTGTCTGCACAAATCTTCCGCACAATCTTCAACCTACTGGGTGTATCAAAGAGTGGCCAGGCTCTTTAAATCGACTGCAAAATTCGGTTTCTTAACCTATCGCGCTGCGACTTTGTGCAGTGTTGCCCACAGATGGTGCATTTTTTTTGCAAAATTTGCAAAGAGCAAACTTATTTGAGGAAAAAGTAAAGAAAGAAAAAGGCTTAGCTCCTATGGAAATGCGGCGAAGCTAAAGGTCATCAAACAATACGGCGCCGTTTCGCACGGGAGACAAGAGAATCAACTAAAATGTAATAATTGTTTTTAATTAGTGAAAATAAATGCATGGTTTTATTAAGAAACTTGCAAGCATTATCGAAAACCACTAAACTAACTGTTTTTAGAAATATACAAGGCAGGGCAGCATCTTACGGTGTTCCATAAGAGCACTCGATTTAGACGCGTTTCTAGATTTCATTTTCTTTTTATCACATAAGAGCACTCGATTTAAACGTGTTTCTAGATTTCATTTTCTTTTTATCAAAGCGCACCTCTGTGCTTCGATAAAGACACGGACAAGTGCCAAATTTGCGAGAAATTATTATTTTTAAGCGAGTAGACTCCGATAAACCCTGAATCGGCAGTAAAAACAAACTCCGGAATGCGCCGATCGAACGGCACCAAAGACAAACTCGGAAAACCCGGAACGCCACCTCTAGTTAAGCGTGGCTGCAGCGGGCACTGAACTGAGAAGGGCCAAACCACGGTGGCTTCACGCTCCGGCCAGCAACGCCTGGACCGCCTGCACCAGACTCACCGCAGGAGTCGTGCTCGTCCGAGCTGTCCCCCTCCCCGCAGTCCAGGTCGGAGTCGCACGTCCAGCTCTGGGGGATGCACTTGCCCGTCACCTTGCACGTGTGCTGGGAAGCGCTGCATGTCATGTCTGCACGGGGCATGGAGAGCCTCACAGTCTGTCGCTCCATTTCGAGGATGATTCTTGCCGAAGCGGCAAGTTCGTCGGCGCCCGCCGAGCAGGGGGCGACTTGCCCGGTCAATTAGACCACCAAGTAGTGCGCAAAGTGACGGCGTCTGTCTTGGCGCGCTTGTTGCGGCCGCGTTCGAGGCGAACACGAGTGAATGCAACGTAACAGGGTGGCCACGCTAACTCGAGTTACCGCGTGTCACGGCATCGGCTGCAGTTAAAGGGGCGGTGCAGCAACTTGCGGACTTTGGCTAATTAATTGCGGGAATTGATCCCGGCCACATATAAAACATAGGACCGAAAACTATTCTTCCCTGCTTGCCCTAGTTTTCATTAAAAAAAATAAAAGAAATTGATATCTCCGGCACCCCTCAACTCAACATTGAAGTGGCACCAGCTTCGCCTGTGACGTCATTCGGAGTGGCGTTGGTTTCCGGTTGGGTTCTTTTGGCTTCCGTTTCCCCAGCGCTCGCCGGCTCGCCAGGTTCGCCGCTCGCCGCTCTCTCGTCGATTCCCGATCAACATGGCGGCGCGGCCGAAGTCGAAGTCAAAGTCGAGGTCGAGACACCAGGATCAATAACGATACCACGATACTACGGACCACACCCAACGCACTCCGTCGAGCGAGGGAAAGACAAAACGTCCGGGTTGCTCGTGTAGCCGCCGTAGGCGCCTCGGGCGTGGACGGATGACGGCGACGGCAGGTTTTGTTGACTTGCGGTAGATGGCGCCACAAATAATTCATACCCTTTTAGTGGCAATATTGGGCTTTTGAAGCGTTTCTGCATGCCTATACAACAAGATTTTTTAAACTTAACCTTAAATCAAGCTTACAATTGCCTAACACCATCACTTACAAAAACCACTCCGAATGACGTCACACCACAGGTTCCATTTGCGGCCACCATGTGGCCGCAGGTTGGGAAAAAAAGGTTTTTTTTTATTTTGCGATTATGCAGCGAAATAGAGGTACTTCGGGGTATGGTGGCACTTTTTCTCTTACTTATGCCGAAGTAAACAATATAAAAAATACAAGCTGCACATTCGTTCAGTGTTAAAATCATTGCACCGCCCCTTTAACTCCATGTGCGTTTCTACTCGATGTCAGTTTTGCCAGCCTCGTTGCAATGCCTCTATGTTTTTTTAACACTGAAGGATGACGAGAGGTGCAAAACATGGAATCGTGCGACACGATGCCACGCATTCGAAAAAAAAAAAAAAGAAAGAAAACCAACTTTTTATTGACGTTCGTTTACACCCGATTGTCGCCATAAACTGGAACTTGAATATTGTCGCACCTCAGAGATGCACTAGAACTCCCTCACGACGAGCTCAAAGTATAAGTCTTCCTTGAACCAATCGTTTAGAAAGCCAGCTAGCTCGGAAAGCGTCCCTCCCCGAGCATTTATCACCGCAGCGGCTTGTTGTAAGCCTTACAACCGAGCAGCGCCACAACCAGTGACCCCGGCAGTCGTACGGCCGCTCCCCCCCCCCCCCCCCCTCTCTTCACCCCCGTCACTTACTCCTGCATTTGGAGGTGGGCTCTTCGTCTGATCCGTCGACGCAGTCGCGCTCTCCGTCGCACACCCAGTGCAGAGAGATGCAGCGGTTGGTGTCGCACCGGTACTGGTCCTCCTGACAGGTCGCCTTCTCTGCAGCACGCAACAACACCTGCCTCAACGTCCGCCACCCCAACGGACGTCCAGGGATCCCAAGTAATCCCACTCTTTGCAATAATATTAATATTAATAATAACAATAATAATCTTTATTGGCTCAAGTGAGCCGTAGCAGCACAGAAAGGCACAGCCCGCATCATGGAGGCATGCGGCCGGTTTCTCACGGAGACGAAACCGACCCCCGAACGACGGTGCCAATTAATTCTTGAAGGAACTCGGCTCAAAAACCGAGCCAAAACAAATGACGGAGTGCTCTTGCGGGACACACGCGGTACAACAAAAATGTCAAGTCAAAACTATGGAGACATCCGCTCTTAAAACCAGCATTAAAAATGCTATCTTGGGAGTAAGGACACTTGGGCCATCTTGCCGCTTAAGATCATTCCAGTAAGCTATCCAAAGCTTTACCTGGACCCTTTCCTGTCCGTCCAGAGTGACACGAGAGACTACCAGAGCAAAACCACCTTGCCCAAGTTTCGCGATGCCGCATCCAAAGCCGAGCGAGTGGCACTTTCCGATCGCAACCGTCGCCAATTGCACCCGCTCCGGACTAAGCTGGTGGCGCCCACCAGAGGGACGGGGAATGGAGTGTCCAGAGTTTAAGCGCAGCTCATACTTAGTGGCTCTAGACAAGAGCAGACCCTCGGACTCGCGCGGCAGCTCGACCCAAACAGTGTGGCTTTGGCTCGTGCAGACTGGCCAATCGTGTGCGGCACCAACATTAAGCCGCGTGCTCAAGGACGATTGCGGGTGTTAGCGTCGCTTAACACCCCGCCCTTCCGCTTTCACTACAAATACCCAAAACTAAAATTTGAGACAGCTACAGACCTGTGCTAATAGTGCTAAAAAAAAAAAAATCTATCAAAATTGCTTGAAAAGCACCTTTGTTACAACTGGAATACGCAAATCGGTTTCTTCACTGACCATCGATAACTCTTCATAAAGTTCCGGGTGCAAGACGTCCGACCAATTTATTTTCAATTGATTTGCTCGTTGACTAACCATTTTATAATGTTGATTAAATTATTGTTGGGACGATTGCCCCCCGACCACTTTACCATTCAACCGATCAAGACCGTTTTCCAAGTTTGGTCAATCAACTGGCTGGTCAGTTGCCTGATTGATCTCTCAATGCCGACTAAATGATTAGCTCGTCGACTAGCTATTTTTCGGTGTTGGATTACTTGACCGTCGGACCGACAGATCCACCAGTTAAACGATCGTCCGGTAGATCAATCGCATGGCCAAGCGAGACCAGTTGGTAGAAGGAGGAGAGGGCGAGGTACCGCAAATGCCCGAATGGGAGGAGTCTTCGTCCGAGTTGTCCCCGCAGTCGTTGTCTCCGTCGCAGAGGTAGCGCCGGTCGATGCACCGCTGGTTCTTTCTGCACTCAAACTCCCCGTCCCGGCAGCGGGAAGGCTCCGTGTAGTTGGCCGCACCTGCGCAGCCATGCCCCAGCTCTGTCTCGGCTGTCGTCGCGCCAAAAGACGGGGGAATCGACGACACCAGAGAGACGGGAATATTGCTGTATTGTTGTTGAGACCTAAACGGGCCTTGCGCAGCCAGATTACTTTCGGCTGCTTGTTCCTCGGCTGGTCGAAAGTAAAATGGCTGGATCCCGGGAAAGTAGCACCAAGTATGGTCGACGTTTTGGTTCGTGAAACGCACAATTTCTCCTTGACCTCTTCACTTCGGTGAGCCAATCTAAATTTGCTGGTGACGGGTAGCTTTTAGGAGACGTTTCTTGTATACCGAGATTTTGCTATCTACACACCAGCGAAACAAGCGCACATTTTCGTGCCGCCACCACACGCAGTGTCGGTGCTTGGAGGCATTGAAAAAAAATTAAAGAAAGATCCATTGGTGGATTTGTAGGGAATGCGTTAGCATGACCCTTGGGAAATGCCACACACGTCCTTCTTTGGGAAACGCTAATGCTGACCCCTTCACTTTTCTGTTTTAGCTTTCTCGTTTGCTTCCTCTATTTTTTGCTGCCTCTTTTTGGCTTCGTTGCGGGGTCAGTGTTAGCATTTCCCAAAGGGGGACGCGTTTGGCGTTTTCCGAGGTTCATGCTAACGCATTCCCTAAGGATCCACCAACGTATCTTTCTTTAATATTTTGAACGCCTACTCGGACTACTACTTGGTTCACACTCCATTTTGTAACACAAACCAAGGCATAAGGCACTCCGCACACCTGCAAGTTCATATTCGCCCTAGCATCCATGTGCGTGCGTTGGCTTCTGCTCAGCGACATAGCCTCCCTCTCGCCTTTGTCCTTCACTACTCTCCTCCTCTCTACATGGCGCACTTCCCTTTCCACTGTTTCGTCCACAGACGGATGCCATAAGCTTTTCCCCGTCATGTGGGTACTAACAATAACGCACTAATAATTTTCTTGTCTCGAAATACACAACATCATTGTAAGAGATCTGTGCAGATGGGCACGATTGATAATTTGACTGCATACACGGAGCCAAAGACGCTTATGTTGGCAAGGAACGCCTCCAGTATGACGACGCTCCATGGTGATCTTGGGGCGACTGGTTTACGACGACCCTAACGAAGCTTCGAAGATTTGAATGGACCAAAATGGCGATTGCCACGGCAACGGAGGCTGATTACCCAATCGCCTTGCGAAGTTTTGGTCATCTGTCCGTTAGTGTCTATTTGTGCCCGCTATCAGGCAGGGAAGGCAATGGCACTACTTTCCCAGGATCCGGCGACTTTAGTCGAAAGCAAAGCGCCCGAACGTTCCTGGGGTACCATGACAAACGTCTCAAGCGAAGCCTCCAAGAACATTGGGGGACGCTACAGTCGGGGGCCGGGAGGTGTGTGGTGTAGGGGGTCGGGGTGCTCACGTTGGCAGGTGGTGCCGTCCTCGTTGAGGTCGTAGCCGTCTCCGCAGGCGCACACGCGCTTCTCAGGTGTGGCCAGGCACAGCTGGGCACAGCCGCCGTTCCTGTCGCTGCAGGCGCTCACCCCTGCAGAGACACAAGCTTTATTCGAAGCGCCCGAGGAAATTACCCTCCGGTCCCGTCCAACGCTGAACATTTGGACGACGGTAGAGACTTGTTACGCTAGGGTCGGTTAGTTTTCAGAAAACTCCCTCACTACGTTGGTGACTTTGGTGTATTGGCACCTTGGACGTGCATGTCGGTACCGAAAGCGTAGTTCAACCTCGCTTCGCCATATTTGTACCTTTGCTACACCGGCCTGTACTGTAGAAAAAATAATTTCAAGGTTCTTTGTTTTAGTTATACGCCATGAAGCTCGAGAAGGACGGAAATAATCGACTTCTGCGCTATAGAATGGTACTTTTCAAACAGCTGTTTACTTCCCCGATAGCTTACTTCACATTAGCTTAGTTTATTCTGTTTCAATAGTTTATTCTCTGCAGTAAAAGTATCCACCTTTATGTGCTTTTGCGACGAGTTGGTCATTATTTGTGATAAACTAAAATAAAATTTAAAATTGCGCCGACATTGGGGATGAGTAGGGCTCCGTGTTTTCGGATAAATCCGGAAAACTCAGAAAAACACCCGCCGGTAAAATTTCTGTCAATTCGGATTTATCCGATAAACTCCGAATTGTTATGTGCCCTTGCCACCCCCCCCCCCCCCCCCTTTTTTCACAGCAGAAAAAGCTTCTTTTTTTTTTTTTACAATTTGAGCAGCGCAGGATCAATGGTCCTTGGAGAAAGACACCATAATTATCTTTCAAGCCTCGGATCATTGTCAAAAGGGGGTCTTACGGCTTGTCTCGCCAAGGTTGGTTCAGGGAAACAGGTCATCGTACCATTCGTATCACGACAAAAGTCATTCTTTTGGCTTCCAGTTTCTGGGGGTAACAGTGAAAACTATGGACCATAGAGATTGTATAAAATAGGGAAGAGGGGCAGTTGGAACTTCTCTATTACATCCATAACCACTCCACCTCGCGCGGCCGCGGGATAGATGGATGGGATGACTACGAGCTTCCTTGCGGCTAACTCCGGCAGTTTATTGATTTTAAGGTATCGACGTTTATTGAAGCCACACTTGTGTGCGACTTTCGTCGTGGGACAAATTACTATTGCCAATGACACCAACGCCAAATTCAACTGAAGAAATCTTACTTGATACAAGCGCGTTTTATTTTTTATCTGGCATACGTTTACATTCGGTTATTATTCATTATTTTTAATAAGAAACACTGCGAAATTAATCTCTGAATTCCGGAGAATTGGGGATTTTTGAAAAGAAATGTCCGATAAACATTGAATTTTCGCTAAAAAATAAACTCCGAAAAACATCCTCCGAATTTCACGAAAAATAAACTTTGAAAACACGGAGCCCTAGTTATGAGCTTTTAGTCCAATTTCTTCACTTTATTGTCAGAAAGTTATAACGGCCGTAATATCCCCAGGAATAGCCCAGCTAAACTCGAAAGCAAATTGGGTGAAAATGAGAAATAAACAAACTTTCAATGTACAAAAAGAAAGAAAGAAAAAAGTTAGAAAAATGCCAGTTTTAGGTTTTGTGACGTGCGAAACTTGTGTTCACAGGGAAGGGCTATGAACCAAAGATGACCGTCCTTTCCAGTGAGCAGTGTTCACTCATCTCTCGCCGTGGCTAAGTAGAACCATTTCTGCCGAGGCTACCATTGGACAAGGCCCTGCACTTACTAGAAGAGGGCTACCTCTCGGTGTTTGTGAAAGAGTAGAAAAACCATGCCAAAAATAGGGGGGGGGGGCGTTATCTCTCGGGACATTAGGGTAGTCCATAAAGTACAGCGAGCCTGTTCACAATGTGCATACTTTTACGTCAACTACAGGGCTGTTGTTTCACGAAGACTCGAGGACATATTTAATGAGCAACGAATTCCACTATCCAACAAAATTGGCAGCGAGCTTCATCTCTGAAGTCTTATAAGCCACGGGACGTAGCATTAAAGAAATCTTTGAAATTGGTTTTCGAAGAAATGAATAAACGACGCATTGCGGCGTCGAGCTGCTGCGGTGCAACGTGCCAAGATGTGCTGCGGCAAGTGCAGACACAAAAACTTGCGGGATGCCTAAATCCTTTGTGAAAAGCGTCCAAGGGGCATGCCAAGAAGCAAAGGACAACCCTAATGGGAGGGAGACTTGCCAGACTGGGAGGCCTCGTCGAAGAAGCGCAGCTCGAACAGTGGCGGGTTCTCCGTCTTGAGGCGGCTGATGTTCCCGGTCAGGGCGTCCCAGCGCAGGACGTGGCCCTTCTGGAACTCGGTCCAGAAGACAAAGTTCCCGAAGTGGGCCAGGCCGTACGGGTGGTCCAGGTGCTCCCCTTCCACTAGCACCTGTTACACGGGCCCCCAACAGCCGTCACTCATTTAGGTCAAAGTAATCCTTTTTCTTTCGAGTTATTCAATTTACAATCTCGACAAGAAACAAACGATGCCGGTGGCAGGTGGTGACTTGCTCTTTGGGTGGTAGAATTTGTTCCCAACCGATTACGATAAGTTCAATCTGATGAACAAACGCCTAGGAAGGTAACTCCAACACTCGCGCTGAAGCACAAAACAAACGCCTGGAATGCCCCGCTTTCTCTAGCTCGACCGGCGAGCCCGCCGGCCAGGGACGTCGAGGCACCAGAGAGCGCACATACATTTGAACGTCGGTTCTGACGTCGCCTTTGTTCACCAATTCCCCAATACTATTCCGACCCTCTCTTTATCATCGTTCCAAGCACTTGCGTGCCTAGTTTCCTTTCCTTCCACTCTCCCCAAGTGGCGGTCCCGTCGCACATGTTTAGTTTCTTCTGTCTCCTCGGGGCGGGTCTGTGTCGTGTGCTAAACAGCTTCGCTGGTCAACCACCTTCAGAGAGAGGAATGGCTCATGATTTTTAGCCGTCATTTTTTGCCAAGATATCCACATATCTTTCTCATTTTTGTTGCATTGGCCACTCTTACTTATCATTAAAAAGAGCCTTTCTTGCGCTACATTTTGAAATACTGCAACAAAATTAAGAAGCATGTTTTATATAAAAAAGAAAGAATACTGCGACCTTCTAGAAATAGTCAGTCTTCCCGCAGTAAAGAAAGAGTAAGAGAGAGAGCCAAAACAGGCACCTGTCGGCCCTTGCCGTCGAGGCCGATGCGCTCGATGCGATGGAAGTAGACGTCGCACCAGTAGAGCTTGCGCTGGGCGTAGTCCACACTCAGGCCGTTGGGCCAGTGCAGGTCCCGGGAGACGAACACCTCCCGCCCGGCACCGTCCATCTGGGCACGCTCGATCTTGCCCGCCCCCTGGCCCTCCGCCGGGGGGTAGGGCTCCGTGGACCAGTCCGACCAGTACATGTGCCTGCACAAGGGGAGCGTTTGGCTTTCCTCCCGGCCAGAGGGAGGGCCCGCCACGCACCCTCTCTTGGGGTCCACCACGATGGCCCTGGGGTGGGACATGTTGAGGGAGACCAGCTGGCGCCGAATGGTGGCGTTGTCCAGCCTCGCCACCCAGATGCCCAGGTGGCCCTCGTCCGTCCAGAACAGGTTGCGTCCCGCCCAGTCCACCGCCAGGCCCTCGCAGTTGTTCAGCCCTGGGATGTGCCGGGCGTTGATAGTTGCAGGACGGGCTCCGGTTTACGGAGGCGCGTCAGTTATGTTCGCGGCTTCCGAGAAGGCAATGAGCCTCCCTCGAGATGTCCGGTTTCTTCGAAGCGCGCTCGTTACAGCAAACATGCATTACGAGCGGTGTTTGTTACGACGCAACGGGGACCCAAACGTGTCGGTTGAAAGTCAACACTTGTTCCGAATCCTTCTATTACTTTCCAACCTCGTCGTTTGCGCACTGTGTTCCATTTTTTTTTTTTTTTAATATTGCATTTCAAAATAAAGTATATGTATCGTGTATGCACGATTCTAACGCTCAGGCAGATTTAGCTTTCAGATATTCAAGAGTAAATTGTGGCCGATTCTACCACACAGGTAAAATGATGAAAATTAAACACATACCTCATCGAACAAATTTTAAAAAACGAACGCCAACGCAAAAATAAATGCCGTGCGCTAGTCGCCGTTGTCACAGTCCAGCAATGGTTCATCGCTGTCCACAGAAGTAATCCTTGGTTACATCTAAAGCGTTTTAAACGCCGCACTTTTTGCGCATGTACGAGAACGCGACCGTCGCCTCTGGGAGGGTAGTCTTACAAACAACACTTTGCGAGCTCGTAGGGTGAGCTCGTAGGGTGGCTGGGATTGCGAGGCCACACAGTACTGCTCCGTTGTTATCTTTTCCTGCCAGCGTGACGGCCTTTTGTTTTAATAAAGCCTCCTTCTGGAATTTTTGTTTTTCATGTTAAAACGGCGGGCACGAGTCCGTTAGACGCGACAGAATGCGCGTGATATGAATACTAAAACAGCGAATGTAAACAAATGGTCACGATGGCGATGGGGCAAGCCACTTTATACCGAGTATTGCATTTTTCTTTAGTTTCGGTTTTCGGTTTCGATTGTAATGCACCTTTAGTTTTGAGCACCGATTTTGGGCAAAAAAAAGTGTGCGTTAGAATCGTGCAAGCACATTATTCATACACCTTAAATTCCTTTTAATAGTTTCAAATGAAGTTCCAATTTTGGATTTAAATGCCTATCTAGGATCATTTTGTTTTTTCTCATTTATGGTTACTTATTTATTTTCTGGCCCTCGAGACAGCGACAGATCACCAATTCGGCCCCTTAGACAAAAAGTTTGAAGACCCCCGGTTTAAAAGACAGAATTTTTGCATCACGGAGTTCTCCCGCACCGTCCGTCGGGGGAGCCGGAGCGAGGACGTAAGGACACTCTACCCAGGGGCACGGAACCGTTGGGACTGCTCGTGCCACGCCGCAGCCTCTACGGACGGGGAAGTGCCGGCCCTCTCTTGACCTCAGAAAGATCCGAGCAACAAAGCCCCAGCTCGACGTGTTCCGCGTCACCCTGTAACCCTCCGCCGGTATGTTCAAGTGGTCTCTTTCTAAGACGCTCCAGTTCTACCGTGCATCGAAGAACAATTAAAACACGGCGACGCACAAAGGTGGACGCTTTAGAAATAAAAAAATCTTCGCTCGAGATTTCGAAAGGTCGGGAAAAGCGCTCCGGCACACCACCGTGTGTGGCAACATTGAGCTAATGAAAGCCGACATGCAACCGGAAACGTGTCTGCAGCTCCAATTATAAAGGTCTGTTCGTGCGGTGGCGCTCCACCATGCTCGAGCAAGTTGCTAAAACTCGGGGTCAAGTTATGACCGCGAGACGCAGTGACGTCCGCGCTTCGTACGTTGCGTGGCGACCACTCGGAGAGCGGCCCCGCACACGGCGTACGAAGACCGTACGTCCCGCGACCGCTCGCGGACCCGACCGGTCGTGACGCGTCGGAAAGCGCGGACAGGCCTGGGCAGCCGGACGAGGCCCCTGGAGGAGCGAGCAGCAGGACTCGCCTTTGGAGGTGAAGACCTCCCTGCGGGAGCCATCGAGGCCCCGGCGCTCGATGAGGAACTTCTGGGCGTCCGAGTAGTAGATTGTACGGGTGCGGGCGTCATAGTCCAGGGCGGTGGGCCGGCTCAGGAACCGGACGGGCGCCATCACCTCCCGCCGCAGCAGCGGAGAGACCGCCTCCTCGGAGAACTCGTCACTCGTTGAGATGCCTTTGACCGCCCCAGGACGGCCCCGGGCATACAACAGGAACTGGGAGGGGGCCTCCGCTGCACGGAACCGCAAAGGCATCACCTGTCACGCTCGCCCGGGGTACAGAGACCTCCGGTCGTACCGCCTCCGGCACGAGCCCTTCGCCAACGCATCTCGCGAGCCTTCAGCATGCACGCGCCGCGGCCGGAGGCGTCAGAAAGAGAAGCCCTATCGTCCTCGTCGGCGACTATGGATGCCTTTCCGCATTACCTTCGAAAAGCTTTTGTACGGGACGCGAGCGAGGACGTCGCACACTTCCTTCGAACCCTCCGACTTTTGGACGAGTTCAACAGAGTTCAACCTCTCGGACGCCATTGTCCGACCCCCACCCAAGGAGGAGAAACTTCGGAAAAACAATTATTTAGGCAACACTTTTTCCGTCAAAAGAATTTGAAGCAGAGATTTCGACCGATTCAGCCCGGAGGTACCACCGCGCCCATTCTGAAATCCAGACTCCGAGTGATTTTCGCTTTCTCGATCTTCCGAAGCAACGTCTCGGAGGCAAAGGTGTTGCGCGAAGGACCGATCGAATCGCACGGCTCTCCGACAGTTCAGAGACGAGCTGACGGAAATCCACGATGTCGGAATACGGGAGGTCGTAGCCGCGCAGGAATGACGCGTCACAGTGGCGCGGGACTATGTCGAAATGCGGGCAATACCGGTTCGTCTCTCGTAGTTGTCCAGGAATTAAATAGGTCCGGATATTTACCGGTTGCCCCTCACACATTAACGACTCTTGTTTAAAAAGAACCGACGGCCGACCGAAAAGTCGTGGCTGGCCGAGCGGCTCGGAGAGAAGGGCGAGGCACTCACGCAGGCAGCGGCCCTCTTGGACCATCCGGAAGCCCGCCCGGCAGACGCAGCGCGCCACCGGGACGCCCTTGGCAGTCGACGGGATGCACAGGTGCTCGCAGTCCCCGTTGTTCAAACCACATGGGTGGTCACCTGCCGGCGAGGAAGAGCGAGACCTCCAATGGAGTGCGTTTGGAGAGAGGTCCGGGGCCGAGACGGCACAGCTAAAGTCGCACGTACGCCTTCCGATCCAATGTTAGAAGGTGCAACCAAGGAAACTAATAGGAAAATCTAGCACCGAAGTGTTCCCGCTTGTTTCGCCAATTCTGTTGGTAATGAAGCGTTCAAAAATTAAAGATGAGTTCAGTTTGCCACTAAAGGCACGCAAAAACATCAAACTAAACTCTAAAAAAAAATTTGATGCTGTCGCGCTTTTTATTTGACATTCCGGCAGCACCCATTTGAGGTTTCGACTGAATCATACATTCGTTTCACTCGCAGAAACACTCGTAATGTTCATGTTCGTAATAAGCATGTTCCTACCATAACACATCAATGGGCAAGGAAAGACGCCACGTAACTATGTTTCCACGACGGATGCCGACGTGGCAATGTTTTATCCCTTGACTACAATTTTGTTTTTTGTTTTTTTTTGTGGCAACGCACATGCGGCACAGGATCTATGCCAGAAACAAGAGCAACAGAAAGTTGCTCAAAACTACTCACAAAATGCCCTACGACGACCCACGTGGTTTTTGCATAAGCAGCACTCCCCACAAAAACTGACACAACCGTCCCTAGGCCTAACCCCTTTCACAATTTCACCATCCGAAAACAGACAACAGGTTAATGCATGTTTGTTAACGTACCGTAATACCCTGAGAGGTATAGCCAGCCTAAAATCAAGAGCAAATCGGGTGAAAATATGGAGTGGGCTACCTTTCAATGTACAATCAAGAAAAGCTACTTTTAGGTTGTGTCCCTTTCAATCTTGTTATTGTGGTGAGGGGCAACTAAGCAAAGATGACTGTGCAGTCAGCAGCGTTCGCTCATATCCTGCCATAGCTAACTAGATGCATTTACGCCGATACCATATCATTGATCTTAACACTACTATTACTAAAAGTGGGCTATCTTTCGGTGTTTAACAAAAATATAGCTAATCAAGCCAGAAATAGGGGTGGGCTATCTTTCGGGGTCAGGGCATCTCTCAGGATTTTACGATAAATACATCCAATGCACAAAACATGTTCGAGGGCCAGAAATTCCTTATCCCCAAATTTGGTGGCCGGGTGCACCGTGCAGCTGTGCTGTTCATCGCATCTGAAACTTCCTACTTCCAACCATTACCAGTGCGCGCCTGCTGCCGTGTTTAGTTTGACTCGGCTTGGCCGCTTGGCGGCTGAACTCACTTGGCGGCTGTGCAGGAAACGAAAGGAAAATCCATACTGACACGCTCTGAGGGGGTGCGTCATTATGCAAGTAAATACGGTTGACTGAGAAAAATTAAAGTCGTTGACTATGAACCAACTAGTCTATGTCACAATAGCTGCTTCACACGTTGTACACATTGGCTATGTTCATGCTCCCCGCCGGTCACGGAGATAATGGCCGCCCACGGCGATTGGGCACTTCATGTCCTTCGCATATTTTTGAACTTGCTTAAAATAGGGGTTGGCCGCTTGATATATTTTTCGATGATCCCTGAAATTCCTTGAGAGTAAGAAGCGGCTGCTTATTGTGACATGGGCACACGCCCGGTATTTTACAATAGTTGGCCAACCTGAATGTGCGGAAGGCAACACAGTTAGTAAGGGTAAGTGAAGGCACGTTTTTCTCACTTTTCTACTATGCCCAGCATACCATCAAGGAAACTACTAATGCGACAGAATGCGTCGGCACGAGGTGTAATATGGTCTTCTCCCGAACAGCCTTCCAAAGTTCACAAAAATTGCAAGCGCTAGCTGGGAGCCCAGCAGGCATTCGTCGCTTCGGAAGGCGAGTGTGTGCCAGACGCACAAACACTGAAGGCGGCCGCCTCTGGAACGGTCTGCGGCGGGCTTGGACAACCGTGCGGGAAAGGGAGGAGGCCTTCTCACCTGGGGGCTTGCGCTGGCGGTGGTACACGTGGATGGAGAAGGGGCGGGTAAGGTTGGCCCTGACAGTGCGGACGTCCGACTGGTTGTACTTGTGCACTGCCAGCACCGAGTTGCTGTGCCAGCTGGTCACGTACAGGTGACGCTCGAACACGGAGATGCCGTACAGGTTGCGCATCTGCGGTTTGTGAGACCACTGGTGAAGAGACACCCACACCCCCCCAAGAACACTTTCCCTACGACGTAGGAAAGAAAAAAATGGAAGACGTTTACAATTCCCTGTAATGCTGAATCAGAGCACAGCTCTAGAGGAAGAGGGGGGAGGGTATGGAGAGGAGGGTATGGCCTTCCTCCTCTTCCTCTCCCCCTCCCTAGTGACGTCACTTGCGACCCTAATGAAGGCTTTGTGAAGGTCGTGACCTTCACAAGTGAAGGTCATGTGAAGGTCATGACTTTCAAGACGTCACTCGTGACTGTAGTGACGTTACGTGTGACGTCACTATGGGAAATGTCCCAGAATGCAACGCGCAATGATGCCGACAGCAACGTCAACCCAGAAACGGGTGCCTAAGAGCTGTGCTTTAGAAGATAACACTTTCCCTACATTGTAGGGACACCCACAATCCCCTGAGAACACTTTCCCTACAATGTAAGGAAGAGAAAGACGCACGTTTCCCCGGAAACATAGGGAGGGAGAGGTGCTCACCGGGGTCCCCCGGTAGACAGTGGTGCGGCGGGAGCCGTCATAGCGGATGCGTTCCACCACGTCCAGGTAGGTATCGACCCAGTACACCTCCTCCCGGGGCAGGTCCACGGCCACCCCGAACGGGTACACAATCTTCTGCTCCACCAGCTTGGTCCGCTTGGTGCCGTCCAGCCGGGCTCGCTCCAGCAGTGGGGCCGCGCTGCCCCACTCCGTCACAAACATCAGCCTGCGAGCACACATGGCCCAGTTGCACCGGCCGCCCCTCCGCTGTCTCCGACCGTCTTTGACACCCCCGTTGCTCATCACTCCAAAGCAGTTCCCGAGTGGCAACGAACGACGTTGCGGCCGTCGCCATCCCAGTTTTTGCGTCGCCGCCTATGATCATGGCCGGCGACGTCCTCGGGCAGAAATCGAGAAGCGCTTTGATCGGAGACTCGCTCCGGGCACCGTAGCTCCACTAACTTGGGCGATGGGCTAAATGAGTTGCGGCGGACGACCAATTCGAAACGAAGAGATGAAGCGTGCGGGTATGGAACTTTGGCTACGTCACGTGCAGGGCGTTCCGTCGTTTTGTGCAATGAATATGTTACGCATACGTTTAGATGGCGGGAAGTTGAGGGTTGTTTATACTCCAACGTGACGTCAACGAGCGCGCGTGCTTGGTTGCATTGGTTGATGCTGGCTGCAAACGAGGGTCTATCATCCGTTGCTGTGGTCGAAGTGTCGCGGTGTAGCCTGGCGTGTCGGCACGGATCACGACGGACTAGAGCGTGCTCTATTCGCAACGTCGACAGGTGCATCTCACCGACGGCGGCGGCGATCCGAGAAGCCCTTGTGCGAGTGCTCAGTTTGGGAGTTGGGATACTGAGGCCAGTCGGGGTTTGTGGGACGTTCGTTTCTGCAGTCTAAACTCCGACTTGTACGTAATCTGTTACAAGTAACGAAATTACTTGTAATCCGTTAGTTACATTTATTGGCAATTTTATAAGGGAATAATTACATATTTTAGAAGATAATTGTAAAGTAATTTCCCTACTTTTTTTTTTTACGTAAAGGAATGATTGTAATTTGTTACATTTTTGTTTTCGTTCACGAAAGAAAGATATGAAAATTTTGAATATTAACAAAAAATAAATTCTGAAAAAATAAATATGTATATATATATATATTTTTTTTTTTTGTAAGGGTAAGCTTTACATGAATTACATTATCACCTGGATTTACAAAACGCAAGGCCCAGCATTTTTCAGATGCTCAAAGCTTTTCTTCATATCATCTAAAACTGACTGTAATCTTGTTGTTGTTGTTGTTTTTTTGTGACACGGTTGTTTCCAAACTGTAACTCTTCAGCTTATGAGCTGGCAAGTTGGGGTAGTGGATCTGTGTGCGCCTTTTTCTTTTTGTCCCTTCACTCTTTCTTTTCTTCCCTCTGGTAGAGAGAAAGAGATAACTTCTTTGTATCCACTTCAGGGACGAAAATAATCCACACTGGGGACAAAAGCGAAGTTTGGGAGAACTGTATCTAGGTCTTAGTCTCAATAGGTCAACAGGATCTAGCCGACGTTTTGAGTGTCGCACGGGTCGGAGGAGCTTAGCAAGCGCGCTTTTTTCTTATAACCCAATCTAGAACCCAGTCGCATGTCCAGGTGGCAGCACCCACTTGGAAAAAAATTGAACTGAAAAGCTGTTTCGCCCGGCGGACGACACCTTCACGTAGAAACGAGGCAAGATGTCCGACGAGACTTTTGAGAGCCGGATGCTGCTCAAGATCACAAAAGTGTGAGTGGCGGCAACAATAAATGCTTCATAACACTTCTGTTTTGTTCCTTACCCCAGGACAGCGAGGTTGAAAGTAAGTAACGCCGCGAAAGTGACAGATTCTTCTTGATGTAGCAGTCACTTTTGTAGAATTGTAATTGCAACTGTAATTAGTTACAATTTAGCCATGGGCAATTGTAAATGTAATTCCTTACTTTTTTTTTAGCAACGTGTACAAGTCTATATGAATTTGCCATTCTTATCGCGCGTCCCTTCGAGATGTGCTACCCTGAGAATTCGTAAGTCTAACGAGCCAGATGCACTTGTACGGGGTGCCAGCAAAAGCTGGAAGCTCGATGAACAGCCAAAGGTAGAGGTAATTAGAATTAAGGATTACCTAATGCGTGTGCTATATATGATGAGGCGCTAGTTGTGAGCAATGGCAGCTGTTCTCGATCCCAACAACAAATGCTCTCGAATGTATGGGAACGACAAACCCAGTAAAATATCTTAACTTTGTAGCTGGCAAGAAATTTTCAACTTGTAAACGATAGTAGCGGTACACAATGACAATGGGACTGGATTCTGGATTGTTTGTATGAGCTCCATAAATTGTGCTACAGTTTCGGATGTGTACGTGGTGTAATATGGGCATTGTCCGCTCCTTTCGGTGTCAGCTTCACGAGTCAACGTGAAAGACTAGCTATGATGATAGTGCACTCGCCATCTGTCAGAAAGGGGTCACTGCAAAATATCAAGTGCATTGTTTCTATCGAAGTATCCCGGTGGATTCGCCGAAGTGACTTGGCACGACTCCGAAGAGCCTGACGAGCGGCTAGATTCGATGGAACAGTATATTGTGATTTTTTGTTTTTCTGCCGATATTTGCGCGACAGTACGATAAAATAAATGCTGGCTTTCGCTCGTCATCCTCCATCATTCGCTCGTTTCCAAACTGCAAAAAACTGCCCCGAATCACTACCTCGAAGCTTGACCACACGACACGGACAGACCGTACCAACGGACCGCACGACTGTTAACGACCGGGAAGCGGAGATACGCCATACGAGACAACGCGACTGGGCGGTTCTCGGCGCAACAAGAAGAGGCATAGTGGCCGACAGACGTCCTTTTGCGTCACCGCACATTGCGTTCGTTGGAGTATAAACGGTCCTTCAGTTGACCTTAACAAGCGGCCCGGTGCCTCCGCCATAGACAGGAAGTTTATCCTCTGCGACCCGGGGTTTAACATGGATCGCGCGGTAGCGATACACAATTGCGTGCAGGTACAACGTTCGTCGAGATCCAGACAAGCGGGAATGGGGATTGTTTCGATGCCCCTTAACACGAACGCAACTTACAAATCGATGCATACTTCCCTTTCAGTTTTTCGTCTAAAATGCACTTAGGGCTGGTTTTCAAGTCTGAGGCACTGAGAAAAGGTGCTAGAATGACACAGAGAAGTCACGTGCCCCCAAAGTTAGCAGAAAAAGTAGACTGAAGTAGTTTCTATATGTCTCGATGTAGAGATTGTTTTCGCGCTAAATGCAATGGGAAAACTTTCCCGTAAATCTAAGTGGCGCGACAATGTGACACAACGGCACCACGACGTGCAACAAGACCGCAACACGACGGCAAGCACAGAACACATTCTACGTCGATCGGCGCTTGCTTTTGCTCTCCTATCGCGAACCCCAGAAAGACGAAAGGCTCGTCTTCCTCCCAGAGTCCGTCTCTGAGGCCTCGAGCCGAACCATACTCCCCGTCCTTTTGGTGGATCCCTACATGCACACCTTCGTTTGAGGCACACACAAGTCGGGGCCGTTCGTATGAGAAAGGAAAGCCCGCGGGCCGTACTCACCCCTTATAAGGGTCGAGGGCGATGCCACGGGGTTTGCTGAGTCCCACGTCGATGACGGTGATGCAGACCGAGAGCGAGGCGTTGCACAGAAAGATGGTCTCCCGTACATCGTCCAGGAAGTACCAGTTGCCGGACACCCAGTCCAGCGCCATCTGGTTCACCGCTGAGGCAGAGGGGCCTTTGCGTCAAAGGGCGCCTTCTCAAAGCTGCCCGAGCAAAGGACGCTATCCTAGATGCCGAGCGAGGATTCGCGCAAAAGCCGCATGATAATCTCGATTCGCACGCATGCTCTGTGTGCGGTGCAGCAGCTGTACCTTCTCTGATGGCATGGATGGCACGGAGGTTCTGGGGATTTCAGCGGGGGCGCTGAAAAGCTCTGGCGTAACTTGCGGTGGCGGGGGCACACAGGTCTTACACGTGACTAGTGGCCAGTCACTTGACAGCTATTCGCAATTCCAGCGAACTATAGGAGGTGCGCTGGTCAGGCAAAATGGCAGACAAAAGAAGGTCATTTTCGTCGTTCAGCATGCGGACTACCATAAATTTCTTGTACTGCAGCGTAAAATCGGTGTTACATATAAAAGCAAAGCGATTTTCGCACGGTAGAAACCTTCTTCTAGTCAGTGCAGAGGAATGACACGGTGGAAGCCTAAAAATAATCACCGGAGCGATGTTTGTTTCTATGCTGCCTACAAGAACCAAGCAGCGATAGCAGACGACAGAGTTGAAACGACCTCCTCTCTTGAGCTTCTCCGGGTTGCCGCTACGCGGCGTCGATTTCGGTGGAGTCGCCAACAGGCCACTTTTCCATGGGCCTCCCACAAACACCAACTACAAACCCGTTTCGCGCCAAAAATACATTGTAAAGTTCCGAAAGAATGCCCACCCAAAATAAAGAGGTGAATGGTGAAAAACCTGAAGTGGGCTATCTTTGGGGATGCCACAGCAAAACTTAATAAAAAATTAATGATAAACACCCGGCACCTGTTACAAGCCACGTGACGCGGGAACTGATACTCCAGATCGCGGACACTGCAAATTCGCGTTTCAGGATGCTATAATCACACGGGAATTCGCTACCGACTCCTGTGCCACGAAAAAGGATACCGCAGGTTGCGGACGCAACAGATTTGCGTTTTACGATGGAATATACACGCAGGAGCAACTCGCGCGTTACGGGAGCCAATATCGCGCATGCAGATCACGGACAAAAACGCGGGAACCTGCTATGAACTTTCTTATCAGACATACCGGTACAGCAGATCGCAAGGCGGATGCGATTCCTGTCGGACATCGTGTGACGTCCAACAGGAATGGGGGGGTGGGCAATGTTTCGGAATTTTTATGTTACAGATATTTAGCCAGAAAAATGGGATGGGCTATCTCTCGGGGGCAGGCGTTCTTTCAAAACTTTACAGTAGCTCTAAAAATGGTTTGTAAAATTGCCCCGCTGCGACCAGAAGCGACTTTTAAATCTAGCTGATTATTCACATTTTCAGGAAGCCAAACAAAGAGAAAGTGCACCTTCGTCACCTTTTTCAAAAGCGCAGTTTTACGGGATACACTTTCCTCCTGACGTCTACGGACGTGGCTTGGCCCGTTTCGAGTTGCGATCGGAAATGCAAGTTTATTAAAAAAAACTCTGAGGATTTTTTTTATTTGTTTTATTGTTGTGTGATTGGGACGGTTTGGTTTACCCGCTTAAAAAAATGAAGTCCGCTTACTCGCCAATGAGAAAGAGTCTCTCAGCTTCAGGTTCCAGCGTGTGTTTAAATCCGGCACCTTGGCACACTGCAGCACCGTTTCATTCCCGTCGTGGTTTATCTGCAAAAGGAACAACCCACCACCATCGTCACTTATTCACCCCCGAATATAGACCCCCCCCGCCCCTTCACTTTTGATTTCCTTCGGGAATCGCTACTCGGCAGAAAGGAGGACAGAAATTCAACTTCATTTAATGGCTCGTATCTTGTCTTACATTTTGCTAAGATTCGCTGCAAAGTTGCTTGCAAATGAAAAACCAATTGGTTTCTCCCTGTATATTTTATTGACCCTGGTGTTTCCAATGAAGTGTTCGGATTTTGTTGACGTAACCTGAAGTCACGTTTTTCTTGATAATGAGCAGCCTGGATGACGAGTGTATCTGTGTGTGTAAAGATACTATCTGATGAAGACATGATTGGTGTATATTTTTCCCTCTTTTTTTTTTTTTCATTTGAACTAATAAATTTAGTTGCGAGTTCAGCTCTGTCCTCTCGTGTTTGTTCCTTTGTTCATCCCCGCTCTGTGAAGCTGATTTTCATCAACCATGAGCTATTATATTTTAAGTATTTTAAGGGATATTGAATTTTGGCACTAATTCCTCAAATTTTGGCAAAATGTAGGAGGATGTAGCAGGATAAGCACTTTGATGCAGTTTGGCGCAAACGGTGCAGCAAGCACATCACTGTTGAGGAGCCTACAGTTCTTGGAGGCACTATGATTTTCAAAGACAACAGGATGCCTATGGGTCTAAAGACCCTATTATACAGCAAAACCATATCGAAAAGTCGACGATCACAAGGTCCCCACAAGTCCTCGAGGACCATAGGATTCTCGCATGCCCTCAGGGCCCTATAGGCCTTGAAAACCATATGGTTCTTGAGAACTCTATGGTCCTCAAAATTCATGAAGATAGCAAGAATCTCATGGATCGCTGAGGATTCTATGGCACTTGGTAAACCTAAGGTCCTTAAAGATCCTCGGGTTCTCGAAGACCCTTCGGTTTTTGAAACCTCAATAATCTTCGAAGACTGCAGGATTCCCACAGGTCCATGTCAACCCTACGGTCCTTGAAAACCCTGCGGTCCTTGGAGACCCTAATGTCCTTGAAACCCTGTAATGCTCGAAAACCACGGAGTTTTCAAGGACCTGCGGGAACCCTGGGTCCAAATGCAAAATGCTCCGGCAGCCGCAAAAAAAGATGCAAAGTGATACGCACCCAACAGACGGTCTCATTTCTGTGGTTGAAATCCATGGCCAGGCTCTCCTTGACAGGAACGGTGCTGTTTCCACTGACCGGGCTCCCATCCAACCGGATGTGTTGGATGTTGACCGAGTTGGCAAACAGCAGAGTCGCCTCCTCACCCTCGGGCACTGTGGAGCCGACAAGGACCCGACCGTTGAAGAATCTACAATGACTACGTTCTTCCGTCGCCCAGGTTATTTCGGGTTTTGCATCGTGAAAATATAGCTTTAACTCGTAGCGCCGCGAAATATTCATCATGAGGAACACCGTGAAACGAAACTTTCTTGAAGCCGCGGAGTGGCAGCCAACATTTCGTAAAGAGGCTTTCGCTAAATCTCTCGTCGAAACACCTGACTGCCACTCGGAGGCATACAAAAGGTTCCATTTCGAGTTCTCGGTACCAGCTTTTGACTCCATTAATGTTCTACGAACAAGACAACAGGTTCCCCAGAGATCCTGAAAGAGCTTGCGGCCTAGGAAAGCACCGCAGTCATTGAGGCCTATGGGATTCAACAAGAAGCCTGCCAGGGCGGCTCACCGTTGATGCCCTCGCAGTGGGAGCCCTTCAGGCGGTAGCCATGCACGCAGGAGCACACGGGCTCCTCCCCCGAGGTGCAACCCTGGTCGCAGGTGCCCTCCACGCTGCAGGGGTCCGCATCCACGCACAGCGACCCCATCTCCCGGTGGGGCTCCATGCCCCGCTTGCAGAAGCACAGCGGGCCCTGGGGGCTTGGCTTGCAGCCCTGCTCGCACGAAGTGTTGCCGCACTGCGTCGTATCCGCTGAAAGGGGAATGGTCGCAGATCCAAGAAGCTCCGGCGGTGCTACGGTCCGTCTCCCTTAGAGAGTCTCTGGCATTAAAGACGCCCTAGGGTGGCGTCAGGTATCTCTGCTGTGGACGGGTAGTCTGGCAAGTGCAACATCTCCGGTAACCCGGGCACAGTGATTATGCGGGAACTGGTGTACATTCGTAAACCAGTTCCCGAAAGAAACATTAGAAAACTTGGGCAACTCCGCCAAGACACTAAAGAGAAACTCGTCAGCCACATAGTAAATCTGACATGTCTGTTCTTCCTTTCATCTTCTCGCTAAAAGGATATTTCGGGTTAATTTACGTCGCCCGGACTGTGTCCAGCATTTTCGCGGTCTATGACGAACGATCCAACATTTACCTGAGGTAAAATAATCTTTCGACCGCACCTCGCGGACGACTCTCATAATCCCGTTTGCGATTCGTCGTCAATTCCAATCGAAAACGGGGACAATCTTGTCGAGACTCACAGCAGAAGGTGCCTTCGTCCGAGAAGTCAGGGCAGTCGTTGTGGCCGTCGCAAAGTTGCGCGATTCGCCGACACGTGATGCCGTCACTGCACTGGAAGTAGTTCTGCGGACACACATTCCCCAGGTGGCCTGCAAGAAAAACAGTGGGGGCATTCCAGTCATCTGGAACGATTGTCCCGACGCTATGCTTTCACAAACCTGCGGCGATTCTCACAGTACCCAATGATGCAAGAGTTGCACCGAATATCTGGTTGCGAGAATTAGAATACTCGTTCGCAGAACTCCACTTGGCGCAATTGCTACTCAGACACTTCTCGGATCACCGATCGCCGCAACTGCTAGCAACGGTTAGCTCACACTCACATCCTCAGTCAAAAAGCAAGCATTCGGGATATGTTCAACATTATTTTGCATTGGGGAAAGCAGACTACCATATAATGGGTCCACTCTGAAACCTATATATGAGGATCTAGACATATAGTTCAAATTATCTTCGAAAGAGCTCGAATCCCATATTTTTTGGAAGCGAACCGGGAGGCCCTTACATCGCCGTGCATCTTCGTCGGAGGTGTCTGGCTTGAGGTCATCCGTGAAGCCGCAATCCGACTCGCGGTCACAGACGAAGCCTTTGGGAATACATCTCCGGGACAAGGAACACTGGAACTGGTCGTGCGAACATATGCTGGGAGCTGCAGAAGGACAAAAATGGGAGAGTCAGAGTGGGCAGAACAAAAGCTCAACACGCTCAATGGATGGACAATGCAAGTTGTAATGTGCCGTGGCAATACTTCTACTGCAGAACACTGTAATCCACGAAGGACAGCTTCCAAAGGACAACAGTGAAATAAAACACCTCTTTTGCCTATTGCAAAAACAGAAACAAGAAAAACTCATGTAAAGCAGTCTCGAGCTACGTAAGCCCGAGACTACCCTATGCAAGATCACAAATAAATGTTACAAGCTTGAATGACTACGACATTTTAAAGATTAAGTATGACAGACACAGTGCACAACATTTGCTCCGTCTCAAGGACGCCAGACCGGCACGCCCCTCCGCTCTGTTTTAGAAACCCTTGCTCACGAGGTTGACTAACCCTAAATGCCTGCAATTCTCTAAACGTTAAAAGTGCGTTACACTTTGTACCTCCGCCATTTGTTTTACCAAGAAGTGTAACACATGTGTGTCTCAAATGTCTCGAGCGATGTGTTTAGGTCACAAAAGGGAGCAAACCAACTAGGCACAAGCAAAGTCGTAGAACGAATGAAAGTGACGCGATCCATTACGGGGCTCTGGGAAGAAACTGGATCTGCAGACAAAGAAATTCCCGGCAACTAGGGCAGAGGCACTGAGACTTGGTCTTTGAATTCGGCACTCCCGGCGGATCTCTCCGAGGGCACGGAGGGTCCCGACAACCTTCTCTTTGCACTCACCGCAGTCGTCCGGTTCGTCCGAGCCGTCCGCGCAGTCGGGCGAGTAATCGCACTTCCACTGCGTCGGGATGCACTCCTTGCCGTCCGCACATGCAAACTGGTTGTCCGAGCATTGCACTGCAAGCACATGGAAAGTCAAAGCGAGTGAGCAACGTGCTTGGCCAGCTAGCAGTTGATGTGGTTACCGCATTGTGGTAACCGTGCCAAGATTACGCGCCGTTTTCAAGTTCTCCCGACCGCTCGAGTAAAAACAAGACTTCAACAAATTGGTGAAAACTCCCAAGTCAGCTCTTCACGCCGAGAAACAGATCCACATAAACGGATGCGTATTACAGGCTCAATTGCGAGAAATAAAGAAGCCGTGAAATATTTGTACCACTGGTTGCAAACAGAAGGAAGCAAAAACATTTAATTGTACTCCCAATGGGGGTTTTAAAACTTGCGTCTGTCGTTTGGTTGTCAAACGGTCCGAAACGACCGGCAAAGAGTTGTACTTGGCACGTTGAGTGCAACTAGTTTGTGCCTACCTGTTTTTGCACCAAAGAATACTGCCACGTCGGGTTAATGAATCTTGTTTTAGTAGGTAGGAGTCGATTGGTATTTGCACCTGTAAATCAATCAATCATGTTTTGCGCCTGCAGACAATACTTTTAAAGTATGTCGCAGTTTGTTTTTCTTTTATAAGCTGGACGTTTTGCAAGTGTATCATCCACTGAAATTTTCAGGTGTTTTGGAGCTGTAATATCAAGCTTGTACACTCGTTTCCCAGCTTCCTTACTCTTTGTGTGTTCAAGACTAGTAAAAGAGAGCCTGTTCATCAGGGAGGTACCAGTGAGAGAGTATGCATGAGATGTGGCAATTAGTCATTCAACTGGACTAGATTATTTTATTCGAAGACTCGATAGACTGCAGACATATTTGCCTGCCTTCGTTTATTCTTTCAACGAGATATGAGCAAAGCCTATCTCTGAGTGTTGTCCCAATATTTTCAGAGCATTCCAGGGTGTTTTCTTACTTCTTAGTGTACACCCAAATCCACAGAGCAAAATCTGATAAATTAATTATTGACTGGTGGTTACTCTGTCAGTGTCAAGCCGCTGGTTTCCAAACGTGTCATTTACTATTCACAACAGTTTTTCTTTCAGCCAACAAAAATTTAATTGAGTCTTTTTTTTTTTTTTTCACAGGGCGAGAATCGCAAACTTAGCCACATTTTATGGCACCTTTTTTTAAGGGTTTACAAGCAAGGTTGTAAAAATGTGGGCGAGACTGTGTTGAAGCGCATGAATGTTAACCCCTTGCCTACTCATATTTTTCTTCAAGGAACATACAGCAAAACTTTATTTTAAACGGACAATTTGCATAAAAATAAGACAAAAGCATTTGCTTGACTTCCAAAAGAGGTATCTTTCCCTAAATTAGGACTTCTGATCCTCTTCAGTAATCCTTCACAGTGTGATAGCGCTGAAAGCATTCAGGAAGGTGGAGAGTCACCTTGCACTATCCACATTCCCATGGTGTTTCACTCAGTTTCTTGTTGGATGTGCATACATTGAATTTCCGTGTCGGTTAAATGGCAGGCAATTTTTAATAACCTCGGGAACTAATTGAAAATAAAAACAGATATATAAAAAATGGTTGAAGTGCTGGCAAGCTAGTGCAAGTTAACCATGATGGTTGAAACCAGAGACTGTGGTCGAAAAACGAAAAAACTGAGTAGAAGAGAACGAAAGAAGTGGCAACGCCTCAAAATCAGTAACAAATTTTATTTTCTGCACACCTTATATATTCTTTACCCAAGGTTGTCCCCAACGCAACCTTAATGTCACCGAAACCCGGTCAATGCTGCATACACAATGGGACGCAGAACCAACACTACAAATCTACAGCCAGTACAAAGGGTTCATAGATCACAAATGAAGCAAGTTGAACACAGACCACATAACTAGAGTTCCATGCTTTCAGATAAATCCCAAAAACTCGGAAAAACACCCGCTGGTAAAATTTTGTCAATTCCGATTTATCCAATACACTCCAAATATTGATGTGCTAAAAGAAAATACAGTATTTTATAATTAAGTTTGATCAACGCACAGGGTCGATGGTCCTGGGAAAATGATACCACAGTCATCTTTCAAATCGCGGACCATTGTCAAAGGGGTCTTACCGCTTACCTCGTCAAGGTTCATCCAGGACAACAGGTCATTGTACTTTCGGGTCACAACAAAAGCCACTGGTTTGGCCTCCAGTTCGAACCATCCTATTTGTGCTTTAGAGGTAGGAGAGGCCGTGTATTTGTACCAGTGAAAGCATGAACCATAGAAATTGCATAAAATGGGGAAAAAGGGCAGCTGAAACTTCTCTATTACATCCTTTACCACACCCCCTCGCACAGCTGTGGGGTAGGTTAATGGAATATGATGGGATGAATGCAAGCTTCCCAGCGACTACCTCCAGGAGTTCATTTATTTTAAGGTATAGACGTTCCTTGAAGCAACACTTGGGTGCAACTTTTGTTGTGGGACAAATTAGTATTGCCAATGGCAATGGTACCAATGCCAAATCCAGCTGAGAAAATATTCATTGATACAGGCATGTTTTATTTTATTTTTTTATCTAGCATACATTTACACATGGATATTATTTATTTATTTATTTATTTTTAACGGGAAACATTGCGAAATTAAATTTTGAATTTCTGAGAATTGGGAATTAAACAAAAATAAACTTTGAAAACACGGAATCCTAAACATAACCAAACCGGTAATCTCAAGACAGAGCCGTGAGTCAAACATTCCAAAAACAGGGGTGGTAAGTCTAGGATAGGGCCAGCTTGAACATGGGAGATGCTGGGTTACAGGCATGAGTTGAGCTAGTTGGTGCATAACTAGGATAGGCCAGATTGCTCTGTCCTAGTTATGCAGCGACTAGCGCAACTCAAGCCTGTGGTCAAGCCCGATTCGAAATGCATTGGAAAGGTCATGCGCCACTTCATGAGCGAGTCGTTGAGAAAGCAATGGGGAAGGCTGGGGGGCGCTGGGTATCCATTCGTGAAACCACAACTTGTCATAGAAATGAAGGAGAAGCAAGGCGAGCGGAGCGCAAAGAACCCACGAGCTCCCATCGCCCATTTTCGTGACCATAACTTGAAGGCGTGTGCAGAAAGGTTTGGGCTTGAGAGGGGTTTTACTTGTGATCTCAAGTTGAATAGTCCTCTGGAGGCAGGGCAAAAAGAATGTCAGACGAAGCCTAGAGAGACCTCTGGTCCATGGAAAATTAGCGGCCTGGTGTACGAGATGAGTATGGTTTCAAGTATGCTGGGCAAACTGCAAGATGTTTTAATGAAAGGCTCGCAGAATGCAAGCGAAATGTGCGAAACAACACTTCCAACACTGAATTGGCAAAGCACCTTCATGAATATAATGGTAGTACGGCAAAATGGTCAGAAACAAAAGTCGTCCATGAAGAGCGTAATATGAAACCTATTGTGCGCGAGACAGTTTGGAAAAATACGTCCAGCAATTGTATTAGCCAAGCGTCCCTGCAACTTAGAAGCAAGTCCAAAAAGATTTTGCAATTGTAATTTTTTTCTTTCTTTCGAGGTGGTTGATATGTGACTAATGGTCTTGTGGTCTGCGTTGAGTTTTTACAGCAAAGCTGTTTATGGCTAGGGTTCCGTGAATTTTTCGTGTGCATTACAAAAAAACTTTACGCTCACACTGTCACACATGCACGCCTTCCCTGTATAAAAGATTCAAAGTAAATAACCAAAATAAAGCGTTGACAAAAGCACGTGCAAGATGCCATTTGTTTTAGGTTTTTGCTTTAGAACAGTTACTGCTGTAGACTCCGGCACTTGCAGCACATGGAACACCATTTCCTGCATTCTCCTTGATGCTTGGGTAATTTAGCATGTATGTATCCTTTCGTCACAATGACCACCAATCAAGACAAAGAATAGAACCCTGCATATCCGCGGATTATCCGCAGATATCCGCAGTAAGTGGGCGGATGTGGATACAAATTAGACAAATTTTGGCGGATTGCAGATCAGATGCGGATGACAGGGGCTGCGGATGTAGGTATCCGCGGATCCGGATCTAAATTTTTGCCCGGTGGCATTCAGTTCGTCGACTGACGTTTCATCCACAGATTGTTTAGTCGACATGCGACAATTGATCGAAAGGCTTCCCGTGTTCGTTTCATCGAAAAACCTGAGACGTTTCGTTGCACACAACCCTGTTATTTTTGTAAAAAATTTTGTGTCTCGCCTGGATTACAGGGGGGAGGGGTATGGTTTGGTTAAGCATGCCTTAGTGAATCGCGCGCTAGCTTTTAGCGGCTTGGTGAAGAAATGCGTTGTTGACAAAACGTCTCAGGCACATATGCCCACAAAACATACAGCGTCGACAAACCATGTGTCCATGAAAAGTTGTCCACAAAACGCATTTCCACAAAACGCGTTTTGAAGAAACGATAGGGATCCTAAGAAAGATCTGATTCTCACTGAAGATTGCTTCAGTTAGTGCGCTCCATCTCGTCAAAAATGCTATCAATAGAAAAAGTAAAGAATGAAGGGAATCAATCGTCTTGAAAAAGCTAGTACATTGGCAGGGAAAGAGCGAATAACTTTCTCCAGACAAAGGAAACCTCAACTGTACAAGTCACAAAAAAGTAGACAAAACGTACCCTCTCCGCAAAGAGTAGTGTGGTCATGATTCCAAAAACAAAAGAAGTGCCTCAACAGCGATCGCGACCCTGTGGTGCCACGGTTCGTAAAGCTTCGGAATCAACAGCGCACGCAGAAAAGCAGCCTGTAAACTGCCTGTGTGTCTCTTTTTTTTACGCTTAGAGTCCTAGCCAAAAAAGTCTGGTAGTTCATATTCGTCCAACTACGACGCCAGGGCGTTGTAGCCGGACGATAATGAATCTCTTTTACTTTTTATCGTTTGACGGAACTAAAATGTCATAATTTAGTATGCCCTTTTTTAACTTTTATGTTTCAAAAGTATGCGTATGCATAAAATAGGTGTTTCAAAGCAAAAAAAAAAAAATTATATATATATATCCAGGGCTTTTTTTTTTAAGCTTAACAGAATATGTTTTCAAAAACCATG